ATTTATTATAAGGATAATACATATCTAAAAAATATAATAGCCTACTTATGTATATATTATTTCGTATCTAACTACACACTAGGTGTGAATTGGGATTTGGCGATAACTCACCTATAGGCTGCCGTACTCTAGAGGGCTTGCGCCTCTCCCTCTCTCCCTGTGTGCTTGCCAATCTTTGGGCTTTTCCTTTGCCAGCCAGAGATTGAGTGTGGCCGCCCGTAGCCCGCCCTAGCCCGCCGCCACCAAGCCATGTCCGTTTTCCGCAAAGCTTCCGGGCCCCGTATCAATATTTTCTCACCTGCCCGCTTGGGGGGGGGGGGCTTTCTTGACGCTCTCTGCGCATCCAACTTGCAGTTATCGTGGTGGAAGCCCAGCTTTTAGCGGGCACCCGCGCGAGTCGGCGTTGCCGTCCAAAGATAGACTAGTCATTCCAGTATCTTACTCCGTATTGCTGGGGTTTGGCCATGCACTTGGGGGTCCGCCAATGATAACGACCCTCCCCAGATTGGGCCGTTCCCTCAGCCGACAAAAACGGCTGGGGGGTGAGGCGAGGCGCGACAAACCATAAATGGCAGGCTGCTCAGCTGGGAAACCATGCTTTGGGGAAAATGGGAAAATCCCTACAAAAGGTCCTTCCCCCCCTCTCCCCCTCCTTCTCCTCACGGACGTTGGCCTCTCGACCTCATTCTTCTCTGTTTTTTTCCTTTTGGGGGATCATCTCAGCGTGTGGCATCTCTGTCAAAGATATAAAGGAATAGTAGATCTTTCTGGCAATACAACGGCTCCGGTCCCGTCGCAACAACTTCACACACACACACACACAGCAACCATGAGTGACAAGGAATACGTCTATGGCGGCGGTGCCGGCCATGACGAGAAGATGATGGGCCCCGACGACTCGGGCCAGCAGCACATTCGCGGTATCGAGACGGACCCCAACTCGAAGCTGCACCGCGGCCTCAAGGCCCGCCACATTAGCATGATTGCCATTGGCGGCGCCCTCGGCACCGGCCTCATCGTCGGCACCGGCAAGGCCCTCGCCCAGGCCGGCCCCGGCTCCCTCTTCATCTCCTACCTCTTTGTCGGCTGCCTCGTCTTCATGGTCATGGCCGCGCTGGGCGAAATGGCCGCCTGGCTGCCCCTCCACTCTGGCTTTACGGGCTACGCGACCCGGTACTGCCATCCGTCTCTTGGATTTGCTCTTGGTTGGTGGTATGTCTTTTTCTTCTTTCTTTCCGTTCTTTCCTTATATATATATATATATATATATATACATAAACAGCCTCTCTCTTGACATCTCGCTGACCCTTCCGCAGCTATCTCATGAAGTACCTCGTCATCACCCCCAACCAGTTGACCGCCGCCGCCCTCGTCATCCAATACTGGGTCAAGCCGGAGACGGTGAACCCGGGCGTCTTCGTCGCCATCTTCCTCGTCGCCATCGTCTGCATCAACTACTTTGGCGGCATCAAGTTCTTTGGCGAGTTTGAGTTTTGGCTGTCCTCGTTCAAGGTCATTGTCATCATCGCCATTATCCTCTTCGCCCTCATCATCGCCTGCGGCGGCGGCCCCAACCACGACGCCACCGGCTTCCGCTACTGGCGCAACCCCGGCGCCTTTGCCGAGCTCAAGGGCTACTCCACCGGCCACCTCGGCCGCTTCCTCGGCTTCTGGTCCGTCATGGTCAACGCCACCTTTGCCTACCTCGGCACCGAGCTCGTCGGTGTCACCGCCGGCGAGGCCCAGAACCCGCGCCGCACCATCCCCAAGGCCATCCGCCTGACCTTTTACCGCATCCTCGTCTTCTACTGCCTCAGCGTCCTACTCGTCGGCATGATTGTGCCCTACAACTCGCCCGAGCTGGCGTTCGCCAACTCCCAGGGCTCCACAAAGGGCGCCTCGGCCGCCTCCTCCCCCTTTGTCGTCGCCGCCCAGATTGCCGGCGTCAAGGTCCTGCCGCACATCATCAACGGCTGCATCCTCGTCTTTGTCTTTTCCGCATCCAACTCGGACCTCTACATTGCCAGCCGTACCCTCTACGGTCTGGCCTCGGACGAGTCCGCCCCCGCCATCTTCAAGCGCACCGACAGGCGCGGTGTTCCGTACGTCGCCCTCGGCACCGCTGCCGTCTTCGCCTGCCTGGCTTTCATGAATGTCAGCAGCGACTCCAAGACCGTCTTTGGCTACTTTGTCAACCTCACCACCGTCTTCGGCCTCCTGGCCTGGATCTCCATCCTCGTCACCCATCTGTACTTTGTCAAGGCCCGCAAGGCCCAGAACATCCCCGACACCGCCATGCCCTACATTGCGCCGCAAGGCTACTGGGGCACCGTTGTCGCCCTCTTCTTCTGCTGCCTGATCTGTGTGACCAAGAACTTTACCGTCTTTGTCCACACAAAAACCACCCACTTTGCCTACAAGGACTTCATCACCGGCTACATTGGCATTCCCATGTACCTCATCTTCCTGTTTGGTCACATGTTCATTACCAAATCACGCCCCGTGAAGCCAAGCGAGGCCGATTTCTACACCGGCAGGAGCATTATCGACAACGAAGAACAGGAGTATCTGGAGAACCTCAAGCTCGATCGTGCTCAGAGCCAAGGAGCTCGCAAGTTCTACCACCGCTATGTTTCGTGGCTTTTCTAAGTAGTGCCCATAGTTTTGATGTAAATGATGTAAGAATCTAATGATCTTTTTTAAAAAAAAAATTATAAATCGTCGTCTCCTCTGAACACGTGGTAAGGTGCACAAGTACAATCGAGTTGTAGAGAATGCGGTGGGACTCCACGTGATGCCGAACCAATTTTCAAGCCTTCTGCGGGACAATCGCGCAGACTTGGATCGCGAATCTCTCTGCATACATTGGGTCAATAATAGACGCAATTAATCGTCCATCTCGATAGAATGGATCTACGAAACATCCAGCGGATCGAGCTGCCCGCTACGGCGGACATGCACGTCCACCTGCGCCAGGGTGACATGATGGAGCTGGTTGCCCCGACCCTGACCGCCGGCGGCGTTGACACGGCCTTTGTGTAAGCAAGCAATTGACTACAAAATCACGAAGAAAAGTTGCAGTGACTAACTCATTGGCCATTTTACAGTATGCCCAATCTGGTACGTCTCGCTCCTGCGCGGGCAACGGTGCTGTTGCTTGAGAGCTGGTCGGGTGTCTGTGTATGCTAACGAGGGCAGGTTCCTCCCGTGACCACAGTTGAGATGGCGCTCGAGTATAAGCAGAAGCTCCTCGCTGTCAACCCCCGCGTCAACTACCTCATGTCGCTCTTCCTGCACCAGACCGTGACGCCAGACGTGATTGACCAAGCCGCGGCGGCGGGCATCACCGGCGTCAAGCTCTACCCGCAAGGCGCGACGACCAACTCGGATAATGGCGTGGCCGACCTCACGGCCTTTTACGACACCTTTGCGGCTATGGAACGTGCCGACATGGTGCTCAACCTGCACGGCGAGGCCCTCGAGGCGCTCGCACCCGCCGGCCTGACTCTCGAGGAGGCCTTCCTGCCCACGCTGACGAGCCTGCACGCGCGCTTCCCCAAGCTGCGCATCATTGTGAGTTTTTCTGCTTGATCTAAGGGGGGGCTTCTAAACAGTGCGGAGTCTGACACGGGTGATGATAGCTTGAGCACTGCACCACGGCGGCCGCGGTCGAGGCTGTCAAGGCCTGCGGACCCAACGTCGGCGCCACCATTACCGCGCATCACCTGTATCTTACCGAGGCCGACGCCTGCTGCGACCCCTTTGCGTTTTGCAAGCCCATCCCCAAGAAGCCTCTCGACCGCGACGCGCTGCTCCAAGCCGCCATGAGCGGCAACCCCAAGTTCTTCTTGTACGCTCGGTTGCCCTGCCCCCCCCCTCCTGTTTCCATCTCGGCTAACCCCAACGACCCAGCGGAAGCGACAGTGCCCCCCACCCCATCCAGAACAAGACGGCGGCGGCAGAGGGTAAGGCCCCCGCGGGTGTCTTCACGCAGCCGTTTGTCACGCAGCTCGTCGTGCGTGCGCTGCAAGAGGGCCTCGAGCGCGGCGTGCTGCGCGACGCGGACGTGACCCAGGAGAGGCTAGAAAACTTCCTTAGCCATAACGGGCGCGCGTTTTATAAGCTGCCGCCCGCGACGGCGCGCCGCATCGTGCTCGAGAAGAAGGAGACTATCCCGACGAGTGTTAGTAGCGCGACGGTGGAGGTGGGCAACTCGCGCCATGGCGATGAGGTCTTTGCCCTGCGGTGGCTGTGATGCGGAACGAATGCAGAGTAGGTAAACGGTTGACAAAAAAGTTGGCGTTTTCGGGCGTGAGGTGCTGTGGTAAGGGGGGAGTAAAGATGGCAATTTGGAAGATACTACGAATTAGGTATAATGAATGAAATGAGACAGAAGACCAAAAAATAACATGAAAGACACGCATAGATTCAGTAACTCGCATATAAGTTGCAAGTGGGGCCGCCACAACCCTCACTCGCTGCAAAATTTGAGCATGTAAAACCTCCCTCCTGAACAAACGACGTTGCCCATACCACCCCCGCAACCAAGCAAGAATTCGTGGCCGCAGTCCCCAAGATGAGCGACCTCGAAGACTTGGGCATTCTCAACATTGAAGTCTCCGACGCCGAGGACACCACGGCCGCGGAGAAAAAGGCCAAGCGCACCGGGCAGTCGGAGGAGGAGTTTCAGGCCGTACGCAAGACCTATGCGACCCGCGTTCAGAATGGAAATGTGAGTTTTACCTCGCCCCCTCAAAAGCAGAATAATCATCTTTTTCTCCCAAGAACATTTGTTGTCTGCTGCAAAGCAAGAAGCACTGTGACTTACAAACCCAATCTGTGCCAGATATACAAGCACATCAAGCTGCCACTCCGGAGCAACGCTAGCAAAATGGACGTGCAAGAGCTGCTGCACGCCGTCGAGGAGCTCTACTTCTTCCGACGCTACCAGGAGGCCGCCGACTTTGCTGCGCAGGCCCTGCAGGGCGAGTCAAGGGCGGCGCTGGACGGCGACGAGGCGCTGCCGCTGCTGCAAAAGTACGAGGCAAAGTGCAGGGCCAAGCAACAGGCGCTGGATGCGCGCGTGGCCATGTAAAAACTGAAGAAACAAAACGAAATTCTGCTCAAATTCCAAAATCTAACACAAAGACAAATCTCACTTCTTGGCCCAGAGGGAGCCCGACAGCCCCTTCTTGGCCGTCATCGCCGCAGGCTCTACCGCCGCCTTTTTGAGCTCCAGAATCTCAGGAGCGCTATAGCAAATGCCGCGGCCCTGGCTTTTAACCTCGCAGTCAATCGCTCTGAAGACCTCTATGGTTTGGCTGGACATCGTTAGGGGCTTCGGCGTGGCAGACTCCTTGAGCTGCAGCTGCTGCATGAAGCGCATAATTTCCAACAAGACACGCTTCGTCTTGTCCACCTCCGAGTCCAGGCAGCCCTTGTTCAGCCACTCGGTCATCGCCACGTCGCTGGGCTGCTGCTCCGTGGCCGAAGCAGCCGGCAATATGGGGACGGCATAGCCGGTGTTCTGGTTGTACGCATTCTGCGCAAATTTGTTGATGCTGTCGAAAATTTCATCGAGACTTATAGGCGCCGTGCTGGTTTTTTTGGGCGCCGATACTTCGATGAGCTGGATCTGTCTGAGACGCGGCGATGGCTCGGGCGAAGACTCTGGTGAGTCGGCGCATATGAGTGATTTGGGCGCTGTCGTAACCTTGTCGACTCGAGGGGTTGATGGTGTAGTCGGTGGCTTGGGCCGTTCTATCCCCGACGCTTTGCAGACAGCAGCCTGGAGCCTGTCCAAAATTTGGACGAGCTTCTCTGCCGTCGTTGGTGGTGCTGGCTTTACGGCATAGACTCGGAGTTGGACTGCCGCCCCTGCCATGGACCTCATTTTGATGATGCAGGATGTGCCGTAAATGACCGGCACCTCGAAATCCAGGACACTCAATCTCAATTCGGCCTGGCCCGCGGCTCGCAGTATCAAGAGTCCTCCGTTCTTGCTATCACGGGCTTCGACGCAGAATTCTGCGTTCGTAACGACCGTGTCGTTCCACGACACCTCACACTTGCCACCCCATCGCCAAGGATCTCGGGTCGGGGTTCCTGGGGTGACAGAAGTCGAAGGCGAAGCTGCTGGAGCCGGCAGCGCGGGTTGTCTCGGGGCAGCTGTCTGTCTGCTTTCCGGAATGGTGAATTGCGAAGCTTGTATCTGTCTACAGTCAGTTAGCCACTTGGTCTTCCCAGTTTCACACAAGTGCTTACCCTGATGAGGCCCAAGGCCGAGCATTCAGGTTGGTCAAGCCTGCCATTTGCTCCGACTCAGCATCGACAATAGCAGCTATGTCGATACTGTCAGTATTGGTTGTATTTTAGGAGAGGTAACGAATGTCTCGTACTTGACCAACTGCTTTCAAGAGCCTGTTTAATCTTTGGATCATATGTTTTAGAAAGATCCTCTGGCGGCGGCTGAAACGACGGTCTTCGTTTTTCCTCGTTGCTTAGAGGGAGCTCTTCTTGGCGACTTCTGCCCAAGTCGGCCTGTTTGTATTGCGCGGTTAGCTATGGAATGCAGGGTAAGGTCAGAGGCCTACTTACATGAATGGCCGCAAGTAATTGTGCTGGGACCGCCATGGCGTTCAGTATGGCAATACGTTGCTGCTGCTTCAGCTGCTTCAGCTGCTTCAGCTGCTTCTGCTGCTTCTGCTGCTTCCGCCGCTTCCGCCGCTGAAGATGTTGGATGATTTATCTGGTTGTGTTGATGAAAGGGTTGTGTTGGTGAAAGGGTTGTGTTGATGAAAGGAGAAGACATGAGGATGTGTTTGTTTTTGCCCTCGCCGCTGTTGTAGTTGCCAGCTGCCGGCTGCCGGCTGCCGGCTGCCAACCGGCGGCCAGCGGGTGACAGGCTTGCAAACGGGCTTTAATCTTTAATAAGTGACCAATGCAAGTAACAGGTACATCAATCAAATCAAGTTATATTCACTCGGCGTATTCTCGTATAGGTTGGTTAAGATAGCGAGCGCTTTACATACGATTATAAAATATTACTTCGTGTGGCCCCTTCATCCAATAAGTAACTCTATTCCTGTCGTGCCTAGCATGGCGAACGAGCGACAGGATCGTCGGACGGTGATCCGTGTCGATGAGCCGCGACTGCAAGTCATAAGAGCAGCTACAGCTGAGCTGAACCTCCTCGCGATCCGCGGGGTGATGGAACTTTTTGTCTTACTTGCATTTTTATGTTGGATCTTTTTTTTGGACAAATCATTGGCCGAGAATAAAGTGCTCGTTTGCCGGATGTACTTTTCATCCCCGGCCGCAGACTCGTGCAAGTCATGAATACCTGCGTTGACCCTCAATTCAATTAATGCTTTTTTTTATGACTCAACGTTGAATACTCCATAGAGTATCAATATTGGATCAGAACCCATCAGTCCTCGGCCTTGCGAAACGTATTGGCTCGAGGGCCGATGGCCCGCACAAATGAGACATGCCAGCGCAGTGTGCCAAAGGATATGCGACATCTCGTCGGCAGATACCGACAGACACCGCCGAACCCCGAGGAGGGGCTGAATAATAAGTAAAACCATACTCAATTGAGTTGTGACAGCAGGATCACGCGCTGTCTATCGGCAAGGACTAGCGGGGGCAACCTCCCGCCCAAGCCGCCTTATCGATGTTGTGGGACACGGCGCGGGGTATTTCACGAATTATATGAACTTCCCCCCTCCTTTGCTCGATGGGGATAATTCGGTGTTTGCGAGGGTTTAAACAGGCGAATTCCCCAGAATTCTCCTCGACGGCCCTCTTGTAGCAGTTCCTTCTCAAACATAGCTTCCAACAATTACCCCGCCATTCAAAACCCTCAAAATGTCCGACACAAACAGACTCGCCACTCTCGACGCAAGTCCCTTACCCCTCCGCCCCAAAGCCCTCCATTATAGAGAACCCAATGTTATTAACATCGACTTCCTCTGCTAGCTGTCCATGGTGAGCCGCCTGCCGCCCTACAGCCAGGCGCTCTTCGCCGCCAAGACCACCAAGAACCTGACCTTTGCCGACATTGCCTCGCACATTGGCCGGGACGAGGTCGCCGTCGCGGCGCTCTTCTACGGCCAGGCGCAGGCCTCGGCCGACGACGTGGCCAAGCTGTCGGAGCTGCTGCAGGTGCCGCGCGAGGCGCTGGCCGCGCAGATGATGGGCTTCCCGGACCGCGGCCGCGCGGGGCCCATGCCGCCGGTCGAGCCGCTCATCTACCGCCTCTACGAGATTGTGCAAAACTACGGCTACTCGTTCAAGGCGGTGCTCAATGAAAAGTTTGGCGACGGCATCATGAGCGCCATCAACTTTAGCGCAAAGGTCGAAAAGGAGGAGGATGACAAGGGGGATGCGTATGCCGTCATTACGCTGCGAGGAAAATGGTACGTCTTTTTATTATTGTTCCTCTTCCTTCGGCTGCCGTGGGCTCATCATTGTTTCGTACATGTGCTAATCTTGTGCCTGATAAGGCTTGCGTATTCTCGGTTCTAGAGTGTACCAATTAGGTTTCAGTCGCCCGCCTCAGAGTAAGTATATCATCATATTACGACGCAGAATGTTACTGAAACTGCTAAAAGTTGTTCTGATCAAAATTCGCCCGTTGAGTCCTGCCATAATTTGTTCTAGGGTAAGGATGAAGGTATCACGAATTGGTGTGTTCCAAAGTGTAGTCGGAAATCGAGTCATTAAGCCATTTTGTGATTTGTATAGTAGATTGGTCCTCCACTGTCATGAAATGGCACTTTTAATCCCAACGTTGTTCTGAAAATGATGCATTGCATTGCATTGCATTGGCGCATGGTCAGTGTATAAGTTGGGCTAAAGTAACATCATCTATCTATAACTGTGATTTCGCGAGCCACAACAAGACCTCGCCGCGTTCGTACAGTCGTCCAAGTTTAACAACCCTTTACCTCATACTTCGAGGAGAGTAATCTGCCCTGCAAATTGGTTTAGGGCGGTACCGAAGGAACGGCAGTCTCCCCGGCTAAACCGATACATCTCGGGACCAGTAGCTTCCGAGATGACGGCTCCATCCGTGCCCGTCACCGGTTTCATCAACCAACCGACAACCTCTTCCTTCTCTGTCACTAAACAAAACCACACAAAAAAGCAGCATAGCCCAACGTACTGTTACATCATTCGCGCAAATTCTCAAAAAGAAACACCGCAGCAATGGCGGCAGACATTGGCCCCATCACCCTCTCCCTGCCCTCCAAATACGCCAGCACCAAGCCCACCGCCGCGGCCGACGCGGCTCCCCAACCACCACCGCCCATCGACTGGCTCACCGGCACATGGACCGTCACGCACTCGACGCTGTCCATGTGGCGCTCTGCGCGCAACGTGCGCATCACCTACGCGCCGCTCGCGGACCGCGGCGACTCGCGCGCGCGCATCGACGACCTCGTCGAGTACGAGCCCGCCGACAAGCAGGGCGTGCTCAAGACGGTGACGGGCGTCGACACGCAAGCAGCCACCGCCCGCGGCTGGGACTGGCGCGGCAAGGGCTGGCTCTTCTTCGTGTCCAGCCACTGGGAGGTGCTGGGCTGGGGCGAGACCGCCGCGGAGCGCTGGGCGGTGACGTGGTTCGCGCCCACGCTGTTTACAAAGGAGGGCATCGACGTGTACTCGAGTCGCCGCGAGGGCGTCTCCGAGGCCGTGTATAGCGAGATTTGCAAGGCGCTCAAGGGGTTGCCGGCGCAGCCGCTCGTGGATATGGCGACCAAGGACATGCGGCCCGTGCAGATTAAGCTGCCGTGGACGGAGAAATGAGCGGTGCCAGCAGGATTCGGAATATACAGCGTTGAAATATGGATGGTCATAATACAGTGTAATAGATATTAAATGCATGCTATATGGGGTATCATTTGTGTCGTTTCTCATCATCATGCCGGCCATGTCTCCCTCGATCTCGCGACCGCGACCGCGACCGATGCCGTCTTCGTCTATCATCACGGCTCCCATCTCCGCTGCGGTCACGATGACGGTGTTCCTCGTCCCGACTCCTACCAGCGCTTCTGCCATAACCCGACCTCTGCCGCCCCTCCTCTCTCGGGGAGCGTGACCTCCGCCTCCCCGCGCGGTGCTGCCCACGGCGCTCTCTCCTCTCCTCCTCCCGCCTCATCTGCCGCAGCTCCCTATCGCGCTCCTCCTCCAGCTTGCCGCGCTCCTGCCTGAGCTCGCGCACCCTGGCCGCGCCCTGCTTCATCATCGCCAGCGGGTCGCTCGCGACGGTGCGCTTCGCCTCGCGGTCCTTGCGCCTCGGGTCGTCCCGGCCCCAGACATTCTTCGCCACCTGCTTCTGCGCCGTGCTCCCATCCTCGGCCGCGTACCACGGCGCGTCCAGGCCCGGCTGGCCGCCGGCGTTGGCGAAGCGCATCGTGTATTGGTCCTCGTACTCGCGCTCCTTGCGGCGCTTGTCCCGCTCGGCGTCTTCGTTCTTGTCGGCGTGGCGGCTCCGGTCGACGTCTCCGCCAAACAGGTCAATGTGGCCCCGACGGTCGACAATGGGCGCGGAGCTCGTGGCTCGCCTCGCGTCCGCGGCGGCCCCGCGCACGGTGGCTTCGCGCTCAGCGGCGATGCGCAGCTCAAAGTCGGTGTCGTCTTCGCCGTGGCGCTTGCGCGGTCGCCTGCCCGTGCCTAGACGGCGCGATGGGCTCGCTTCTGGGTCGGCGGCCGCCGCTTCCTCTTGTTCGATCGGGGGTGGTGTTTCGCCGCGCAGGATCGCGAGTCGTCGTGCCGCGTCGACTTCCTGCATGCGCTGCTCCGCTGCTTCCTCGGCCGCCTTGGCGCTGGCCTCGTCGCGGCGCACGCGCTCAATGTTGTCCTTGTTGTAGACGTTCCATGATTTCTTCCCTAGCAGGTGACTAGAGTGGGGTGTTAGCGAGCAGTTCCCCCGAAATGGGAGGAGGCTCTGATGGGCAGGGCGGCTTACAGAGGCATGGTCGGTCGGAGTTTTGCCGTATATTCTGGTACGAAGAAGCAGAAGTTGTGTGCTTCTCCAGAGATGCACGAGGTAGAAATGTTGACCCATGCTCGACAGAGGGGCACTGAAAGTCTTGGTGGCTTCTACAGGCAGGTGCTAATACAGGGCACTTTAGCTTCCAAGGTACCCTAAAGGTGGTGCCTGTCGGTGCGCGCGAGAACGGCACTGGCGTATGTATACAAAATCGGGAGAGAAAGTATATGGAAATAAAAGAAGGTTCCCGTTAGATTTAGAAGTCAAACAGGAGGGGATTTCTACAAAATGAGAACTGTTAGCTTCCAGAAAGGAGTTGAGTCCCCCCATTGTCGCAAGTCCCGAAGGCGACGAGGGATCGGTTGTCGCCGGCACACCAAAAGAGCAGCGTCATTATTTGGGAAAATATTTCCAGACAATAGTTACGAAAGGGATATAGTTAGTACCGCGTGTATGGTAATGTAACAGGTTGGCGTGATCCTTCAGTGTACGCGGTCAGAGGCCTTCTCAGTGTTGGCTCTAGCAGCCGCTTGTTGAGCCAGGAGGTTTGTGATGCCATGCCATGTATAGAGAAACCTGTCATAGTCGCAAGTGAGACAGTAAGTAACCCCTGTCAAGTACTTTCCAGATGAAATAATTGCTGTTCAAGAAAGATCAAGCTCTTGTCCAAAGCAGTCCTCGTTCCCTGTTGCCGCAAATGGACGACGATGGGCAGAACTGACCATTAATACTCACTACTTCAGAAGCATGTCTATACAGTTATTTTATGTAAGTAGTATCTGCCGACTACCCACGTGCTGCCTGTTCTCCGGATGATTGTATCTCTTGGACGATCCGCAATAGTGTTTCGGTCAACTTTCAAGGCTAGACTAGTGCACGATGTCTCGAGGTGGCCCTACTCCGTCCGGGAAGAGAACAGGGTACAAAGAACCTCGTTTCAACATTTTGACTAGTTCATCTTGACATTCCGTGTTGGCGTCCCGCGGCAGTCACTGCCAAGACCTCGCGGGGACTGCTCCTATCTCGGGTGGCACCGACATCTTATCAGATTCTCTTCCGTCAATCGAAGCCAAGATCTCGAGCGCCACACTAGCGATGACCCGTTGCCAAAGTCAGAGGCAGGTGAGTTTTATCACCTTTTCTCCCCTGTCCAGACCTGCTTTGGATTAGGCAAGTGCGCTTCGACGAAGTGTTCACCTGCCGTTTTGGGAGATCGTCGTCAAGGGCCGATGCAACCCTCCGGAAGATGATGCCGGTCAAGTTGACCATGGTGGCGAAGTACAGGCTGTGATTGGAGAATTTGGCCATCGAAATTATCTACAGAAAGGGTCTCCAGGACGGCATATGGTATGTGATCAATCCAGATCAATCCGGTGCGGTATAAATAGGCTACCGTGCTCTCCAGCTTCAAGGGAAGAATCTCGAGCCACAGCTTTTGCAAAAACAGTTGCAGCCTCTCTCGGATCATCTCGCTTTATACTCATATTTCTCTCGGATTGTATTGCTTTCCATACTCCAACATGAAGTTCTCTACCTTAATCGGTGCTACCCTCGCTGCTGGAGCCGCCGCTCAGCCCAACATCTTCCTGATCCGGCACGCCGAGAAGAACTCGGACGGCACCATCTCGGCGCAGGGCATGAAGCGGGAGCAGTGCCTGGTCAACGTCTTTGGCCGCGACAGCGACTTCAACATTCAAAAGATTATTGTCCAGAACCCTCACTCCGGCGGTAAGGCAGCACCCTAACAACAAAGCACTGAAAAGCTGCTAACCTCACTTCAAAATAGACAACCTCAGCCAGCGCCCGTACAACACGACGCTGCCGCTGGCACGGTCTCTTGGGCTGACGATTGAGCACGAGTGCGAGTACGACGACCCCGAATGCGCCGCCAAAGAGGCCAGGGCCTACAGCGGCGACGGCAACATCCTGATTGCGTGGGAGCACATTATGCTGCAGCACGTCTCGGAGGCGCTCGGCGCCAACGCGCCCAAGTACCCGGGCAGCCACTACGACCTTATCTACGATCAGCCCTACCCGTACGACTCGGTGACGGTCTACTCGGAGGGCTGCCCTGGCCTGGACTAGGAGACGAAATGGTGGGAAGGATGCGAATGGCGGAGGTGTCGCTAAGCTGGAAAATGGAAATCCACACCGTAGTAGCATGATTTAAGTACTATTCAATAGGAGTGGGTTCTTTGGTGCCATTATTTTGCGCTCCGTGGAGTAATCGGGTAATTTTGCGCCGGTCGTGTTCTTCGTGTAAGCGACAGTCAGCGCCATGACGATGACGTCAAAGAAGCTGAGAAGAGGAGAAGAGTTGCACAGTAAGAAGGAGGCTCTTGGATGAAGATGAATATTTTCGACCAAGAGAAACGTGATGAAGCAAGCGTCGCATTTATCCGGATGTCCGTAACCACCAGTGGAATTGAGAAAGGCAGGCAGAAAGAAGATTCTCGGTAGGCCGGGCGGGCTCTGATTTATTGGAGCCGGTGGATGTCCAGGGGGTTCGGCGCAAGCTGGATAGCTAGGTAGGTTTCTGGTTCATCGACGGCAATTACAAGGAATTAGTTATTACTCGGTGGAGTGGAGAGCGGGATAGCGAAGTGATACTGGTACAAGATATGAGAGAAAACTCAAGATTTTGAAAGTCTGCTGGTTGAAAGACGAATTGAGCAGCTGCTCAAAGCTGTTGCCAAAGTCTCGAGAGCGAGTTGTCAACTTGTTTACTAAGAATTTAGTGCATGATCGAGCGCCACTAGTTAGTACTAATAGTTAGCTTCGGCAGTGATGATCTGCCCCGGGTTATGCAAGTTTTTCGCCCCAACCTTGAATATGTACTGCCAATAACCAATATGTATATCCACGCATCGTGCAAGCAGGGGGATCGGACAAGTCCTACCGCATCGACGCAACCTGAGGATGCAGCGCCTTTTACAAGCTGTCAATACTTGGCCCGGTCGTATCCCGCGGAGATGCCACATCGCCCCTTCTTGACCGGTCTCCTCCTGCATGGGCTGCCGGCCTGGCGCATCGCCTCGATTACCTCTCAACGGGCACGATCCGGAGCCCAATCTAAAGCGGCCCTGCCTTATATGTAACCCCTTTATTATATGTAATGGAAATGTCTCGCCCGTCATAAAACATAGCCGGTGCTGAGGGGATCGGACAGTCTCCCAATTGCCAGGTTCCTGAACATCTCGCCGACCATTCCACCATCTTGTACAATATGCGTCCACCGCTCACATTGGGGGTTGTCGCCGCCCTACTCACTCCAGCGGCATCCACCACCAGCAACATCCTCGATGCCGTACGTTCAACACCCCCCCTCTCACTGGTACCACGTCTTCTAACCCAACCCAGTGCGCCACGCTCGCCGCTTCGCTCGGCGACGGCGTCGCCTTCCCCAACTCGACGTCGTACCTCGGCGGCCTGTCCTACTGGTCCGCGCGCCAGAGCGCCCAGCGGCCCTATTGCCTCGTCTCGCCCTCGTCCGCGGCCGAGGTCGCCGTCGTGCTCACCACGCTCATCCGCGCCGGCGCCCCGTTCACCGTCCGCGCCGGCGGCCACACGGCACACGCCAACGGCTCCAACACGGACGACGGCGTCACCGTGTCCCTCGCGCGGCTGCGCACCCTGCGCCTCGCCCCCGACCACACCTCCGTCGCCGTCGGCGCCGGCCTCCGCTGGGGCGACGTCTCGGCCGCCCTGGACCCCCACGCCCGCGCCGTGCTCGGCGGCCGCGACGCCGACGTCGGCGTCGCCGGCCTGCTCCTCGGCGGCGGCTTCTCCTTCTTCTCCGGCCGCCACGGCTGGGCCTGCGACAACGTGCTCGGCATGGAGGTCGTGCTGGCGTCGGGGGCGGTCGTGTACGCCAACGCGAGCCAGCACCGGGACTTGTTTCGCGCCCTGAAGGGCGGCGGCGGCTCCAGCTTCGGCATCGTTACGAGGTTTGACCTCGCCACGATTCAGCAGGGCGACTTGTGGACGCGCACCGTCATCTTTGACGGCCGCGCGGACGAGGCCATTGCCGAGGCCGCGACGACGCTTTTCACAGACGGCATGGAGGAGGACCCGGACGCCCATGCGTACTTCGTGCGTATGCACCAGCCCGCCTACGGCGGCTTCACAAACCTCGCGAGCTTCTTCCACGCAACGCCGCCGCCGCGGCTCAGCGCGTCGACGTACGCCACGCCGCCTGCCTTTTCCGCCTTTGACGCTATCCCCGGCGTGCTCGCCAACACGAGCATGGTCGGCAACCTCAGCGCCATCTCCGCGACCATCTCGAGCGCCTACGGACAGCGCCAGGCGTGGTCCAACATTGCCTTTGCGGCCGGCTCTCCGGCCGCCATCACCGAGCTGCTCGCGCTGTGGGACGCCGCCGTGCTGGCCATTGTCCCGCAGGCGGCCGCGCGCGGCGCCGTCTACGCACCGTTCGCCATCTACCAGGCCGTCTCGCGCAGCCACCTGCGGGCGTCGCGCGCGCGCGGCGGCAACGCCATGGGGCTCTCGCCGGAGACGGGGCCGCTGGTCGTGATGCACTTCCTGACCGGCTGGTCCGACGAGGCACTCGACGCGGCCGTCCTGGACGGCACGCGGGCGCTGGTCGGCGCGGCTGAGGACAGGATGAGGGCGCGCGGCGCGGACCGCGCGTTTGTGTACATGAACTACGGCGGCCAGTGGCAGGATGTGCTGCAGCGGTACGGCCTGCCGAGCTATGCTGCGCTGCTCACGACGTCGCTGCGGTATGATCCGCGGCAAGACTTGCGGCGGCTGTGGAGGGGGTACTTTAAGCTCTACTGATGGAGCATTTCGATAGTTGTATGGAATCTAGGCATAAAAAAAACACAGCTGCGAAACTGGCTGGCATTTCGCATTCTTGATTCTGTTGTTGAGGAGCTTGCTTGTACATAGTAACTGGCGCCTGGGTCAACCTGGCCCAGGAAGGCATGGGAGACGACAGCAGGACCTTTATTCTCACTCAGCATCTGCAGCTTCACAGCATTCGTGTATATTAAAACTGCATTTATAACAAAATATTGACCTTTTCATGGTGTAGTTGGAGCAAGCACATAACAGCTTGTAACCGATGTAATAGTCTAGAAAAGACTTTGACGAATTAGTATGTCTCTGTATGTATATTATTTACTTTTTAGTGTATTATATTTTCATAAGTGATCATTTTATAGCAAGTGTAGCCAACTCTAGTATTTTTTGAGGGGTTTCGTTAATCACAAGTTATCGTAAAGGGATAGTAAAAGTTGTAAGGTTGCGTCTTATCTTATAGGCTAAGTGAGACTATCCGTATTCTAGACTACATATTTGAGTGTCAGCTGGAATTGATAAGCCTTCTTTCTTCCTTCAAGCTAGCCTCACCCACGGGGAAAGTCGGCACATCTATTTCTCCTCGGCAGGGACAATGACGCCCGGTGAACATGCGTGATTATTCCTCCACAAATCAAAGTAGGCAAATGCGCGGACGCGCACGGCACAATTGCCATCGCCCGGTCACAGTGAGTTACTTAAAGATGGCTCCTAGTTGAGGACTTGCCATAAAAGGCTCTTGACCTGCGACTACCTATTCCTGGCCTCTAGGCTACTGCTCCTTCACCGTTCAAAACCCAATCACTTGCAATCATCATGGCTACGGCGACAGACAGCGTCGCGCAGCTCTACAGCACCATCGCCACCTCCGAAGCCACACGCCTGGCCTTGCACCCCATGGAGCGCGAAATCACCCTCCGCACTATCCGCGCGCACCTCCCGGCCGCGTCCGCTGTCGCCGACGTGGGCGGTGGCCCGGGCAAGCTCGCCTTTGCGCTCGCCGACGACGGCCACGCCGTGGACCTCGTGGACCTGACGCCCGCGCTCGTCGCCCTGGCCCAGCAGGAGCAGGACGCGCGCCGTGCCTCGGGCCAGACCGACCACCTGCTGCGGAGCCTGTCCGTGGGCAATGCCCTGCACGTGTCGGCGCTCCTCCCGGCGGCCTCGTACGACGGCGTGCTGCTTCTCGGGCCGCTGTACCACCTCGTTGAGGAGTCGGAGCGCGTCGCGGCGGTGGCGCAGGCGCTGCAGCTGGCCCGGCCGGGTACGGGGGTGGTGTTTTGCGCGTTTGTTAGTGTGGCGGCGCATCTGAGGGACATTGCCGTCCGGGACCCGGCCAAGCTGGTTCGCGCGGGGGGCTTTTACAAAAACTATGTAAGGCGCGAGTTCCATGTTTGTTGGCGTACTTGAGACTGATGAGAACGGGCAGCTACGTAGTGGCAGATATGACGCTTTCAAGGAATCGCTCGGGATTGCGGTGCAGGGCTACCACACTTGCGCTGCCGACACACGCGCGTTCCTGGAGAAGCACTTTACGAAGGAGGCGGAGCTTGTTGAACTACGCTCGACAGAAGGGATTCTCGGCGGCGGACTGGATGCCAAGCTTGAGGATGCTGGGCCTGAGGTCGTCCAGGCATGGGCCAGTCTCATGTACGACGAGTACTCGGCAAAGGAAGAGTATCTAGGCTGCGCCGACCATCTTATTGCTGTTCTTCGTAGGAAGTAGTTGGACGTACTATTGAATCCGAAAATAGTGCTTTGACCGTGTATGTTTGATCATCTATTTTAATACTGTGTGTATGTAACTGGACGGTCCTTGCATGCACGTACAAAGGATAGAACAAAGAAATGAGGAACAGATTAAGACTGACGAGACTGATATGAATGTAATAAATACATAATGAGAACGATAAGAATAATGATAAGATTAAGAATAATAAATGTATATCAAGGTACAGATGTTGACTAGGTAGGCAATTACACGCTGCTGTCAGTACCCTGATATAAGACCTGTCGCCGCTGTCGGCCGCTGTATTTTAGCGCGGGGCGCTACAGCCTGCCTGTACCTTTTAGTACTGTAGCTGTGCCACCTGGATACCTGGATACGAGTACCTAAACAGTGAGTTATGCCAAGGCCTCAATGTAGGCGTCAAGTATTTTCAAGTTCTTTCTAGGCACAATAGCTCTCGTGATATTCTGCGGTCTCGGTTGAATGAAAATGCCCAAATCCGATAAGTATCCTGGGCTTGGATGCTTGGCTGCTTGGCTGCTTGGCAGTGAGCAATGGTCGCTGGAGCGGTCCCTATTGGCGCCAAATAGAGGCCTCAAGGGCAGCCAAGAAAGTCCGTCAGCGCCTGCCTGTCTAGTGTTACTCCGTACTAACTAACTCGTACCCTCGCTCGACTGCGCCTCATGTAAGCCTCACCTCACAGAGCCACCACATCCCACCCCCTCCAACGCCTCCAACGCCAACTTTACATACGCAGCCTCCACGAAGCACTTCCCGTGGCGAGCAACGTTGCCATTGCCGCCCGCCCACTCGCTCACTTCCCACCCGTGCTACTACAGCTTCTCATATCACTAAACAGTACTTCTTGCGCTCAGTTTGCTCTCGCGACATCTGCATGCGCCTACCAATCTAGCACATTCGCACGCCGCGAGCCACTCTTCCTACGTCACCCTGCAACATGGCCGAAGTCGAGGCTATGCCGACCTTTGGCACCGAGCTCAAGGTGAGCGCCCCCTCTGTTCGATTTGAATCATCACAACCCTTCGTCAATACGAGAGACCACCTCTCGACGTCGCCGACACTACAACATACGGATACTAACCCCCCCACTAGGACGGATTCAAAGGCGCAAACATTTGGGTTGGCCACGGGATCGGCTGGCTCGAAGACATTCAGCAATTCTACCGCGAGCGCGCCGCCATCGAAAAGGAATACAGCGCCAAGCTCGCCACGCTCGCCAAAAAGTACTTTGAGAAGAAGAACAAGAAAACATCTCAGCTGAGTGTTGGCGAGACACCTAGCATGACGCCAGGCTCTCTCGAAAGGTAACTGATGAGCTCTGTCGCATCCGCCCCGACGTCAAACGGCCCTGATACTAAAACTACGCGTCTTCCACAGCGCATCTGTCACGACCTGGGCCACCCAGTTGACCACCGTCGAATCCCGAGCTGCCGAGCACGACACCTACGCCAACAACCTCATTTCCCAAGTCGCCGAGCCGCTCAAGTACTACGGTGCGCGCTTCGAAGAGCTGCGCAAACGACATTCCGACTATGCCGACCACCTCACTGCTGAGCGCGATGCCTCTTATGACCACCTGCGCAAAATCAAGGGCAAGTACGACACTACCTGCCAAGAGCTCGAGGCTCGCCGCAAAAAGTCCGAGTCCAGCTACGACAAGGCCAAGGCCCAGAGCGCCTACCACCAGCAAATGATCGAAATGAACAACTCCAAGAACACATACCTCATCACCATCAACGTCACGAACAAGCAAAAAGAACTGTACTACCATGAATATATCCCCGAAGTCATGGACAGCGTACAGGACCTCAACGAATTTCGTATTCTCAAGCTCAATGGGTTGTGGTCGGTTGCAAGCCAGCTCGAGGAGGGTCTCATGAAGCAAAGCGCTCAGTTGATGCAGGGCCTCACCCAGCAAATTGCCAGAAACCAACCCCATCTCGACTCCATGATGTACATGCGGCACAACCTCGGTGGATTTCAAGAACCTGCCAACAATACCTTTGAAGCCAGCCCCCTCTGGCACGACGATAATCTCATGGTTGTAGACGAGCCGGCAAAGGTGTACCTGCGCAATGTGCTCAGCAAGTCTAAATCACAGCTCGGAGAGCTACGACGTGAAGTGGATCGGAAACGGCGTGATGTTGAATCCGTCAAGAACTTGAAGCAAAAAGTACGCAACGGTACGGAAAAAAAAGACGAGGTCGAGGTAGTCAATCAACTGTTTGCACTTCAACAAGATTTACACAGCGTCAACCGCAAGCGAATAACGGCAGAAGTCGAGACAACAACCATCACGGCTGCCGTTGGTGATGTAACGTTGGGCGCAAACAATCACAATTTCAAGAGTCAGACTTTCAAGATACCCACCAACTGCGATCTTTGCGGCGAGCGCATATGGGGACTCAGCGCCAAGGGTTTCGACTGCCGAGACTGTGGCTACACTTGTCACAGCAAATGTGAAATGAAGGTACCTGCCGACTGCCCCGGTGAACAGAGCAAAGAGGACAAGAAGAAGCTCAAGGCTGAACGCCAAGACTCAGCAAATAAATTTTTGACACCAACTACCGCGGCCCCTACACACGTGGCTGAATTACCGGATCTCAGCAGATCTAACACCATGAATTCACTGAGCTCCCGCTCAGCGCGCCGGTCGTTTTCAGGATCAGGACTCGAAGCGCCCGCCGAAAACGAGCAGCCGAGGAGACCTAGTCCGTCTCCGAATCCGACCGGCGGGCGAAGGAACAGGGTCGTGGCACCGCCACCCGCAGCATACATTACAGACTCTACCGGCCATGCCAATGGTGGAAGCCAAGAGAGGAAGGGCAAGATTCTCTACCCATTCGATGCTAGTGGCGATGAAGAAATTTCCGTACAAGAAGGGAGAGAAGTTGTGCTAGTCGAACCAGACGGTGAGCTGATTGTATTAATGACTTATCTGCCCTCCAAACTAATCTCAACTCTTAGATGGGTCTGGCTGGGTAAAGGTTAGAGCTGGCAATAGGGAAGGAATCATTCCCGCCACCTATGTTGAATTCAGCAGCGTCGTTCCTGCCGCCCCGGCACGCCCGTCATCGACATACTCGAACTCGACGACGTCCTCGGTAGCGCCCTCCACGGCCAAGAAGAAGGGCCCCGCCGTCGCGCCTAGGCGAGGCGCCAAGAAGCTCAAGTACGTCGAGGCGCTCTACGATTACGTGGCGCAGACCGAGACCGAGCACTCGATGAACCAGGGTGAGCGCTTCGTGCTTGTCAAAGAGGACCCCGGCGACGGCTGGGCCGAGGTGGAAAAGGCGGGCGTGACAGGCAGCGTGCCCGCAAGCTACATCCAGGCCGTCTAGGTGACGCGGCATGCCGTCGTGGATCCGCAGCGACGGCGCACCTGTCAAAGTCTGTCATCCTATGGGGCTTCTTCTTGAATCGCTGGTGGTAGTGATTGTGCGTGTACATACAGAGGGGGGTGCAGGGGAAAAGAGACCAAAAAGCTAACACTAAGTTGGGGTTTTCTTAGTTCTTTTGTTTACACGGGGCCGGGGGTCAGGCATTCTACGGGAAAAGACGGGGAGCATTGCATATATATTGTCGTTTTTGAGTTATTCTTCTTCTTGTCCGCCTGTTGGATTACCTTCATAGCTGGTCAAAAGTAATAGCATGCATTTTTTACAATCTGACATTGTTTTTGCGTGAGGCTCTCGGAAACTATACCAACGCCCTTTTGAACATTGTTTTAGTAAGAAGAAAAAGACGGATGTGCCAAGATAAGAGGAGTCTGTTCTGTTCGCGGCTTCGGTGCCACAGATCTAAAAATATAGGAGCGAATAAGACAAGCTAAATATGTGCAAATAGGACCAAACATGATTAAGTCCCCGATCCTGTCCCTGCCATGTATCGAGGGGTATATCTATCGCTTCTTCTTCCGCCGGCTCGTTCACAAAGGAACCGTTCAAGTGTTGTCATCTGCTCATAGCGCTCTATCCGTGTAATAAACAACCGAGAAAAGACCCCCAATTTTTCCTTCTTTCCTCCCATTCCTTTGCCGTGCGAAAAAGAAGATATCTATTATTAAAACAAATGTGTACAACTTTTTGTCCATTCGCTAGTTGTGACGAAGAAGGTGCCCCCTCCCCCCAAAAGAGCAAACAGGAAATGCATGAAATGTAAGAAGAAAAGCCAAAGTGATTGAACTGGTGAAATTGGTGCCAAAGAAGAGGATGAGTGTGGCCGCCTTCATTCCCCAGTCTGCACCCCATCAAATACAAAAAAAAGCAAATCGAAAAAAAGGGGAGATGATAGTTAAAAAGTACATTTTCCAGCACAAAAAGTGGGAAAAGGGGGTTTGTTGCCGGTAAAGCGAAAAAGGGTTCCAAGTTCCGCCGCCATGGAAAGCAAAGGCCAAGCTTTCAGCTGGCCGAAAGAAATCGAGCAAGCGAAAAAGGGCTTGCAGCCAAATAGGGGTGAGTGGAATGAAAATATTGCCCTGCGCATGTGATGAGAACTCATATCCCGAGGCCCGAAGAAAATATCGTTACAGTTGTGAAGAAGGGGAAAAATCCGCAAAAAGAGGAGAGTGTAAAACCGAGTCTATAGCCGCTGAAATGCTGTCTTCGTAAAAAAAGAGGAGGAGGGTATGGTTGGTTTGCGTGAGATTCGTAATAGTGAGTACATTTTTTTTTTCGGTTTGATGGGGTGTTTGGTCGCAGTCGACCTCATCGTTGGATTTCGCTTTAGATCATTTGCGCCGTCGGCGCGCCGAGGCTGTGCCCGCCGAGGCTGTGTCCGAGACGGAGCGCGTCCTGCAGTTCGGCTATTTGCGCCATCATGGCGAGCGAGTGCTGCCCCTGCTGCTCCATGTCGAGCTTGAGCTTTTCATTCTCCATTCGCACGCGCTTGATCTCGTCGCGGAGCTCCGCGACCTCGTCGACAGCCAGCGCACTGGTGCCGGTCGCGGACCCGCTAGACCGACGCTTGCGCTTCATACCTGAACGCTCGCTGTCGTTGCCGCCGTCCGGAGACGACACAGCCGCGGCCGACTCAGCAGCGGCGGCGGCGGACGGCGAGGCGCCGCCCTCGGGGCTCGTGTGCACGCGGCGGAGATGCTCGTTCAGGTTCTCCTGGCGGGAGAAGCCCTTGCCGGTGTGGCGCTTGCAGTTGGGGTGCGGGCAGTTGACCGTGTTCTTGGGCCCGCCGTGCTTGTTGTGCACCTCGCGCTCGTGGCGGAGGAGACCGCCCGAGTAGGTGAAGCCGGGTAGGTTCTCGCAGCCATCGGCCGGGCAGCGATAGGGGCGTTCGTGCTTGTCCATGTGCTTACTGTGAGGGGGGAAAAAGTTAGCTTGTATGCGCGCGCGCAAAACCAACCAAAATAGTCGGAGCATGGGAGGGATTGCTTACTTCCACTCGCACCTGCGCAAGAATGTGCGAACGTCCTCCTTGCAGTCCTCGAGCGGGCAGTGAAACCGCCCATCCGCTTGCTTGTTGACGGCGCGGGACGGTTTTGGGATCGGTTTTACGCGCGACGACGACGGGAGCGACTCCAACCCGGGCGACGGATCTTTGCTGTCGGGCAGCGGCGGTGACATGTCGGCGGCGGACATGGCCACGCCGAGCGGGGACGGAAAATCGGTAGCGCTGAGATCGATGCGGGTGACGTCGTCGGAGCCGACGCCACCGGACGGATCGTGCAGCATGTTGCGCTCGTCGAGGACATGGCGGTCGTCGTCGTCGTCTTGGAGTAGGCCGGCGTCGGCCGTGTAGTGGCTGAGGTGCTCGGCCACGTCGGAATCGGTAAAGCGTTGGTCGGCGCCGTGGTCGTGCTCGTCGCCGATCGGGGGGTACGCCCCCTCATGAATAAAGGACCGGGGCTCGTATGCGACACTCATGATGGCCCGGACAAGGTGTGACTGCGCAACGTGCGCTATGAGTTTCGTATGATGGGCGCGAAAAGATGCCGGTCGATCTCGGGTCGCAGAGGGCGAACAACGTTTTGTTGGGCAACCAGGCCGTGGGAATTTGGCGCACAATAGAAGAGGAATGAGAGGCGCGCAAAGGGCGGGTATTGTATGGTACAGACGCGAAAGAGTCGCCTTGATAGACGCTGGCTTGGTGTAAGCGGCGTCGAAGGGTATGGTCGATGTGGATTTAGAATCGCGACAGGCGTGGCCTGAAAATTCTGGTTCAAAGGGAGATCCCAAGGCAAACAACGTGTGGATCGGTGGCGATTAGTCAGGACTGGCACGTGACTGCATTAGTCAGGAATGTTTCAAGGTTGTGGGTTCTAAACGCTTTCAAGATGCTTCTGGTGCTTCCTTTCTTTGTTGCTTGCCCCGACTCTTTCCAAAAAGAGGAAAATTCCTCGCCTTTATCAACGCGCAGGCTAGGCATCTATCGGCCATGACTGTATTCTTGCCGACGCGCCTTTTACGCCCAAATGAGTCCCGGGATGTTGGTGACTCATTGGTTTCTAGTCTCGTGCAAAAGGCGGCGAATCGAGTGGGGGGCAAGGCTGTAACGTGCAAAAGCACCAATAGCCATCCGGTTCACCCCTACAAGAATGCCTTTGGCGCTTCTCGTTGGCTGGGGTTCCTCAAGGCAACGCTCGCATCGACCATCCTATTTGACAATAATGAAGAGTCTTACTGCAACAAAAAGCGGCTGCAGCCTTGTTCCATGCTGTCTCTCAGCCTTGCCTTGTAACTCTCTCCTCTATTAAATTCCTTATTAGTAGGGCTGTTAGTGCCCTGCGCAAGATATCACCTTACGCTTAATAAGCTTTAAAACCCCCTTTTCTAGCTATGTAGGCTAACGCTATAGGCGTACTGCCAGTCCCTCAACTAACGGAGCCTATCCCCTCTTAAACGATAGACTATTCAACCCTCTAGCTAAGTTAAGGAGACCTTAACTCCCTCTAGAAAGAATATAGTTTAGCCTCTAATAAGAGAGCCTATTCTAAAGATAACCCTTAAGGACAAAGAGCTTAAGATAATAATAATAACTATAGACCTATACTAAAGCTTATCTCTATTAACCCTACTACCTACTTTACTATACTAATTAAGGCTACCTTTAATTAGGCCTTTTATATATACTAATCTCTTTTTAAAGTTAGAAAGGTCCTAGCTACTACCCTAGACACGTCTCTAAGCTAGTTTAATAAGCTAGAAGATACTAAAGTAGTATAGAGATATTAAGATATTATTAGTTTAGCTATTAAGAAGGTTATTAACCTAGGAAAATATAATAAACCTATACTTACTATAGGTTTAGTTAGAACCACGAATCCCCTAGTATCTTATAGAGATATAGCTACTAGAGGAGCCCTAGAACCACCTAGCTCTAGCTATGGATATTAACAATAGACTAAGCCTAGAAACTTATAGAAGGATATTCTAGTCGCTAGAAAGGGATAGACTAGCCTATAAAGTAGAATATAGGGAGCTTATTAGCTAGATAAATAAATCCTTATTAGAATCCTAAGGGAGTCTAAGGCATAAATAATTAATCTCTACTATATCTATTAAAAGATTATAAAGGTATATTAGATTAAGGTTAAGGATATTAGCTAGATTTCTTAGATACCTTCTAGAATTACTATTACCCTTAGAAACTAATAAGTTAGTATAGCTATACTTAATTATAACCCTTAGCTATCTAAATTACTTAATATAACTTATATTAAGAAATCTAAATCTTAAACTATATATACGCTTAAATCTATCCTACGCTATATTACTAACTAGATAGGTACCCTAGTTGCTACTACCCTCCTTATTAAGGATGTGATTAAGACTACTATAGGAGTTACCTTAAAACAGTTCTAACCTACACTTACTATAGAGAGGTAGGACTACTAGATAATTATTATTAAATTTACTAAAGAGGTATTACCCTTCTAAGTCTTTAATAGCTAACTAGTAAGGTTAATAAAATCACTTATTAAGCTCTATCTATATAAAGTATACTAGTAATAACATAACCTATAAGTATGCCTAGCCTAAAAGATCTACTCTAACTATAGTAAAGCTAGATATAATAGCCTTTAGTATAAGATAACCCCCTAGTATACTAACTATTATAGCTTTTACCTAGTAGCTAATAGCTCCTACCCTACTAAGCCTAAGGTTAATAAAGGCAGTAGCCTTAATAAGCCTATAAAAGCATAGCTAAAAGTTATATAATAAAAAGGATTAGCTATATATAAAGCTATACTCCTAAGAAACGCAATATAATCTTAGTATACCTAATAACTAACCCCTCCCTAACTAATAAACAATATATCTACACCTTCTAGTAAGGCGGACTATAATATAGGTAGCAACCCTATAGAATAAGCTAAAGATATTACTACCCCTAAAGAGCCTATATAGATTATAAGTATTAGAGATAACTAGGCTATAGGTTAGATTAGCAATATAGTAGAAATTATCTTTATAAGTAAAGGAGGACTATCCTTTAATATTAAGATGTTATTATCCTCTATAGATATAGAAACCCTTATACCTATACCTACCTAAAAGAGTAAATATAGTTAGTTAGCTATAGAAAAAGCCTTAAAATCTTCTTAATAATAGGATACCTAACTATCTTTTAAGTTAATATTACTAAAGCTATTAGTATATATAACTATATGCTAGTACTTACTAGTAAAGTTAAAGCTAATATTATACTCCTATAGGAGCTATAGTTCTTAAAAAATTAGAAGATAGTAATATATAGAGATTATATCTATATTACCCCTATCTAATAATAGTTAGCCTCTAAAGGAATTAATACCTAGCTAAGGGTTCTTACCTATATCTTAAGGTAACTCTATTAACTAGTAGTCTAGTAGCTCCTAGGCCCCCCCTATTAAAATATAGTTAGTATAACTATCTTAGGATACTATTTTCTTAATATATATTATAATAATAATAAACTATATATTATTAAAGCCCTTAAGAGATAGACTATACTAGATAAGATACTTATTATAGGGGACTTTAATATATACTACTATAAATAATAGCTAGGTATAATTATAAGTATAAGAATAGCTAACCTAGTAGGCTAGTTCTTTAAATAAAATCTTTAAGTATTAAACTCTAATAGTACCTCTATATATAATATTAATAATATACTAGACCTAGCAGTATTAAATATCCCTCTTATATATATATATATTACTCCCTACCTATATACCTTATTAGACTACTTAACCTTAATTATAGTAATCTTAAATATAGTATTACCTATAAAGCTAGCTAATAGACCTTGCCTTTAGGAAGAATAGGTCTTAAAATTTATTAAATACCTTAAAAGTAATACCTAGATATTATATAATAAGGACTATAATTCTATATAAGGCCTTAAGGCCTTAGTAATTAACCTAGTAGAAGCCCTTAACTTAGCGCTAAAGTCCTATAGAATAGTACTAATATAAGAAAAGAAGGGGGTGTTATAGTAAAATAAAGAATACTAGAACTTATACTACTAAATAGTAAGAGAAGTATAAAGGAATACTATAGCGGTAAGTAGCTTAAAGAAAGAGTTTTAAAGGATAGTTTAGAAGGTAAAGAGGAGCTTTAATAAGAAACTAGTAGAGAGTATTAATAAAGATAAAACGCTCTATAAGGTAATAAACTAGTATAAAACGACGTCCTAGTTCTAGACCCTCCTAATTAAATATAAGGGTATGGTGTATATAGAGTTAGTAGAAAGAGTAGAATGCTTATAGAAGGTACTACTAGAGAGAAGAACCTAGGAAGAGGACTTTCTAAAGAACGTGCTAACCTATATAAGATAAGTAATCCCTTAGAAAGATAATATCTCTATAGAGGAGATATAGGATACCCTAATCTCTACTAGTAATACCTTACTAGGGGTAGATGGAATTATAGTAAAGCTATTATAAGCCGCCTAGCTAGTAATATAAGAGCCTATAGTTAGACTCTTCTAAGGCTACCTTTTAGTTAGCTACTACCTAACTATCTTTTAATAAGCTAATATAGTTATAATCTTAAAACTAGATAAGGATAATAGGCTAGTTAAAGGCTAGTAACTAATCTCTCTCCTCTTATACCTTAGAAAAGGTATTAAATAACTACTAGCTAGGTAGATTACCTAAGCCTACTTATAGTATAGGATTCTACCCCTAACTATTATAAGAGTACTCCTAAAAAGATCTTTAACTAATATTATTAGTATACTAATATATAATATTAAACTTACCTTAATAGCCTATAAGGATACTATCTTCTTTACCTTTAATATATAGGGGGCTTTTAATATAGTATAACTATACTAACTTCTCCTTACCCTCTAATAATAAGGCTAGATAGCTAATATTATTATATAGATAGGCTCTTTCCTTATAAGTAAGAAGGTATAGATCTAAATTAATAACTACTAAGGAAATATAGTTAAACTAGTCTATAGTCTCCTATAGGGCTTACCTATCTTACTAATACTCTTCCTTCTTAGTATAGGATACCTATATAAAGGGGCCTATTAGTATAGCTATACTAATAATAGGGGTACTTTAGTAATAGGTTAAGATTAATAAGACTTAATTACTAGAGCCTAAGAGAAGCTTAACTAAGTAATTAAGGTTACTAGAAATAGTAGGGTAACTCTAGACCCTATTAAAATAGAAGCTATCCTCTTCTCCTATAAGAGAGATAAGTATATAGATACCCTATACTATAGGGACCTTATAATACCTATTAAGAAGAGTATAAAGTAGTTAGGTATATACCTAGACTCTATACTCTTATTTAAGACCTATATTAAAGAATAGATAAAGAAGGTAAGGACTTTTACTAGATATATTAAGGGACTTAGCTAGGTACTTTAGGGTGTTACCTTTATTTTTACTAAGAAAGCCCTCTATACTATAGTACTATTAAAACTCCTTTTTAAGGTAAAACTTTAGTATATAGGTAGTATAAAGCCCTCCTATAAGAAGAACTAAGATAAGACCTTTAAGTAGGTTAAGATAGGACTCTTTAAGTAGCTAGATAAGATATAAAAATATATAATATTTAGTATTTAAAGTATTATCTTAATATAGAAGATTATACTAATTACTACCCTTTAATAGGAGTTAAGTACCTTACTAATCTACTTACTCTTTAATAGGATAAGAGATTAATATATACTATAGCTCTAGTTGCTTAATAAGAAGTACCTATTAGTATATAGGATTAAAGGTTTTAAGAATAGAAATAGAGTAATAGGCCCCTAGAAGTAATAACAACTAACTATAGTAGTTAGTACTTATAAGAGTATCCTAGTATTTAAATGCCTATTACTCTAACTACTAGTATACCTCCTAAAGGAAGTATATTAGGATAAGGCTATAAAAATAAACCTCTTCTAGTAATAGCTTAAGATAAAGATAAACTACTATTTTACTACCTTTTTAAATAGCTTAATAGATATAAAGGGTAATATAGGTATAAGCTATATCCTTTTCTAAGGAAAAACCTACCTTATCTATAGGGGTAAAAAACTAATACCCCTTAATAAGGTCTTTAATATAGAGATAGAAGGAGCTTAGTATAGACTCTAAGCTATTATCTAATACCTAATACTATAGATTAAAGAAATTATAGTCTACCTAGATAATATAGTAATAATAGTAAGCCTAAGAGGAGGTATCTTAGTATCCTTATATAGCTTAATTATAGAGTTCTAAATACTAATAAGGTCCTTTAGTACTTATATTAATATTTAATAGGTCCTAAGATACTAAAGAACTACTAGTAATAAGATTACTAACTATCTTATAAAAGAAGGCTTAGCTATAAAGCCACTAATAAATAACCTAACCCCTATATAAAGCTATATTAAGAGGGTATTTATAGATAATACTACTAAGAGGCTTAATTCCTAATAGTAGATTAACTAATATAATAAATACTAGCTACTTTAACTTCTAATAAGGGACTACCCTAACCTAAAGCTTAGGGTACTTAGCCGCCTATAACTCTACTACCTCCTTATAGCTAGAACTAGCTATAGGGATTTTACTTTATATTATAAATAATTCTACTACCTTAATACTATACTTATATATAGCTATAGTAGGTAGAAGTCCCTAGGATATATCTTCTTCTATAAGAAGATATAGGGTAGGATAGTACCTTTATAGTTTAGTTAATATTAGTATATAGATAATACTATTAGTACTAGTTAGCTTAAGTATATTAAGCTTGCCTAGGAAGCCTTGTTTTTTAGTGAGGTCTACTTAAGATAGCTAACTACACTCCTTCTATATCCCCCCCTATCTAGGTTATAGGCCCCTAAGCGGCCTTATATCTTAACCTAACGACTAACTAGTGAAAGCCCTATAGAGGCCTGTTAGATAGATTTTTAATTAGAATTATTTGTAAAATTTAGGCTTGGTTTCTTAAGGTCCCCGTAGGCGTCGTTTGCCCTTTTTAGGGATTTCTACGGCGTTAAATAGCAATAAATAAATAAAAAATAAATCAGCCTTGCCTTGGTGGCGTGGCTTAAAGCGCGCGACACCTTGGGCACAGCTCCAGGCATACGTGGGCCAGCTGAGCGCTTCATTCATCACACGACAACGTGTGTTGGGATTCGTCATTCTCAGCGCCAAGGATCCGGTATAGCCAACGGTCCCTGCATTTCGCACTGCCGTGAGGTGGCGTAGCGTGAATCATGGACTTGTAGGAGGCAGCCCGACACGGTTGCACGGCATAGGAAAGGAACTGCTCCAGGCATCATGACATTTTCCAACCTTTAAGTTTCGCGACACTGAATTTATCCGTGGGACTGTCACTCAGCAGTGACTAGGCGAATGTCCAACGGCGCTACTATGCCCATCAGTACGACCGACATGTCGCAATACATCTCCAAACATGTATGTGCAAAGGGACGCGATATTCACGATTCCCTTTCAGAATATGCTACAAGTGTGGTTAAAGCGAGAGTCACATGCGCAGCGTGGCGACTACAGCTATGACTGCAAAGGCGAGGCAAGCTAGGCAGCGATGGCCTCGACCATGGTCTCGAAAGCCATCAATTTGACGCTACACCATACTGCGATTGAAGCACTTGCCAGACCCATGGCCTAACGTGACCTTAAGGCGCCAAATAAGGCTGCCCGGGGAAAGCACAAGCTGCCGTTAGCTAGCATACCGTGAAAGCGTGCCACGGATGATGCTTACCTTGCAGGGCGTTGACCACACTTTTAGTGTTTTCGTGAGAGGCAGTCCAGCATTTCGAGATAATCTCACCTAAACCACCCAGGGCCGCAACGTCTGGAAATACGCCTCTTCGGAATCGTGCCCTGATTTCCTCGTCGCGAAAGGTGACGAATGGTTCACTGCCCGTGTGCAGCTCATATAAGGCCGAGCCAAAGGCGAACAAGTCACCTTGCACACTGAGGCGATCGCCCGGATACTCGTGACTTGCCGGGACCTTGGCCGCGAGAAAGTTGGACCGCATAGAGCACCACGCAAAGTCGCCGAGGACCGCGTTGCCTTCCCCGTCCAGCATCACATGTCGAAGCGCTACACTACCGTGAATGATGCCGGCTTGGTGGATAAAGTCCAGGACCTGCGCAATCTGAATCATCCACTGCGGCTCGAGGGGCGAATTGATACCCTTGAGTCGAATGTGCGAACGCAGGTCGCGCTTGGGCGCATGCTCGAGACGGATCCCGCACATTTCCACGCCGCCGTAGTATCTAAGAAGGCCTCCATGGCCGCCCAGCTGCTCAAGTTTTTCATAGACAGCGCGCTCGTGCTGGATGCCGCGCCAATCGTTGTCGGTTATCGGCCAGCGGATGATTGTTTGTGTTCTTTTGTCGTGAACGATGAGGCCAGTCGTCCCGCGCGACACGATATCTTGCCTCCCATAACCGGAAGGAAACTCTGGGTAAGCGTTGGCCATCTTCGGAATCTATCGTTGAAGATTGGCATAAAAATATAAGGCAATAAGTATTACCTATAAATAATACTCGTCTCGGGTAATTTGTACCTGTTTTGATGTGTTTGCGTAACATCATAAAACACGTGAATGCCTGCATTCAACACCGTTTCGAGACTGACAGGCGTCTCACGTCGGCATTGTACACGAACTGTGGCCACAATCCTTTTCCACACCTTGTGTTACTCTGATGTTCGGCCAAAATTCTTTTAAACTATTTACCAAATAGAATGCTCGGAAAGTGATCGTTTCTTACCCCCAGCAGTGGCAGTCCGACGTGGCGAAGCTGCATCCCAGGCATCACGTCCGAAACATGATCGAGCTTGAATGCTTGCGCGAGAGCCGCACTGTTACCAAAGTACCAAGTTTTCTAATACTGCTGATGCAGCGAAGGAAACGGGCTATATTTTTTTTGCCCACGGCCAAGACGAGCCCAAACGCCATGTTGCACATGCTGTCCAACTTCCAAACACGTACACCCACCACCAGTTAGTCTGTGCGAGGTGAGTGAGGCGACAGGTCAGAAAACAAGACGCCACAATGGCAATGAAAATGATGACGCTGGTGAGTAGAATGATCATCAGACTGCCGCCCAAGAGACCCAGACCGCCGGAAGCACGCGCGATAGTCAGGTCTTGGGCCACCTCAGCCCAGGAATTTGGAGGATGCCAAGGGAATGATGAGCCGACAGGCATACGAGAGCGCCATAAGAACTGGCATAATAAAGGCCCGGGACGGACAATCAACTATGCCGTTTGCTACAAAATCCAACCCAAAACAAGTGTACTAATTTGACGTACCGTGAAGCATCCGTGGTGAGGCGGCAATATCGGCGCATGGCAGAGCACTAATCAGGCCCTCCGACAAAGTACCAAAGCGGCGCTGCCCAAATTAGGTGAATATAAAATACATTTGGCCAAGAACCTTTGAGCGAGTCAGAAGTTTGTCCATGTGTAGAGGGAACGAATATGACTTGCAGGCAATTCTTACAGACGCAGCAGCAATGGTCAGTCAAAAGGCGTTGAGCGTGATGCACGGCGCCTCCGGCCATACCGATCAGCAAGCAAAGGACAGGGAATGAGGCAAAGAAGCCCCCCTTTGCAAAAAAAAAAGTTGGCCATTGTTTTTAGGACAATTGTTATTTCAGGGAAGAAGAAAACCTGACACAAGGCGAGCAATGGTGTACTGCCTCATGAAGACGAACTGTTTGCAGAACCAGACCTGGGGTGTCAGCCCGCCTATACATCTCACGGCCAAGGGCCTGCTCTCCGACCCGATAGAAAATGTTGAAGACAACTTCTTGGCCTATAGTTATGGAAATTCCACAGTAAATATAGCGAAATTGGGGACGAAGATGGGCTGCGTGAACGAGATGGCTTAGCAGCTAAGCAGTCGTTGTCTGGCAGCGGCGTATATTGAGGTCAGTAGTGATTTATTTCTCGAATAATTTTGATATGGAGTGACAGTAATGCAAATATACTTGCAACTACTATTAGTTGAGGATAAATGAGCTGAGACTTGCATTCAGTAGAGTACATTGTGTGCTCAACGCCTGCCTCGGGCTTGTGCTACACAGCTGTCCAGATGAGAAATTGGTCTGAATCTGGTTCCTTTTCATGTAATAACTGACCATTCTGTATATTTTGGAGACAGATTCTATGTCCAACTTATCCTGAAACGGATATTTCAGCGATTCAAGCCTCGTAACGCGGGGAGTTCAACCCATCAACGAACAGCTTCACCGTGGCTCCCACCCGCCACACACCTGCATCTGGTGCCACGCTGCCCCGGCCTCTCATCAAGCCCATCTTCAATGTTCTCAAGCCGAATAAAATGCTCTATTCCCGCGGCATGGCGCGCGCCGCATTACATGGAAGCAGAATCATCATGCGGCGGCTATCCTCCGCCTCGCATAACATGGAAGCAGAATCATCATGCGGTTGCGGTAGCTATCCTCCGCGAACCCCGCCATCTTGGACTTCCTCATGGACGTCCACCATGCTTACGGCGGTCAGCGGGACAGGGTGACCGAGCGAGGCATTAATAAAGCCCCGGAGCTTGGGTCTTTTGTCGAATATGCCGGCATAACTAATGCCAGGTCCACCCCCCCATGTGTCCCTCGAAGGACGACGGGGCCAGAGTGCTGGATCAGAGACATTGGACGGTGATGTCTCGGATACCGGCCCGAGAAAGGTATCGGACGTATTCAACATCGAGATTATTCTCAGTTGCATCATCTATGCCGATATTCCATTCCCTGTTCAGTTGAGTTGGTCCTTCCCGCAGCCAATCCAGGCTGTTGTTGCTGTTTGTATGCAGTTGGACCCCACACACCGCCCGACCTTGGAATTGCAAACCATTTTGGGAGCGAGGGTAGAGAGATTGAAGTCTAGCCTGTAACCAGCTATAGGAGAGGAAAGAGCGAACAATCAGTTCTACTGTCTCAGCTGTAAGAGAGTGGGGAGTCATACGACTCGTTGACTCTTCCTCCACACGCAGGCTCTCTAATGGTAGGTAGCAGCATCATAAAGGACGAACGAAAGGCTTAAAGTACAGACGACGCAGAGTAAGCCCCAGACTATACCAAGCCCAGTATCAGGATCCGCACACCAGGGTTAGGGGACGGAAATAATGCGGCCCTGAGTCAGGTTCGAGGTTGAGCACGCGACAAGCCGCGGCATCATCACCAATACTGTATAGCTCGCAAAACATATGCAGTCGAGACGGCTTTACTTGCGATATTACTACCACTGCAGACAGATTTACGCTCGTAGGAATGCATATACGAGCCAATATTGATCCTGACATGCGGTAGAGCGGAAGTTGCGATGGCATCTGGCGAGACAGCAAGTGGAACAAGACTACCTAGCAGAAAACTATCGACGTATTCTCTTTTTCCCTCCCATTAAAAGAGTATAAAAGTCGCAGTAGTATAAATGAGTTCATCCTGCCCGTCCAGAACCACTCTTTCATCCTCACCACCTCATTCATCTGTCTACCAACCTGCTCCAACAAGTCTTTGCAAATACTTTTATCCCAGCATCAACATGAAGGCCATCAATCTCATCTCCCTCCTGGCCAGTGGCTCGCTTGTTTGGGCCGCCGATGTCGACAGACGCGCCGCCGAAGAAGAGTGCGGCGCTCTGGGCGTCATGGAGGCCCCCGCGGCCGCCTACTTGAACGGAGGCACTGTTCGCAAGTGCAGAGACCACCCCATGGGCTCCAACCGCGGCTTCGACATGAGCGACACCGTCGCTAACGCGCCTTTCCAGCAGCCTGAAAGGCGCGACAGCCGACGGGACACCAAGCCGATCCCCGACGCCCTCGCCAAGCGCTGCCCAAGAACCGCCGGCTGGGGCTGCGGTAATGGGGGCTACTGCTGGAAGAACTGTGGCAGGAATGGAGAGTGGTGCTGGACGGCCGCTGACGACGGCAACGGACCATGGGCGCGCTGCAATACTTGGAAGGACTGCGGCTGGGACCATCTGAGGTACGCTTGCAGCGGTGGCTGCAGTTGCTGAGTGCTCAATACAATTCATGTATCAAGCTAGTATTCAACATCATAGCCTATGTTAGATGAAGTTTCTTCCATTTCCCCTTAGGTTTGTCCCGCGTCACTGATCCCTGCAATGACGGATTCGGTCGTGTGTCCCGTGACCGTGCAGCCTTGTCGTGAATTGGGTTTCCATTGAAACGCGACCGGCCCAGACGGAGCTCGTACATGTGCTAGACGTCATCATGAAACTGCGATATTTGCCTGTGAGGAGATGTCGAGAATTATTTCCTCGCTCAATTCTTCTCTCGAGGTCTCCAGCCTGGGGTTTGCGTCGGTTCCGAATCAACGCGACACATGTGCCCTCATCACGTCGCCACATGAGCAAACCGGCAAGTGAGTCGTCCGATATCAGTAAACCATCTGGCCCAGACACGGACATTCGTTTCCATGCCATCGACGAAGTGGAATCGATGTACAGATACGGCCCTGGCGGCTACCGTCCCATGGCCATCGGCGAGCGGCTTGCCGGCCGTTACCACGTACTGAATAAACTCGGTCACGGCAGCTATTCCACCGTCTGGCTCGCGAGAGACGAGGCAGTTCAGCGACTCGTTGCGGTCAAAGTCTGCACGGCCGACGCGAACTTGCGTGAGCCTGAGATCTTGGGCTTTTTGGGTGACTTGCCCGAAGCCGACAGCAACGTTGGCGCTTGGGGACAAGCCTTGATACCCGCTCTCCTCGACAGATTTTGCATCGACGGTCCAAACGGCACCCATACATGTCTGGTCAGTGAACCTACACGGTGTAGCCTGGCCGACGCAGTGTACATAGGGTGTAATCTACCACTGCCGCTTCCTGTTGCGCGTGCGATTGCGGCTCAGATCATTCTCGCGGTTGCGCACCTGCATGACAATGGGGTTGTCCACGGAGGTGAGCGCTAAGACGCGTCTGCCCTCAACTTATCCCATTTCACTGACCACGCAGACCTGCACCTGGGAAACGTTCTATTCAAGCTTCCAGGTAAATGTCATACCTGGTCTGACGAGGAGCTGTTGGCGAGTTGCGGAGAGCCGGAAGAGGTCAAAGTTATCGCATTTGATAACAAACCTATTCCAGCAGGCGTTCCGCTTGTCGGCAATGTGCCCATCTGGTGGCCGATGAGAAGAGTCCACAAGCTCTCGCTAGTCGAGGCCCATATTGTCCTTGCAGACTTTGGCGAGTCGTACCGACCCTCGCAAGAGACGAGACTCGAGTGCCACGCACCGGCTCCTTGTTGCCCACCAGAGGCTATATTTGAGCCAACGCAGCCAAAATCGTTTCCGAGTGACATCTGGAGCCTCGGGTGTGCTGTTTGGTCTACCCTTGCCTTCCCCTTGTTTGACTCTTTCATGTGTGATGAGGACACTGTGACGAAGAACCAGGTCGAAACCCTGGGAAAGCTGCCTGATGAATGGTGGAAGAGGTGGGATGCGCGCGCGGGAGCCTTTACAGAGGATGGTCAGCCTATCCGAACTACGGAAGACCCCGTCCGCACATTCGACTACCAGTTCGAGTACGGTATGCAGAGTACTCGCAAGACATTGAAGATGGAGACGGCAAGCCTGGCCGAGAAGGAGGCCTTGCTTGCTATAATGCGGCCGATGCTGGCGTACAGGCCGGAGGAGCGATGCAACGTCGGAGAGATTTTGAACTCGGAATGGATGACACGGTATGCGATGCCTGACTACAAGAGGATGCATGAAGGAGATGGATTATCCACTTGGAATATTCAATATTCGCTCCAGGGAGACGGAAAGAGTGAAAGAACAGATCGCTATGGATACGACCGGGGCTGAGAGATCAATATTCGCGCCAGCTGCGAAGAAAAAAAGGAAAATCTCGACTCTAAAAGCGCAGAAGCGATATTTATTTACCTAGTATTAAGTGTACAACTATGAAAGCACCGACGAGCATCTGGTACGCGGGAATGTGCTGCTGTGAACTAGCTTTGCGCCGCCTTGGACACTATAGCATCAATCTGCCCAACCTCCATTGCTGTGAATTCCAAGGGTCCGTAGTAGCGTTTCCGACCGTAGACTAGCCAAAGGGCGAGGGCAAAAATCAAGGTAGCGCCGATAATACTAGATGCATAGTTCCTATTTTTATTAGATCGATTATAGAGAGGTAGCTCAAGAGCAGCGGGCACTTACATATTGGCGGCGGTGACGGGGTTGTAAACGGGGAATGACATGAACAAAACCATGTAGCAGCCAAAGAAAAACGCGATAATATGCACTGGGAGAGAAATCCTTCCCATATTAAATGGGCCTTTGACTAGGTCTGGCCTCCACCAGGCTGCGTAGAAAATATTGATACCGATAGGCAGAACATAGGATAGCTGGAACGCGACGAGAACCCCCGCCATGATACCATAGAATGCCGTCGTATTCCAGATGTAGATCATAAAAACAGCAACTGACGGCAATAGAAGGACAAGGTTGGCAAGGACGGGCACGTCGAGGCGAGGGTGCAGCTTGGCAAAAGCCCCAGGTAGGGCCTGGTCGCGCGCCATGCTCCAGATGGCGCGGGCGGCGGCGCCCCAGAGATCGAACCCGGCCGTCATGGCCACGACCGAGCTGATACAATTGAGGAAGCAGGATAGGCCAACGTTCGACGTGCTGTTGATGAGGATCTGCGTGAAAGGGCTCATGACCCCGATGGGCGAGGCAAGCACCTCGTCAATGTCTCCGATGCAGAAGAGAACCGTGATGATGAACGGGAGCGTCATTAACGCGGTAGCGCCGGCTTGCAGTATCACTACCAGGCGCAAAGAGGTATCAGTATCCAACATGACTCAATATTCTGGACTTGAACGCGCTTGTGCCCAACAATGTACAACTTACTTGCTCGAGGAACGACCACATTCGCTCGAGGAATCTCCTCACTGAAATGCGTCACCGTGTCGAGGGAAAAGTATGCATATAGCGCAGAGAGAAGACCGACCGACCAGGCAACAAAGTCACTGTCCCAACCAGTTCTGTTCTGGAAGTTGGTGAACACGAATGCGGCCTCGTGTTTTTCTTTCGTGTACCCCGCCAAGACGCCAATGACTACCAGATACCCGACAACATGAAGCACGAGAACTGGAACAGTCAGTGTTAGATGTGGCGGCAGAATGGACCAAACTGTGTGTGATCAACCTACTTGCTGTGTTCATGTAGTGCAAGAACTGCACGGAGAAAATGTTGACAGCGGCCCAGCATAGCATGCAAGCGATACAGATCTGGCGGTCCAGATGTCAGTTGGCTAACAATTCTCAAGCAGAGGGGAATTTTCGTACTAAGAAGGCGTGCCAAGTCTTTGGATCATAGTCTGTCGTAACAATCACATAGGATTGGATCTGAACAGCGACCCCCATACCACAAGACAGAGCACCCAGCCAAAGGCCAGCCACCCCCAACCATGCAGTCGCCCAACTCTGTCACGCCATTAGCCTTTATAGGGGCGATACAACTTGACTTGAAAGTGGCAAATTACTCACCAGGCTGCGAGAGTACTTCACCGGAGCGAGATTGGCCGCCCAGACGTACTGACCCCCAGCGGAAGGCCACATGCTACAAGCGAACGTCTCCGTTAGAAAAAAACGTCAAGAAGGACGGAAGCGGGTAGTATATTGCGGGGATGACAAGCTCACGAATTCGGCCAAGGCACATGCCATGCAGATGATGCCGACTGAGACGATGAGCCAGCCCCAAAGGAGGCAGACTGGGCCGCCGCCCGCAAGTCCTTGGGCTATGGAAGCCGTCCAGCCTTCCCACTATTCCACGGGTCCCTATTGTTCAGCAATGAAGTAATTCTTGGTGGGAAAGAGATGAAGCATACGGCGCCCGAGGTGCAGACGGCAACGCCGAATGCTGTCCAAAAGTTGAACCTCTTCTTGATGGCTGGCGTCCCATCCACAGGCGGCACTTCGGATGTCGCGAGAGAAGAGCGGTCTCCTTTCTCAGCGAGAGGCATGGCAAGTATGAAAAAAGCAAAAGTGGATGGTTTGAGATCTATTAGATGATCGCTGCGCAGCGTTGTTCTGGGGTCGGGTGAGCAACAAGGCTTAGATACAGTACTCGTGCGATGGTCCGCCGAGAAGAACTGCAGGAAAGGTATAGTGCTGCGTCCGTCTGTTTGTGGCTATAAGTATAAAAAGTATTAAAAGCATATGCAAGGCAATATAGGACACGCGCTGCGCCTTATCATCCGGCCTCTAGTCCCCATTTGCCGAAGCCACAACTGTCAAACTGGTTGCCCGCCATTGGTTCGGAAGGGCGAGGCGCCTCTGTTGATGCTTTCTTTGGCTGCTCCTCGAGACTGGTGAAATTAATGGTAAGTACGCCGCGGCAGGTTTGATGTTTATTGTAGTTCTGCCTTGTTCCAAACTCAACACTTTTTCGCACGAAATGGACACCTCTGACAGTCATATGTAGTGGGCAGCCTCTCGTTTGACCACGTCTTCCGGACCCAGCCAGGTCACGAAGGAGGAGCTTTGCGCTCGAGCAGACTCCTTACAAGAGCAAATCAAGGCCACTGCCATACCTCCCGATGCAAACCCGATGATCAACATCTCCTGCCAGCAGACCGGCGAGGCGCTCACCGCGATCGGCATGGAGCAGGAGGAGCTACGGCGCCGGATAGTGGCCACGGCCGAGATATTCCGCCACGCCTCGCACATTTACGTATATCGGATCGTCAGCAGCCCCCAGGTGGCCCTCACCGAGGAGCTGCAAGAATCGCTGAACACGGCGCAGGACCTCCTAACCATGGTCCCGGACGCGCTGGGCCCGGGTGCCAATCTCGGCTGGCGTCTGGTGGTTCTGGGCGCCGAAATGGATCAGGCGCACCAGAGGGACTATGTTGAGTCGAGGCTGGACGGCCTACATCTACTTGGAATACACAATACCAAGAACGGGCAGAAGATACTGGAAGAAGTGTGGGCGCACCGGGACTTGGTCCGGCAGGGGCAGGCGTCGCCGGAAAGTTGGCAGGACGCGATGCAGCGCATTGGTCAGTCTCAAATATTGGTCTAATCGCATGTTCAATACCCAGAGTATGTATTTTCTTTCCTTTACCATTGGCTACAATGTCGCAGAATGCTACCCATCTACTTGTCTGTCGATGCTTCGCCGGGACTGGTCTTTGCGCTTCCTCCCCACGCCATATCCAGCAGTGTCTCAATCTTCATCGGCTGCTCCGTCTCCCCCGCAAAGCGCGCCACAAGATCCAGCTGGCCCTCGAGATTGGAAAAGTCGTACGCACCAAGCGCGACCGAGGCGCCGAGATCTGCCAGCAGCGCGCTCAGCTGCTGGACGCCGCCCGGAAAATGGCCCGCGATCAGCTCGTTGCGCGGCAGCATCCTGACGTCGGTGCGGTCCTGCAAGGCGCCGACCGACTGGTACTCCACGCGGAGCTTGCTGCCCCGGCTCTTGCCGACCAGGGCGACGAGCTCGTTCAGCGTGACGCTGCTCGACGCCGTGGTCATGACCCGCGGCCAGCGGTCCAGCGCGAGCGCGAGCGCCGTGTACCGCGCCACGTCCTTGGTGTAGGACGCGGCCATGCGCGTCTCGCCGTCGCCCGGCAGCAGCGCCACGCCGTGGGTCGGGTCCACGAAGACGCACAGCTCCCGCAGGTGCGTCGCCACGCGGGGCATGCCAAAGTAGTCCATGAACATGCCCGGGTAGATGTACGCAAACTCGAGATCCGTCTGCTCGAGCGCGCGCCGCGCGACCGCGTGGAAGCGCTTGTCCGCGTACGGCAGCACCGCGTCGGGCAGGTCGTAGTCGACGTTGAACTCGGAGGGCAGGAAGCGCCGCACGCAGGGCGCGCGCGCGGCGGCGCGGATCAGACGCAGCTGCGCGTCGCTGGCGGCCTCGAAGTCGAGCGCAAAGGCGCAGATGACGGTGTGGCAGTTGTGCTGGATGAGCAGCTCTGCGACGGCTGTTTCTGAGGCGTAGTCGGTCTGGATGACGGGGGCCAGCTGCGTCGAGTCGCGTGGCATCTGAATTTGTTACATACTTGGGGGATGCGATTGAAGCTATGGCGTGTCGTAGAAACTCACCTTTCGGGACATGATGTAGACGTCATGTTGGCCGGTTTTGAGGATGGCCTCGGTGATGAGCTTGCCCAGATCACCAAGACCACCAGCGACGACAACAGAACCAGGCATGGGTATGAGGCCAGGAATAAACGGATACTCTTAGTAAAAGAAAACTTGTTGGAGGTTTGAGTTTGGACGAAAACGGGACGCTGCAATATCGTGACCAATCTTTATAATCCACCACCTTTCAATCAGCTACAGTAAGAAGGGACCGTTTCACCACGCGGAGCTTAGTAAAAATGCTGCAAAACGAACTAATCGTCGCTTTTTGCCCTCGGGGAATATTTCCTGATTGGCTACAGGGACTTGATTACCCCGCAAGATGTCGAAATCAGTACGTCACTGTGCTCATCCTCTCAATTCATGCAATGCAGAACACCTGTTTTCATTCCAATCTACGCTTGGCGAGGAATATCATTCAAGCATAAGCAGCATAATTATACAGTGCGCCGAGAATACAGATGTAAACGGTACGGCACGTTCACAGTGGTCATTTGGCGAGTGTTGGGCCAGTCTTCTACTCGTGAGCCTGGGATACCGATAGCAAATGTATGAAAGCAGCGAAAATATTTGCATTGAAATGAGGACAAGATGGTAAACAACCCTCTAAATTTCAAGCGACAGCGACCTTTGTAGCGCCAACCTTTCTGCTCTCCTCATTGTAGTCACCGCCGGCCGGCAGCGCCAGCTCCTGTATACTTCCCTCCTTGCCCGCCCTGACATCTGCCGCCAGCTTCTCAAAGTGCTCCTCCGACTCCCTCTCAATGTCATACTCAATGACCCACTCGGGCCTGGGCAGGTTGAGCACCTGCGGGTTCTCAAGAATACCGTCCCCGTCAAAGTCAAAGTTGTGGTAGCCGTCGCGGACCGTGATGGACGCCATATGCGTGACGTGCGAGCGGTTGAAGCGGATGCGCTCCATGACGCGCAGCGCCAGCGGCACGTCCCCGGCGGCGCGCCGCAGGCACACGGCGAGCGCGACCCCGTCCTCCATCGCCTGGGAGCCGCCCTGCGCCGAGGTCGGCAGGTGGCAGTGCGCGGCGTCGCCGATGACGACGGTGCGCGCCGACGGGCTGAGCCACGTCGCGAGCGGATCGCGCCAGACGAGCTTGTAGTCGACAATCTTGGCGTCGGGCGTGGCCTGCACGACCTCGGACAGGCGCTGCTCGAAGCCGCCTTCGGCCAGACAGGCGAGCACGTCGGCCTTCTTCCCGGGAAAGGACCAGGACTCGCCAATGTCTTCCGTGTCCTGAAAATGGTTGTTAGTAGCGGTACCGGCACAAGGTTTGTCTTTGGACCTGGGCTGACTTGCCTTGTGTGTGAGAACCCAGCCGATATCTTTGCCCTTGTTCCAGGTGTAGATGATCATGTGCAGGTCCTTGGCCACCCACAGCTTCGTCATGTCCGTCGTGGGATCGCAAAAGATCTCTAGCGCCGGGTTCTTACGGTGCTCCTCGGTCAAGTTAAAGTGCGCGCGAAAGATGGCATATCCGCTGTTGACCTTTGTGTCCGGGAGCCCGAGCACCTGCTGCCGCGAGACGGAGCGCGGCCCGTCGGCGGCCACGACGACATCAGCACTATACTCCCTACCGCTGGCCGTCACGACGCCCGGCTTCCTCGCGCCGTCGTCGACGTACCGCACCACGCGGTCGCCGTAGCGGAACTCGACGCCGAGCTCCTCGGCATACTCGAGGATGACCTTGTGCATCTGGCCGCGGTGGCCGCCGTACTGGCGCCAGAAGTGGTGCGGCTCGAGGATCCAGTCCTCGGCCCAGATGACGGTCCCGTCGGCCTTGCAGTACTGCAGCTGGTCGCCCTGGTTGATGCACACGCGCATGAGGGCGCGGCCGACGCGGCCGTCCTCCCAGGCCTCGATGATGCGCCCGCCGTTGGGGAAGAAGTCGATGATGTCGCCGTAGGCGAGGCTGGTCGGGTACGTCTCGATGACAGTGACGTCCATGCCCCGGCGGCGGCATTCAATGGCGGCTGTGAGGCCGCCGAAGCCGCCGCCGACGATGAGGACGTGCAGCCGATCTCCAGTCATGGTGTGCGTGGCGAGAAGATGCGATTGTGTGGTGTGTAGTCAGGCAGCCCGACGAGGCAGCAAAATGAAGCAATTTGTGGTTTTAGGCCGTCGCAGTGGTCACCGAGGGCCCGGTGGCTGGACAGCATCTTCAGCATCCTTTCAGGCGGCATCTGATGACCGTGGTTGGTCCCCCGCACCAGATTGAGGCGAGGAGGAATAACTAATGCACATCCGGAAAAGCTGGGGCTCGGAAGCGGTTCCGACCCGCCGCGGAACAATAGTTGACTAGCTCATTGATGGACCCACAAGGTAAGACTCCAATCAGCTTCGCTTCCCTATCTGAATGCGGGTAAATACCTGATTGGACGAACGGCACTTACACCAGTTCATCCGATAGACATGGTCCTACCTGTGTACAGACATTTCGGCTCTGCTAGTAGGATGTTACTCCACCTCGTCAGGCGCAACTTAGGCGAGAGATGAGACATTTCGGAGCTCTACATGGTGCTTTAAGTGAGCGGCTAGTGGCGATAGGTCCCTGCTCAAAATGACCCTGGTGGTGGTAGCTACCCTAAAGACAAGAGTCGGGTAGTCAACTCGTGTCAGTTAGACGCTTGAAACTGGCAGCGTTATGTAGATACACAATTCTCAATCTTGCTTCTTTTCTTCTACTTCCATGTCATTTTTTTCTTGCTCCGTAGTGGTGAGATAAATTGGCTTCACGCTCGTGGTAGCAAGCGGATTAAGGTACGGGCGCTCAACAGGGCAGATTTTGTCCAACAGTAGAGATGCTAGGATTCTGTAAATTCTTCAGGGCCTTTGGAGAGCAAAAAGTATGGCTGCGACCAGATGAGGACCTTCTCTCACTGTACAATCGGCTGCTGAAGCCGCGAAAACGTCCCGAGAGCTTTATCAGAACAGTCTTTTGCAGTGAAGGCAAAAAATGGGTAGAACGGCGCGCCTCTAGTATCCAGTCGAAGTAGGCCAGCACGACGCAACCCCCCTCTGCGCGCAGGCTGTGTTGTATGCACGGCTAACCCCCCGAAAACGCGTGAAGAGGCGGCGCGAGTGAATGCCATCGTGAACCTCACTCCCCGTCCCAGCCACCGCGTAACTCACTCTACGTTCAACATCCTACTCACCTTACTACTCGGTTAGCTGACTCTCTATACACAGTTCTGCCTCTACGCCCTCTCTGCCAACGTGCCTTCGCCACCTTCCTTATTCCCTGTCCTCCTAGACTCTCACGCTGAACGACTCGCGCCTTCGAAGCCTTCAAGCCCTCGTCGCACACAGCCCAGCAATCCCAGCCTGTGTATTCCTTCACTGCCCCCCCGCTCTCGCAGACCAGGCGGCGCCACCTCCATTCGCCGCCTCCGACACGCCGACCAGACCAACAAGGGAACGCACACATAACAGCAACAGCACGCACGCGATAGCGGAGCAGCTCATTTTCAAGACGCTCCCGCTAGAGATACGCCGCCAGATATATCCGCTCTGCTCGCTAAGCCAACGTGCGCACATGGCCACGGTCACCAAGTCATCTCGAGACGAGGTGGCAGACTTGTGGCACGGGCGCGGGCGCAAAGTCTCGCTCAACGACACGGTCTCGCTCAACGTCACGGAGGAGCTTCACGACCTCAGCCACCCAGCAACGCTCCTAGTCCTCAAGTACATCTGCCAGGAAACCACGTACGTCCAAACACCAGTCACCGGCTAGCCACGAGTGGCGTTCGCTAACCACCCGCGCACAGCACCCTCAACGTTATCCTCCCGTCCGCGGGCCACGACCACGCCCCGCAGGCCGCCAGCCTGCGATGGGGGATGCTCTTCTCAATCATCGGCTGCATGCCAATGCTGCGCCGCCTCCACATTGGCGGAGATGCTAGCTTCCTCAGCGGCAACATCCCGCAGCTGCTGCTTGAGCAGCCACTCTGGCAGCTCGAGGAAGCCACGTTCTGCGTCGGGGACGAAGTATTGGCCGACCTGTTGGAGAATTGCGACCTAGCCACGCTCGACAAGCTGCGAATCACCGCCGACCCGTACAAGCTGCTCTGGTACTCCAGCGGCAAGGAGATTGCCATCACGCATCTCGAGATATGGGCCACGGCTGAGACGATCCGTGCCTCCTGCTCACGTGGCTGGATACCCGGCCTCGATATGTCCATGCACATCGTCATCGGCACGGCCATGCCGCAGCTACGCACGCTGTCCATCTCCCATGTTGACTACTGTCCCATGACGTCGTTGGTGAAGGATGCCGATTAGCATAGGGCTTTGACTGTATTACAGGATCGGAGTCCACAGGTACGTTCCACGCACTGTCACGCCGCTCACACGCTAACAACATCACAGAGAGCGTTTAGATTTATCACGTCGCCGCTCTATATGGCGAGCGTTACCTGGATGGCCCGTACTATTCCGCTCGAGCTGGCCGTTTGGTTCGGCATCTGGTGTGGGTGCGAGACGGCCGAGGAGCTGTACGAGGCCACCGCGAGCGACTTCTACGCGCACTTGGCCGAGCATGCGTTCCATGCCTACGCCTTCCTACGCGATATTAAGATTGACGGGGGGGTGAACGTTGGATCTTTCTTATACACGTGCTACGAGTTATCTGAATGCCAAGAGAAGCCGGGTCCCGTCTCAGAGTACGTCATGTTCCAGTAGACAGCAAGGTCACGCACGATAGCGGTAAGACCAGCACACGGGAGGGTGAGCCCTGGTTAGAGTGGGTAAGATAGACTACGTGGATATACAGGAGAGATAGTTACTATTCACCAAATAATAAAGACATAAGCCGTACTTACCACGAAGCCTACCATAGCGCCCAACTAAGACCAAGGCCAATGCTCTAACCACAAAACCCATTAGAGAAAAGGTGAACAAGCAAATAAACAAGGAGCAGATAGGCGTATAGCTACTAGCTCTCCCGAGCTTCTCTTAACACACCACGGCGTGCGTGTTCTCACCTGCACACCACGCATTCACGTATTTATCCCCGCGATCTATGTATTCCCGCCCTCTGCCGGCTGCCAGGAATACTCTCCCACCCTCTATTAACATTTAGCCACGGGCTGTCCCTTTCCGCAACTTCTCTTTTAATAAGAACACTCTCACCACTCTCACTACTAACATCACTCACCACTCACATCACTTACCACCTATATCTCCCGCCACTTACATCCCCTACTAACCCCCTCTTCCACCACGTACTAATACGTGGCGGCCGGTCCCCTTCTTCCCCGTCTTCTTTTCCTACCTCTTCCTAGCCATACCCTACCCTTCCCATCACCACCTACCTAAGCCAGCGATAACGCCTCGCCGCGAAGCACCGAACCTGCCGCCGCGATGCCTTTCCCTCCCGCCTTCTACTTTACACCCGCCCTAGGCCTAGCGATGCTAGGCACATATTTTCTTTTTCTTTTTTTCTTTCTTCTTCTTCTTTACTCTATTACTTATCTCTTTTTTTCTATCTTCTGTTCTTTGTGGGTACGTTTTTCCCTCGGGTTCTATGCCGTTCTTTTCCGCTATTATCCGCAGTGATCTATCCCCGTGCGGATAAGCTGGTCCCTAGACCAGGGTCTACTGGTAAGAGCTTATCGGAGAAGGGATAGTGCAAGACATACTATATGGAATACGCCGCTAAACAGATCGGGGCTTACGGCTAAGTAAAACCTTTATTTGCATAGAATTTGATATCTATAAACAACACCCAACGCCAAAATGTAGAAAACAACGCGAACACACCACCAAGGTCTCCTAATCAGGAGGTAGGATTGCCGCCTCTTGGCTGCCCGCCATCCTGTCTCTGGGCACGTCGCTCATGCCGGGCCTCTCGCTCCTCCGCCTGCCTCGTACGATCCACACCCTGTGATCTGAAGCGCTCATATACTTCCGTCCAGGCTCTAAGGTCCATGAGACCATCCGGGACAAGATCTATCACACTGCCGTGGGAATTGGTATAGAAGCCGGTCGGCTCACGTCTGGCAGGATAAAGCTCTCTCGGCCAGGCAGTGGTTAGAGACAAGCGCTTATTCTTCCGCTCACGCGCTTCGTTTTTAGCCATGATGCCAGCCCAGATCTCACGGCTCATGGGGACAAACTCGGCACCCTGCACGCGCTCCGTGTCCACGCGTAGGGTTGAGTACCCGTCATCTTCGGTAGGTTCTAGTCCTAGCTGGGAAAGATGCTCGCTGCAATGATCAGGATCGGGAGAGACAGCCTGCTTCATGGGGTTTGCGCGCTCGATCCAATCCTCCGTCCACTTAACTTTATCCTGAGCAGCTTCTCGAAATTCGCGGGCGAAGTCCGGCTGTGGAGCGAGTTTGATGCCCTCATTACGGACTTCTTCAAGACCGGCGGCTCTCAGCCGCTCGTTTGCGGCATCAATTTTCGCTTGCAATTCCATGATCTTGGCCGCAGAAATTGTGCTGTAATCAGTCCGTTGGGTTCTCACGGACCCAGCCGCAGACGGAGGAGCAGGAGGAACGACTAGGGGGCGGTTGGGAGGGGGCATCCCTTGTTGGGCGGAAAGAGGGCTCAGGTTCCTTTTCCCTAGGGAGCCTGCGAGGGAAGTCGGCTTCGTGCTAAAAGCAGGAGGGGAAATCGGAGGGGGGGGCGTAGGTCGCTGATCAGGAGCTCTGCGAGGCGTCTGGACTGGAGCAGGGGAGGACGAAAGTCCCTTGCCCATCGCGGCCGGCTTCTGAGATGGTAGGGGTTTGGGAGTCGCAGACAGGAGATTCTCGGGGCTTATGTAGTCGCTCAGCCGATACTCGTAGACGCCAGGCCCCAGGCGATTCCCCTCGACGATCTGCCTTACCCTCGCAGTAGGTTCGCACACAAAAGAAGACTCTTTCTTCTTAGGCCTTCGCCATTCCCAGGTCTCTGCAGTGATGTGCGCAGGGAAGACTCGACGGTGGCTGTTCGGGATCGGGACACGGTAAGGACTCTGAGCAGGCATTGGGCAGCCAAGGGGTTCGAACCGCAGGCTGGTGAGGTCCATGGTCTTGAAGTCTTCGAAGTTAATATTGTGGTACCCGCCGTCTTCTCCTTTCATTCCGCGCTCAACTCCCAGCTCGTTCGCCATCACTTTTATCATGACATTCTTCATAGCTTTAATGGCAGCCTTGCCAGTAAAACCCAAATTAGACCAATCTGCCCAGTGGAGTTCACAACGGCTCGTAAGAACGTTGACGTATTCGTCGGTGCCTGGGCTTGCGCGGCCAGCGTCGACCTCGATTCTACTGATCCCAACGAAATCTGCCGAGTCCGAGAAAAGGCATGGCGGGATTCCCGTCCACCCTCGAAGGATTAAAAGGGCCTCGAATACCGCGAGATATCCAGAGGCCCACTCGTTATCTTGAGGCGTCATAGGCGGGACGATCAGGAGGAACTTATAGGGCAGGTAGAGGTTATGAAGGAATTGGCGCCACATGATGGCGGCAGATCTCGCCCGCTCGCCTCGGGATACCTCCACAGAGTCGATATAAAGGAGGCAGGAAGCCCGTCGGTCAAAGATCGTCACGGCCCAGTGCCTGCCGGAATGGATGTCGCGAGGGTCCGTAAAATTAAAGACGGCAACCCAGAAGCGTCGCCCCTTGAGGTCCCTATTGAACTTGGCCTGCGCGTGCTCGGCATTCCAAGGCGTAGTGCCGGGGCAGAACTCATGGCCTTTGTATATGCCATTCACGTCTCTCTCGGATATCCAGACTTGGGGTATAGGATATCCCAGTACTCGGAACTCGTTATCGATCACCGCGGTGCAGTGTTCTTGACCTCGGACGACAATTTTCAGGAAAGCTTGGAGGCCAGTGCCGGTAGCCCAGGCGCCTTTGAACACCCCTCGATAGAGCGCGTGTATATAGGCCAGATGAAGGGAGTATTCCTCGTCTGGCAGCTCGAAACAATTCGGGACTTGGCCGTACGTGTTGTGGCCCTCGACTTCGTCGGCAGCCTCAGGGATCAAAATCTCCGCTGGCCACTGGCTTCGTAGATAGAACGCAGGGGGTTGATGCTCTATCAGATCGACGACGTCTCGGTCAACGCGCGAGGCTTCTGTCGGGAAGAAATGCCGTCCTTCGTCTCCCGCCCCGGGGATCATGCAGTAGATGACCGGCGTATTGTTGAGAGGGGGCATGGCTTCTCACGCGTCGTGATCAGTGGAACAGCCGGAGGGGAAGCAGCTGAGAAGGTAGAAATCGACAGGAGACTAGGAGCGATCTCTACAGAGTCAAGGGGGGGTTGAACGAGACGGTCCTCTGCTAGACGCGGAGCCGAGAACAGTGGTAGAGGTTAGAAACAAATGAACAGACAAGAGGGGATCTGGGGAATAGAAGCCTTCTAAATAAATATACGATATAGGAAGAAAAAAGAGGGACGAAAGATGCTTCCTCTCTTTACCGATCGAATGGTCGGAGCGTGATGCACGGCCACCGGTGAATGCATCGGCGTGACGCACAGGCTGCAGTGAATGATTGCACCTCGCGTTTGCCTATGCAGCCGCCCAAACGCCCTGCCTTCTGGTCAGTGCCCTCGTGCAAAAGCCTTTCTTCCTTGACTCTTCCTCTTTCTTCCTTTACCATCTTCTTATTACTCCCAGCTCTTCAGCTTCTTCCATTCTTCCACACCATAACCATCATCATGGAAGCCTTATTTGCTTCTTGTCGCGACGACTATCCGAATGCCGTCGACCTTTTTAATCGGCGAGTCCCAGCCGAATGCTTCTCGACTCTCCGGTCCCTTTCCAGCTCGAACAACCAGCTCGATCATAACCGTACAGAGCAGACTCGACGTACAACGCCGGCGGCAACATGGAGACGCTCCCGCCGCACGAGCACAACGGCGTCCGGTTCCCCGCGGGCCGTGTGATTGTCGGCGGCGACCAGAACCAGCCGCAGAGCCTCGCGTTCTTCAGAGCACAGGAGCTGCAGTCCCCGCTCGTGCTCGACTCCGCGTGGCTCTTTGTCAAGCACGTCGACGAGATGCTGCAGGCCATCCCGGCCCGCACGCCGCGCGGCTGGGCCGTCGTGGCCATTGATCCGCAGCTCGGCCTCGGGCTGCTGCGCAGGGCCGCGCAGTACGGCCTCGGCAGCGCACCGGTGATGAGCGGCAACAAGGCCCCGTCCGGCCCGACCATTGACCAGTTCCTGCAGACGCCGTCCAACATCCAGGCGGCCGAGATTAGCGCCGGGCGCATGGCGGCGAACCTGGCGCTGCTGCAGAGGGAGACGGGCCTGACCGACGCTGAGATCTTCAAGGTGCCGGCGCTGATTGCGTTCAAGGACACGGTGCAGGACTATCTTGCGCCCAGGCGCAGCCGCAGTCTCGGGACGCGCGACGAGGCCGAGGAGGCGGCGCTTGATGCCGAGTTTTTGCAATTTGTCGACGCGCATGGGCAGGGCGGGGACTCGCGCAACGAGACGGCGGCCGCTGCGCTTCGGCGGCGCCAGGATCACGGGTCGGGGCCGGTGACGCTTGAGTCGCTGCTGCCGAGCTTGGTCAATGGCGTGCCGCTGAGCGACGCGCACTACCTGGCGCCGAAGCCGTACGGACCTATTTTCAACGGTCACGATGTGTTTGAGACGGTGGCTGTGAATCAGTACAAAAAGGCTGGCTTTACGACGGTGGAGTTTTTGGACGAGTGGAGGCTGCATCAGTCTAGTGGCGATTTGCATTGCTTTACCAATACCTTCCGCGATGCCTCGGAGCCGTGGTGGTCAAAGTGAGTATTGGAGTAGTCTAGATGAGGACTCGGCAGGGGGGAGATGGGAGTCCAAGTCCCTTGATCAACTAGTACCTGGCATATCAATAAGCAGAGATCCCATATGTTTCTAGTTTGGTGAATACGACTGTTGAAATGGGGCAATTGTGTTCCTTGATGTGTTGCTTGTTGATCAGCGGTGGTGGTTGTAAGGGCCTGGAAAAACTGACGCAACCCAGCTCAGGAACATGCTCAAGTCGGATTAATACACCATTGGCCACAATTTATAGACAGTTATGTCGCCACCTGTGCCTCCAACACGACTATAAAACTTGACCTGGGTCCTCTATCCCCAAGCTATCCGAAGTACATCAACTGAAGCCCGAAGCAACTCTCATCTACCCCAGTCTTACCCGCCACCCATTGCAGTCATCATGGTTTTCGAATGGAAAGACGAGGGCAAGCTCCACCGAATTCCCAAGCTGGAGCCCGGCCCTCCCAACGTATACTTTGGTTAGTGCCATCATTTTGAGATTCCTTGCGTGCCACGTTGGCCTGCTGACACCGTGACCCAGGTGACGTCTTCTCGACGTCTTCCAGTGACGCCCCGAACCCGTTGACTGGCTCCTTCTTCCTTCTCGAAAAGGTGGAAAAGCCAGAGCCGGCGCCGACGTACTCGTATGACGAGAGCGGCATCGTTTTCAAGGGTGAGTCTGCCATTATTCTCGTCCGCACCAAGGCGCGCCTTTTTAAACAATCCTGGCTATTCCGTAGGTGAATTGCACGTCGTGGATGAAAAAGGAAACTCGGCCAAGCTGCTGCCGGGTGACACGTTCTTCATCCACCGCGGAAGTACGATTACGTTTTCGACGCCTCGGTACGCCGTGGCTTACAAAGTCGCGGCCCGTCGCCAGATGCATTGATGCGGAGGACGATATGGGAGCGAGGGGAGGTTGGAAAGACATTATCGGCAGATCTTCTGGGAAGCAGGGTCGCGTTTTGCCAAGTTGAGGATATATTAACATGAATGAAAAACTGCCGGAGCATAAATCACGGAGATTTGGTGACGGTTGTAGAAAAGAGAGATTCTGGTCATTAGGCTAGATTTTCATGGAGAACAGTATCGGTAGTATTGTTGTAGAGTGCGGTCACACCTGCCTATAGCCCTATATCGATTGACATTGCGATACTGGGCCGGATCTGATGGACGAGCCCTACTGCTTGTCCTCATCAGCAGCCGGAAGCGTGAAATACTTGACCGACTTTGTCGTGAGCCAGGAGTCGAGCGCCTCCTCGCCCATGTCCCGTCCAAAGCCAGACTGCTTCACGCCGCCAAAGGGCGTGTTCGCGTGGAGCGTGCCCCAGCAGTTGACCGTGACCTGGCCGCTCTCCAGGGCGGACGAGACGCGCTCGGCGCGGCTCACGTCGTTGGTGAAGACGGCGGCGCTGAGGCCGTACTCGCTGGCGTTGGCTTTGGCAATGGCCTCGGCCTCGGTGCGGAAGCTCGTGATGGACTGGTAGTACACATGCGTTAGCGACAACTCCTATTCCCACACTGTCTTTTTCTTTTGGGGGCAGTACGTACAGCAACGGGCCCAAAGATTTCTTCCTGCATGATTTGCGCGTCCTCGGGCACGTCAGCAAACGCGGTGCTCGGGACAAAGTGCCCCTTGTCTGTCGTCGTCCCAGCCTCGGCCAGCAGGCGCACGCCCGACTGCTTGGCCTGGGTGATGTAGGCGGCAATCTTGTCCCGCTGCTGCCTGCTGATGACGGGGCCCTTTGTGGTCTCCTCGGCGAGCGGGTCGCCCTGGGTGGCGCCGACGAGGCGCTCGGCGAGCTGCTTCAGGAAGTCGTCGTAGATGGCGGCGTGGACGTACAGCCGGGACCCGGCGGCGCAGACCTGGCCGTTGTTGGCGGTGAAGCCGAGCGTGGTCCAGAAGAGGGCGTTTTGCAGGTCGGCGTCGGCAAAGACGAGCGACGCGCTCTTGCCGCCGAGCTCGAGCGTCACCTTTTTCAGGTTGGACGCGGCGGCGGCCTTCATGATCTGGCGGCCGACGGGCCCGCTGCCGGTAAAGGAGATCTTCTTGACGCCGGAGTGCTCGGCGAGGGCCTGGCCGGCGACGGCGCCGAAGCCGCAGAGGATGCTGATGGCGCCGGGCGGGAAGCCGGCTTCGGCGACGAGCAGGGCGAGCTTCTGGGCGTACAGCGGCGTGAGCTCGGGGGTCTTGATGATGATGACGTTGCCGGCGGCGATGGCGGGGGCGAGCTTCCAAATGGTGATCATGCTATACCCGTCAGTCTTGCTCAGCGGTGGAAAAGGGACGAAATCGCACGTACAGCGGCGCGTTCCAGGGGACAATGGCAGCGCAGACGCCGAGCGGCTCGCGCCGGGTGTAGGCGTGGCCGTGGGGGATGCTCAGCAGCTGGCCGGTGATCTTGTCGGCCCAGCCGGCGTAGTAGCGGAGCGTCTCGGACGCCTGCGGGATGTGCAGGTCCTTGGACTCGCGGAACAGGACGCCGGCCTCGAGCGCCTGCAGGCTGGCGAGGTCGTCGGCGTCGCGCTCGACGAGGTCGGCGAGCCGGTTGAGCAGCTGCCCGCGCGCGGCGGGGCTGACGGCCTTCCACGCGCCCTGGAACGCGGCCTGCGCGGCCGTGACGGCCTTGTCGACGTCTTCGCGCTGCGCGGCCGAGACAGTGGCGAGGTGATCGCCCGTGGATGGGTTCTCGACCTGCAGCTCTGCGCCGCCTGTGGCAGGCTGGAATTCATTGTTGATGAAGAGGCCGCCAGGAACTGGGTAGATCTCTCAGTGACTGCGGGGAGGCCTGCAAGCGCTGTACATACCGCGAATTTGGCGCCCGCCAAAGCCGGTCAGTGTGATTTCACCCATGGCAAATGAATTATATTATTGGTTTTAAATGCGTATTTGAGTCGTTGGAGATGGATAGATTCGTTGTACATTGAACGTCATGCGCTGCAGTATAACTGGCGGTGCATCTCTATTTATTGTACTGATCAGCTTAGGGAGTTCCTACAGGCAGTTCCGGAATGCGGCCGTGTGGTTCCGAGTGAGGAAACACAGAGACCCGCAGTCTGATGTGGCATCTGTTTGAAATGGCGGGGGCGTTTGACAAGTAGTAATTAATACGGATTACTTTTATTTTTATTATTAATTATGCATGCGAGCTGATGTTTCTTCACGGACGTATTGCAATTACAGACCACGCGAGCGGACTTATATCTCATTGGGCCGACGGAAATGGCCCCAGTGCGTCATCATAACATGTGTGCTCTCCAGCTAGCGCACCGTGTTTGCCATTTATCCAATCAATTATAAAGAAAAGAAATAGTCTCTTTTCCCTGGCATTAGATAAAGCCCTAACGCCGAAGCTTCCGCCTACTTGAAACAATTCCGAATGCTCTCCAGGAATGCCCAGATTTCACCCCGGAACATGGTCCGACCCCAGATGCAGCGCAATGCCCAAATGCAGTAAGATCGGCATCAAGGCTGGGGCTCTATCATTGGTCGCGATTTTCCGCCGTGGCGCACCCTTCTCTCCCAGAGGATAATTGATACTTGCAAATTCACATCAAGAGCCTCAACCTATAAACAACCGAGCATATGGCGATGATGGCGCGAGAATACTTTATTGACCGTGTCAGCCACACTGGTCCGAGGTTATCTACTCACCTTGAATACACATGAAAGAAGCCGAGACACGAGGGGTCAAGCAGTGGATTCGTTAAACCTAAACACCATTGAATCAAAGCTTCAGCGCCGATCACCCAGCATGGTCTACACTACCGACGGTTTCACCTGGACACCCTCCGCCGGCCGCCGCAACGGCCTCCCGACCATCGGCGTCGTCCAGCCTCCAGAGTACTCTATCCAGCCAGACGACGACGTGCACGATGTCATTGTCATTGGCGCCGGATACGCCGGCCTCATCGCCGCTCGGGATCTGACCACCCAAGGTACGCTCTCCTATACATTCCTGGCCGTCCCGAGCGCCTCCCTTACCGCCGCGCAGGCAAGACCACGCTGCTCCTCGAGGCCCGCGACCGGCTTGGCGGGCGCACCTGGAACGCGACCATCAATGGCTTCCACTACGAAGTGGGAGGGACCTGGATCCATTGGCACATGCCGCACATTTACCGCGAGGTGTCCTACTACGGCCTGCACAATGACTTTTATCGTCACGCAGAACCCGGGCAGCAAGGAGGACTACTTTACAGCCACGACGGGCCATGAGCAGCGCAACATGTCGCACGAGGAAGAGGTATGAACTTTAAATATGAGAAAAATAAAGAAAAATCGCCGCAACGCAGCAGCTTACCAAACACCGACACCGATAGGCTGACATAGCCGGCCGCGTCCTGCGCATCTTTTGCAACCTCGACGGCGACGACCTGAAGCACGCGTGGCAGTACCCCCTCGGCACCACCCAGCCGTCCGCCGCCCTGCTGGCGCAGTGGGACCAGCGCTCCTGCCAGGACCGCCTAGACGAGGTGCACGACCGGCTATCAGCCGAGGAGCGGAGCGTGCTCGAGGCGCAGCTGCTGCAGATGGGCGGCGGGCGCAGCCTGGACCGCATCGGGCTGCTCGGGGCGCTGCAGTGGTGGGCGCTCGGCGGGCACACGCCGACGGGGCTCAACGACACTGCGCTGCACACGCGCCTCCGCAGCGGCCAGAGCGCGCTGCACCGCCGCGTCTTTGCCCACGCGGCGTCGACGGGCCGGCTCTCGCACCGCTTCTGCGCGCCGGTGCGGCGCGTCGAAGACCGGGGGGACCTGGTGGCCGTCACGCTGCGCGACGGCCGCGTGTGCACGGCCCGCGCCGTCATCTGCACCGTCCCGCTCAATGTGCTCGCCGGCGTGGAGTTTGTGCCCGAGCTGCCGCCGGACAAGGCCGCGGCCGTCAGGCACAGGTCGGTCAATCGCTGCATCAAGGTCCACGTCGACGTCAACGGGCCCGACTGGCTGTCGTGGTCCGCGCTCGGCACCCCGGGCAGGGGCTTGGTGTCGGCGTTTGGGGACCACCTGACGAATGCGGGCAACTCGCACCTCGTGTGCTTTGGGCCCGACCCCGAGGCGCCGGCGGGCATCTCGCTGGGGGATGTCGAGGCCGTCCAGGCGGCCGTGACGCATCTGCTGCCCAAGGACAAGCAGGCAGGGGTCATCATCAACCGCATTGTAAGTGGGCGGCGGTTTCGCGAGCTCTCATGGTCGAACAACAATGTTGCTGACAAAACGCTCCGCTCAGGTCTCGCACGATTGGAACAAGGACGAGTTTTCAAACGGCACGTGGTGCTTCATGGGCCCAGAGGCCACCAGTAAGTACCTGTCGGCCCTGCAGCGGCCGCACGGCAACATCTTGTTTGCCAGCGCCGACTGGTCGAATGGCTGGCGCGGCTGGATCGACGGCGCTGTCCAGAGCGGGATGGAGGCGGCGAGGGCACTCACGCAGACGAAGGACGTGTCTGGACACGGTGTTTTCGGCACTAGCAAGATGACCAACGGAGTCAAATAACTTTGTAGCCAGCTCTTGACAAATATGGGTTGCGTGGTACCGACTTCTACCCATCAGAAAATGTGTGGCGTACGTCGGGTGTATACGCCGTCTTGTACGCCAGAGCGGACAACGAATACGCCCGACTGACTACTTGCTAGTGTCAGACTTGGAAGTAACTAGCCAGTGATCTATAGAATAGGTGAATTTCATTTTTCATTAGCGCTAGATGAAGGGGGAGTTTTATTTTAGTGTGCAGGGGGCGTATAAGATGCCGACCGATCTCACCACCCACACGCTGACAACCAACCTAGATTTACTTCTCTACTCGCCATTCATTATTCCACCATCTTGATATTCCTGGCGACTTTCTGCAGTAATTTATAAAGCCATTTTTTCACTTCTCACGCGCGACATTCTCTCGCAGTCAGCTTGTAAACCTAGGCGATCTAGGCGTGGATCGCCTGCTGGAGCAATCGGACATACAAGTCTGGCTTGGCCCTGGCCAGCACGCCGTCCTTTACCCCCTGCGAATCCATGAAGAGTACAATCTGGTATTGATGTAAGTGTAGAACCTAGGTGCATGATTTGGAATTTCTTTATTGCTTGGAAATTAATTCGAGTGGCGGAAGCAATAAACAACTGGGAGGGAGATATCAGGTAGGTCGCGCGGTCATTGGATGCGGAACACCTAGAAACAAGAGCAGCCAAACACAACGTGAAAGTTTAAAGATTGAACAACGATTACACTGTCTCTCAATGTATTGAAACACCTCCCCAGGTATCTATCGCACGGAGCACCGCAACTCGATCGCTCATTTATGGCGAACGATGCTACTTTCCAAGAACAGCAAAACTTTGCCTCGAGGATCCTCCCTACCTAGAGCTTGCTTGCAGGCCACTCCCCTTTGGATGTGATTGAACAGTTTTATAATGTTTTCAAACTCGCCGCTGCACTCTGGGCAGCTAAACTTGTGTTCATCCGGGACTCGGTATCGGCTCGACTGCGGACAACGCAGAGCCATGTCGTTCAATTGATCCTGGTCCATTCCGAAGGGACACGATGCGGTAAAATGCACCAACATGGAAACAGGAGATTTGCATGTCTTAGAACAGCCAATACAGTCTACTTGGCTCGAGGTCGGCGTCTTGTTTGGCATCGGGCATGCGGTGTCCATGAGCGCGCTTAGACCTTGGTTTTCGATTGCATGTCGAGGACACCGCCATGACCAAAACCGCGCACGGCAGAGCCTTGAATGGAGAAGATGAGGAAGACAGAGTTACAAGTTTTCGAGTTCAAAAGTGCGCGCCCTGGTGAATCTGAACAGTGCTTCAACTCGCTTGGTCGTTTGCACGCAACAAACGGCGGCAACTCAACTTCGCCCATTCACTGGCCAGCATTTCGCAACATTCACCTAGATAGGAATAGGTCGACCCTCTAGCGAATGATTCTTGCGCGGGTCACAAACACAATTAACGTAGTTCGTATTGTGAGATTGACTGAGCGATTGCGCGGTCGGCAGCTGTCACTTTCCGCTCAATGACCGTTTGTTGGCAGAGGCTGAGCAACAAACACTCTTTGAAGTCAACAGTTAATTATACCATCCTCACTGCATTTTAGCTAAACAATTAAAGCTCATAACTTTTACTGCCACAGTCCCGCTAGATACAGTTGCTTACTTCAAAGAGATTTCCTCCGTCACCTTGCGAATGAGCAAGCTTGAAATCAGTAACCTCCAAGTACTAAATACGGCTCTCGCCCCCGAGAAAAAGCCCAAATAACCCGGTTCGTACCTCATCTCGTCACAGACAATTATTCATGCTTACCTTTCTCAACCGTTGGATGAAGATTATCGCCCCAAACAGACCAAAGTCCCGCTCGACGAGAGCATCTTCTCCGGCCAAGATGTCAGCCCCAGCAAGCGATGTGCCCAGCACGCACCTGACTTCTCCTGCGCGTCTCCGCAAGATTGATCTTCTCCGTGACAAGAATATCGGAAAATATTTTCCCATCCCCCAGCTTGTGGCGGTCGGCGACCAGAGCTCCGGAAAGTCCTCCCTCCTGGAGAGCCTGACCGGCATCCCCTTCCCGCGCGGCCAGGAACTATGCACTCGCTACGCCACCCAGATCACGCACAGGCGCGAGAGCGAGTCTTTCATTACCGTCAGTATCATTCCAGGGCCCGGTGCTTCCGCAAATGAGAAGGCGACCCTGGAGAAATTCCACATATCTGTTTCGACCACCGCCGAGCTGCATGACCAGCTGCCCACCATCTTGGATCAAGTCAACGAGCTCATGGGCATCCGCACTCCCAATAACCCGAACGGCACCAAGACATTCTCCGAAGATGTCCTCAAGATTGAAAAGTGCGGCCCAAATGAGGACTACCTCACCGTCATTGACGTCCCCGGCATCTTCCGCATCACCACGGACAACGTCACGACGGAAGCCGACAAAGCCATGGTCCGCAACATGGTCGAAAACTACATCCGCGATGACCAGACCATCATCTTGGCCGTGCTTCCCTGCAACGTTGACATTGTCACGCAGGAGATTCTGGCCCTGGCAGCGAGATATGATCCTACTGGTCAGCGCACTCTCGGCATTCTTACCAAGCCCGATTTGGTGAGCGAGAGAAGCGCCCAAAGTGTTGTTTGCAGCCTAGTCCGAGGTGAAAAGCGGCCTTTGAACCTGGGCTACCACCTCGTTCGGAGTCGAGGCGGTGATGACGACGGAAACGCGCTTGGTGATGACGAGAGAGACGTCCTGTTCAAATTTGAACCCTGGTCTGCACTTCCATCCGACAGACTTGGCGTCGTCGCCCTCCGTCAGCGCTTGCAGCATCTTCTGGGTGATCTCACAGACAAGGCGTTTCCGAAGCTTCGCTCAGAGGCCCGCCAGATGCTTCACAAGGCCCAGGAAGAGCTGAACAATTTGGGCCAGTCCCGACAGAGCATCCAGGACCAGCAGCAATTCTTGGCGGATATTGCCAGCGAGTTCCAATCTCTGGTTCGCGCGGCCTTGAGTGCAGATTATTCTTCCCATCCTGTCTTTGATCAGGACAAGTTTCGTCTCATCACCAAAGTTCTGAATGCCACCGACGACTTCAAAGCCGACTTCAACATGTCGGCGCATACCTACGAGTTTTTCAAGCCCAACGAGGAAGAGTATGATGAAGACCGACCCAAATTCGCCCACGAGGAGATGTCGCTTGACAACTTTCCGGACCTGGACAGTGTCATTGTGCGTGAGCACGTCGACAGGCCGCCGGAGCGGGGCATCATGAACTGGATCAGGGGCCTTCATCACCGCTCTCGAGGAACCGAGCTCATCTCGTTCAACCCTACCTTGTTCGCCACTGCGCTGCGGCAGCAGACGTCCACGTGGGAGGCGCGAGCAGAGTACTACGTGAGCCGCGTCATTTACATGATCCACGACTTCATCGTGAGCGCCATAGAGGAGGTTTGCTCTGACAAAAAGGTCCGAGACGAGCTCATGTCGCAAATTTTGGAAGGTACTCTGGCAAGGTACCAGGCCGGTCTCGTGCAAGCGCGGTTTCTTGTAGGCGTGGAAAGAGATGGCCACCCGTACACTCTCAATGAATTCTTCCGCACCAAGCTCGCCGACCTGCAGAGCTCCAGGATGGAGACCGAGCTGAGCGACAAGATAAGGAGGGTCTCCTTTGGCAATGAGGGTGATCGAGTAGGTGTCATTTCCTTCAAGGATGTCCAGGTCACATTGCGAGATAAAGACGGCGGCAAGTACATTGCAGAGGAAGTCCACGACTTGATCAAGTCGTACTACGAGGTTGCCCGCGACCGCTTCATCGACAACGTCTACTTGCAGTCCATCACCCACAGTCTCATCTCCGGCGCCAACAGCCCTCTGGCCTTGTTCTCGGGCCGATGGGTACTCGCTCTGGAGCCAGAGAGACTCGATGCCATTGCCGGTGAATCCTTTCAGAGTCGCGAGCAGCGGACGAGATTGAACCAGAGAATAAAGGACCTGACCGAGGCCGTGGCGATTCTTCGTTGAAGGAGTCGTTGCGAAGTGGAGAGTGACGAAGCGAATGAAGTGTGCGCAGAAAAGCAGCATTGTCCCAGGCAGGTACGGAAAGAGAAAGGAGAGGAGAAAAAAAGAGTCAAAGCATGATTATGGATACTAGTATTTTGACAACATTGCAGAAAAACTTGCGAGGGAAAGCGAAGAAAAATGGGCGGAAGAACCGTGAAAGAGAGAACGACGAGACAAAAAAAAAATGATGAAAAGACGAAAGAATTAGAGAAAATGTAAATAAAATGAAGCAACAGAACAAGAATTAGATAGCCAAGTAGTAAAGGCTTAACCACAGAGAGACAATTCATCAATTTATGATGGCGCCGCGACAGCCCTAGTCCACGAAATAGCTGCATGCCTCTCACGCACGAGTCGCGGACGGAGCACCGTTTTTGCAAAGGTGTCGTCGCAGATAATTCTTACTCTCCACTTAGATACTCATGGTCGCAAGAGTGTTTCTTTGTCGTACTTTTGCGGTTATGTTTAGGTCAGGTTGTATAGGCACATCGACCGCTGCAAGAGGCACACCTTGTATCCATACAGAGATGGATCTGTCATAGCCTCAAGCGGCTGCTGGCTCTTCTTTTTCTTTCCTCCCGGAGACTTCGTGTTGTAGCCAAGCGCTCACAAAGTGCACTTGGAGGCAGCGCTCACCCAGCCCGTGAGGCGGTTCGCGACGTCACTGGCGTAGCAAGCGGTGGCGCCCCCGGTGCCGAGATCCTCGGGCGCATGGCCCGAGTTGTACTTGCGCGCGGCGCGGTAAAACGCGGCGACGTCGGCGCTGCCGGCGGCGCTGAGGCACTGCAGGAGGCCGTCGCCGCGCGGGGTGCCGGCGGTGCCGTCGCGGATCATCTGCTCAATCGTGCTCGCGGGACACGGGTGCTGCACGGTGCCGCGGTCGTTGCACGTCGCCGCGCCGTCGTGGTCCTGCATCAGCCCCGGGTTGCGGTGCGAGCCCACGGTCGAGTGCACGCGCACGCAGCCGGTCGACTCCTGCATGATGATGGCCAGGATGAAGCGGCTGTCGACGCCCGTCTCGGTGGCGACTTTCAGGATGCCGTCCCGGATTGCACTCTAGGGTTTCATTGGTGTTAGTGCTTGGAGGGAGAAAGCCTTGCCGTCTGCGTTTACTCACAACTTCGGCCTCGCTGTTGTTGGGAACGCCGAAGCGACTGCAGGAGCTGAGCATTGCGGCCCTGTTCTTGGCAAACCTGTCCCGTCTGTTAACATTCCCTCTTCAAATGTTGGTTGCAGTGTCAGGACGTACATGTACTCAAAGGACACCCAATCGCTCCTGGCAGGCCAGCCGCTGGCAGGAGAGCCGTTGCCCGTGTACATGCGGTACTGGTCTCGGCCGGCGCCAGTGCCATTGTGGATGTTGGTGCTGTTATTTTGAGCGATAAGCCCATGCACTTTACCGGCAATGTTGGGATGCTCAAGCTGGGCAACAGGAATGGCAAGTGCAGGCGAAGCCAGAAGAACAGCGAAAGCGCGGTTGAGATGCATCTTGTAAGTTGATCGAGAAATGTTGTTTTCAAGTGAGACGTTTGGCTCGGATTAATCGAGATTGTTGCTATTTATCGGGAGAACTGGCGGGGAAGTGTTATCTGTGGAGAGGATTGCCGTCCTAGAAGACATAACGAGATCATATATAGTCTCATCACTTTGACTGATGGGCCAGTCCCGTTCTATACTGCGTGAGAACTAAATGAGAGCTGGGCGCTTGGAAACCTAATAACTACGTCTACGCTGCATTCTGCTATTGTGTTCGCAAACCTTGTTATATAATTTCCAACCTTTTTATTTTCTTCCCAACCTTGTTATTTGGTTTGGCGGCATCATCATTTAGTGCGCTTCTTTACTCTTTTCATGAGGCAAGCTAGCAAACCTACGAGCCTTCTCGCACCGTGATCGCACTAGTTCTGGATCGGCAACCTTCAGACTCGCCTATAAACTTGGGCGCGATGCCGCATCTTGTTTCGTGGCGCGGAAAGCCTGTCATTACGCGCTCCAATAATAGGTGAGTGTTGACTGGTTCAAGCATCACAGACGCTTCAGAAGCAGATGTTCACGGCGTCGCAATTTCCGACAAATTAGCCAGTAGATCTAGTTAGTATGCGAAGTAACTCGAATTCTTGCCCAGGAACTATTCATTGAATCGTTGAGGCCTGCACAAGCAGCCCAGCCACCGAGGCCTCTAATTACCTAGCCAAGAGCTAATCAGGGCCCATTTTTCCAGGCACAAAACCTGAGTGGCGATGGAGGCGTCCAACACACCCGTCTATCAATCATGAATACTACTAATGTCGTTCGTTTTTTATTCCTTGTAGAATCACGATACATCACCTATATACAGTAACAAATGGGGGTTGGCACTGTTGAGGTAGTCTGCTGTACTTCCGAAGTGTGCTTGGCAGCGTGAATCCCAACTATAACTCTCGGCTAACACGCAATGTATTTTGTTATGTATTTCATTCTACGGGTGACTTCTTCGGCCTCGGAGCCCCAGTAGTACGTACAACTACTTATGGCAATAGCAAAATGTATTTGCCATTACCATATTCATCTACATTGCTGTGGCCCCCCTGTGCCAATTACCCTACAGCCACCAAGCTAAACACTCCACCGTCTGCCGTACGTTCTGTGAGACAAGAATTTAGACCAAGCTTTTTTCGACTGATTTTACGACCTATTTCTAACACTATTCTCTGCTAAAATTCGAAGAGAGTCAGACGAAGCATTGGGACAGTGATTCACCTGTTACTTGGGAGTGGTGATACCAACGCGGCCACAGCGCTATAACAGAACACCGTGCTCTTCTGACAGCTGAAAAAAGAGATCACGATTTCGCGTTTGGCGCTCACTGATTCAATCTAATTAAAAATGTTCATCCGGTCTCCAGTTGACCACTTTAGATCGAAACTTGTCCTTCCTTCTATGGAAGAGGCTGGTGGTGGCGTAGGTGGAACCCGATGAAGGGTTTAGCTCCAACCGATATCCGACCTCCCTTGCTTCTTGGCGTCGACCAAGCCCATCTGCTGCACAGGCTCATCTTGCACGTGTCTTCGCCTTCCGGCTAATCGCCGAAGAGATGATACATGCCTGAACCTCTTTCTTTAAAAGCCTTTGAATTTTCTGTTTATTAATGCAAAGATGTATGGTTAGCATAGATTTTGCAAACAGAGCAGCAACCACCAGCGACAAACACGGACTGGCAAACGAAGCAACGGTAGAATATGAGTATGAACATCGATTTAATTGTGAATCAACGGAGTAAAGAATATGGAAGCATACTTTCCATGTGATCATTTTTTTATCACCCTATCTATGTGCTTTCACCCGACAACGAGCAATAGATTACAGGTGTTTCCAGAAACACATAGGCTGTAGATAGGATGGTATGGACATGAAAATGTATAAGATTTAGTAGACAAGGGTATAAAAATAATTGGTAGAGGGGGAATCGACGCGTTGCAATGACAGCTAAAAAAAATCGGGGTCACGACGATTCCGATGTACGAGGGACTCGAACCCTCAACCTTAGTCTTAGGAGGACTACGCGCTCCCATTGCGCCAGCACACCAACGACCAAAAAAGCGCTTATTGGTACCTATACAGCCTACACATGCCAGGTCGCTGTCTATGACCTATAAACACGTAGCTAAAGCATAAGAGTACAAAATTGTCGGATTTAAGCTGTAAATAGAAATGCACTCTATGTCTTTATGATATTTTAGAGTTGGTATTTTACGGGTGCCAAGCGAGAACCCTCAACAGAGAGTAGCGGGAAACGGAACGCAAGATTGGCAGGGTGGTGGCATAATGGTCTAGGCTTGGGAATCTTGGTAGTGTCACCACTACCTACGCCCTATACACTGGTTGGCCCGAGGATGCGAAGCGCGGACCGCAGCAGTTCCGGCAATATGATCAATTCGGCACATTGTTCTGTGAGAATTGCAATCGTCTTTATTTCATTGCATTTTCTGATACCTACCCATTCGCGTTTATACCCGCTGTCGCACGAGTGTTTCCGACTCTTGATATCTTGCTCGCCGACGACAGTGCTGTTACGCCATCGTCGGGACGGCTAGTGCTGGGAAGCCGGGTGATAAGGAGGAGAATACTACGCTACGACAAATTTATTATCAATTTGTCGAGCCATTCGGTCTGGAATTCCAAAAATGTTTGATACTCTGCATTATTGCTATTATGCTAATGAATTATATGGCTAGCACTATGCATCTCACGTGGGGTTTTTAAATCCGTTGGTCATCAAGGATTGAGGGGCGATGACGGATGACGCGCCTCCCCTACACCGACCTCTTCCAACACGCCGTCTCATGCAAATCAGAAAACCACGCAAACAGAATCACGATGAAGTTTGGGCTCAATTATGACAAGCACATGCTACCCAAGTGGTCGGAGCACTACATCGACTACAATGGGCTGAGAATGCAGCTCCGGGCCAAAACTCAGAGAGGGGAAAGCATCCAAGGTACGCCGCGACCATGGGGCACAGCGTGTCGCCCTTCTGACGCTGCATGTTAGGACTGACCGGCGAATTCATCGCCGAGATCGTCCATGCCAGGGAATTTCTCATTGGCTCCTATGCGTCTCCAGGTCGAGTACGAGACACGACGGATGAGCCGCCACAGCCGCCTAGTCCAGTGTCGAGAGACCGGGTGAGAGCTCTTCCCATGCGACACTCGGACAATGTGGCTCGCTGCATGTCAGACGAGAGCGAAGAGATTTGTACGTTTGCAAAATTAAACATGATGGCGACACACCGGCTTCTCGACAAGTTTGCAGCCAGCCGCGGAGCCCCGCCCCATGCTCTCCAGCGCGTAGAATCGGAATTGGAGGCTTGGGCCGAGGCGAGACAATCGACTGTTAAACTGTCGGATATCACGAGTGACTTGAGCAAAGGCAAAACGGAGCACCCAGATTCTGTTCATACGCCCTTGAACGCCGACAGCGCATCTTCTTGGCGCGGAGATGTCGCGGAGCTACTCGAGCCTCAATCTCTTGACAGTTTCAAGCTTTCTCTCAAGAAATACGTTATCGATGAGCACTCTAGGTCTAATATAGACGCGGAGAAGAGCCACATAGCAGGTAGGCTGCTTTGCTTGGCGGTGAGCTGCCTACCAAGCGACTTTATCGACGCCATCCTGGCGCATGGCCCTGACCTCGGCGTCAAGTCCTGTCGGGGTGAGACGGCCCTCTACTGCGCTGCTCAGTCAGGGTCGCTGTTGGTGGTGCAGTCTGTCGCGCGATATTTTCTCAGCTCTGGGCAAGGTCTGGACGCGGCCGTGCCGAGGACGGGTTGGACACCGCTGTTGGTGGCATGCGCAAAGGGGCATACAGAAATCGCAGACTTTTTACTTTCCTCTGGAGCAGATGCCGAAAAGGTCGACGTCTTGAGGTGGACTGCCAGGATGCACGCTGCATACCGTGGCCACCTCACCACTGCGTCTCTAGACGACCTGACGACAGATGGTAACCCAGGTGACGCGCTGGTCGGAAGAGCTCACAGCGAGGCACAATATATACACAAAACCCTCGCGCCTGGTGAAAAGGCCATTGTTGTCACGCTCGGCAGCGTCCAAGGCGGCCACGACCGAAAGACTCTCAACCTGCGCTCGCGAAGCGGGCTCGCCAACAACGCCCGTCTCGCGTCCCACTACCTAGAAATCCTCATTCACGGGGCCGATTGCGGCTCCAAGATTGTGCAGCTGCCGCTCTGGGCAGACTACAGCGCAGATCCTCTTGTGGGCAGGCTCGGCCTGGACGCGCCGTCGCAAGTGACGGTGCGCCTCTGGCACGGTCAGGGCACGCCGGCCTCGCGCAACACGCTGGTCAGCAGCGGCACCGTGTTTCTGGGCGATGACTTTGCCAGATTCGGCGCTTCGCGCGAGAGCATGCTGCGGGAGACGACGGTGGTCCTGCTCGACAAGGAGACTATGGGGTTTGCGGGGACGGTGCTGCTGAGCTACGTGATTGCGAAACCTTTTGAGGGCCTGGCGGATGGCGAGCCGGCGAGTTATACGAGGAAACCTGGTGATCCCGTGTGGCTCGTTGGTCACAGAGGTATGTAGCGAGATGGACATGCCGATTGCGGCCATACTGAATGGGTTGCCAGGTCTCGGCCAGAATACTGCTGGCAAGTCGAATCTGCAAATTGGGGAAAACACAGTCACAGTATGCTCCCCTATTCTATCTCCTTGTCTTTGCATCTACTGACAGTTACTAGTCTTTTCTTTCAGCCTACAGACTTGGAGCCCCGTTTGTTGAGGTAAAATGTCGAACAAAAATGCACTGCTCGAACCTGGGCGCTGACACGATTTAGTTTGGTAAAATCTGCCCACCTGCGAAGGATTGATGGGCACACTAACCGTTTCACGCAGATGTGCAGCTCACACGCGATCTCGAAGCTGTCATCTATCACGACTTTTCCTTGAGCGGATCCGGATCCGACGTGCCCATTCACGACATTTCGCTCGCCCAGTACAAGTATGCCGGCGACATGCAAAACCCGCTGGGTGGTGCTTTGCTCCTCGAGTCGGGCGGCGGCGGCGGCACCGGGAGACCGCGCGCGTCCTCTACCGGCGAGCACTCCGTCCTCAAGGCGATGCAGGCGCAGGAGCGCTTGCGGTATACCGTTGACTTTGATGGCAAAGGCTTCAAGGCGAACATCCGGGGACACTCGATCCAGGATGCGCACGCTACGTTGGAGGAGCTCCTCGCCACTCTGCCAGAGGAAATCGGATTCAACATTGAGATGAGTATGCTGCCACGTCCGTTTTGGGGTCTATCTGTGGCCTAGGCTGAACGTTGGAGCCAGAATATCAGCGCCTTCACGAAGCGGTTGAAGCAGGCGTGGCGTCCGTCACCATTGACATCAACACCTTTGTCGACGTCGCCCTAGAAAAGCTCCGACGGCTCGCCGGTCGCCGCCCCATCCTCCTGTCGTCCTTTACCCCCGAAGTCTGCATCCTCCTCAGGCTCAAGCAGAGCGCGTACCCCGTCCTGCTGATTTCGAATGCGGGCAAGCTGCCCCGGGCAGACAAGGAGGTGCGCGCTGCGAGCCTGCAGAGCGGCCTGCAGTTTGCGCGGTACTGGCGGCTGTCTGGGCTGGTGCTGGCGTGCGATGTGTTCCTGCTCTGTCCGCGGCTGATTTCGCTGGTCAAGAGCGCGGGACTGGTGTGCGCTTCGTACGGCCTGGGGAACAATGACCCCGAGAATGTAAAGGTGCGTGGGCGCTGGAAAGGAGATGTGAATGGTACTGACTGCAGATCTGGTAGATGCAAGCGGAGGCTGGTATTGATATTCTGATTGTGGACAAGGTGAAGCTGGTTGCGGACGCCTTGGGCAAGCTGCCGTCGCCGACAGAGTGAGGATTGACGGGGCCCAAACAGTGGTATGACATGGGCTATTTCATGGTGAATTATGTTCTACTCCATGATTTCCATTTTTGCAATGGATAACTGGCCGTACATTTACGTCCATCACTTTGCATACCGTCTCGCGTCCAACACTCTGCACTGTCACTCAAACCCAATGCTCTCAAATTGGTAACTCATCCGGCAAACAAAACTTTCAACATTCTCCGGTAAAAGGGTATGCCGTAGAACGTTGTACATGGCCCAGCCACATGGGGCCCTGCTGATCCAGCCCTTGTGATGAACACAGCCAAGAGGGTACCACAGCACTTGCTCTGCCGTGATAGCTAGCCCAAGTGTAACACAATTTTGCCCGATTTGTGCAATTTGATGGCATGGATTCACATTCTGCTGCCACGTCATATAACGGACCAACAGTACTTCGTCGCGTGCGACAATACAACGGTGGCTGACGAACTCACGTTGAGCGGCCTCGCGTGGATTGGGAGTTTAACGCACTCTGTTCAGCTGCAGCTCTTTATGTCACAGCACTAAATAAAATGGTAGAGGTGTTTAGTATTGAGTTTATTTGGCACGTTAAGGGTGCGGAAAAAGTTCAGTCAGATTTCTTCGGCCAGAATTCAGAGCTGGCAGCCAAGGGCATCGCGGAATGCAGAATGCCAGCAGCATTCAATAGAGTTCGATACATAACAAAACGAGCAAGAGCTCCGGAAGCCAACTTCCTTAGTTACCTCTCTTGGGCTCCCACCTAACTGTCATTCCTCCCTCGCTATCCCATTCAGCTGTCATGCCTCGCTCTTTCTCCTTCTCAGCGAGCAAGGCCTTTTCTGCCGCCTGTGCCTTGTGCGCCTTAGTAACATCCACATGTTTGTCCCAGATTCTGACAAGGGTCTTGTCAATCTCAATCTTCTCCCAATCCATTTCGGACCGCTGTTCATAAACCGAAGCAGCCGGCTCCCGTTGTCTCTTTTCTTTGGCGGCAGTCGCAGCCGTGGTCAGGTTCTCTGCGACCTCCTCGGGAATAGCCTCGACGAGTTTAGCGTTCTTATACCGCTCGCCGATTCTGTTGTAGACGTCCTGCCATTCCTTTTCATCGCCTGTAATGCCGCCGAGATCCGTATTCTTGTCGATCCCCATGGTGTCGGTAGGTGTGCAGTAAGATTCCGAGGAAGTGTAGATATTGAAGTTTCCGAGGAAGTGTATGAAGTTTCCGAGGAAGTGTAGATATTGAAGTTTCCGAGGAAGTGTAGATATTGAAGTTTCCGAGGAAGTGTAAATATTGAAGTCTCCGAGGAAATGTAGATATTGAAGATTCCGAGGAAGTGTAGATATTGAAGTCAGATGGGCGAGGTGTTGATTCCTACCCTTTTTTCTTCCATGGCAAAAGAGGTCTTTGATCAGATACTTATATTTCGGCAAAGACCAAGAAGTGTTTGTCTTCTCAAGTCTCCTCGCGTAGGTTTTTGCCTCGTTGGGCTCCAACATCACGCAAGGCCTTGGCATCTTTGGATCCCAATGTTGGCTGCCTACAGCCAAGTTACGTGAGTTGTGAACAGAAGCAGACGAGTGGTTGGTTTTTGGACCAGTTGCGGCAAGGACATGCTCTGTGCCAGGTGACCCGAGGTGGCTAGTAACACGGAACCCGCAGTGTAACTGCGAGCTTGGCTTTGATCAGGACCTTTTAATTTCGATTCTCCGCCAGGAAAACATCGTGGAACCTCTGCCCTTGTCGGGCAGGCGAGTCTGCTCCCATGACCTGACAACCGTGAGCCCCAGCAGCTTCTGGATGTCATGGGTCTGAAGCGTGGCAGGTCATGATAGGCCCGGTTAACCCGTGTGGTGATTATTTCAAGACCAGTGGATCTCTACTGGACCGAGATTTCTGCCTCGCAGTGTTGCACGTATATATGTGTGAAACCACTGTCACTCTCTCAGTTCTCTTCCGCTAGGCATCCATCTTCCGGACTAGGCTACCAGTATCGAGAATTTTTCGTCAGTCGTAGCTATGACCATGCTGGCAGTATGGGCGGTCTGAGATTTGTGTTTCTTTTCCTGATAAAGTAGGCAGCTACTCGACTGGTCACCAGGCGAAGCAGTTGATCGACCTGATTGTTTCTTTGGTAGTAGAACCTGCACTTTTACTCGGGTTCTTCTGCGTTCCAACGCCAGTTTGCACGTTTGATGTAAGTCCTATACCTTATAATTATATTGTATGGCACTAAGTTTGTTGATCTTAAATATGTATTAATTTCTTGTGGCGAAAATGGCTGAAGATGAACAGAGTCGGAGTCGGACGACTGTGGGCTAGTGGCTGACAGTGATTTACAGTGCATTTGGGGGCGGGCTACGGGGCTTGCGTGCTCTGTACGCGAGTGACTTTGCACCCGATTTTACACCGAAAAGGCACCTGCAAGTAAAATTGGAAAAGATTGTAGCTAAAGAAGACAGGTTAGAAAAATGCATAGTGATATCAGTACACCTGAATCTTCGGGCAGCAAAGTGACACCGTCGAGGACCAGGCATGCGTCCATGGCGTTTCAAGCTCCGTCCCCGGTGCTTAGCTAAGGTGTGTACCCAGTCGCCAAAGGAGCAGAAAAATGAGAGATGCTCCCAGGAGGCACTTCTAATACCAAGTCAATATTTTCAAATATTTATCTCAATTGTTCTAGTGCGTGGTTGTGGTCGTAAGTGTAGCATTAGTCACTGACGGGGCCGAGTGTTTAGGTGAACCCAGCCCTACGATCCCAGAAATAACGGGCGGTCCGCTTAATTTCGCGCCTTCGGAGATCTCATCCGGGCAGTTCCCAAACTTGTTAGATGAGGTGCCTTGGAAAACCACACAACCACATTCTCTACTGGCAGCCCGTTAATAGTCATTATGATATTTTCGCCGAATGATTTCCATCGCTAGTGCTTCTGGAAGCGGCTCTAAGAAGCGGTCTACCTCTGCCTGCCAGAACTGGTTATACGGATTCACGTGCCAGGCCGACGTGTACTCCCAGTAAGGGGGCATCCACGCAGCCGTTTCCCAGTCCACGATACCAACAACCTCATCCCCATCCGCTAAAACATTCAAAGAGCTAAGGTCGCCGTGTGAGAAGACAGGATACGGCCATGGCTGATTATGAAAGGCAATCAGGGGCCCGAGCTCTGGGATCGCGGTCCCCGCATACTCTGGCTCGTCCACACCGGCGCGCAGCTCTCGGTGAAAATCGTGGATGGTCTGGAACGGGCCCCAGACGCCGGACCCGGGCAGTCTAGGATCGTAGATGGCGCCGCCGTCCACGTTGGACACGCCGCAGCCCGCCGGGGCCGGTATCTGGCGCATCTGCTGGACCATGCCGCGGAGGCTCTCGAGGATGCGGCTTTGCGACGCAGGCGTGCGCTGGAGCCAGCCATGGGCCAGCATAACGCCGTTGATGCGCTCCATGACGATGTAGACGATTCCTTGGTGCTCGAATGCGCTGTGCACTTTGGGGACTGGGATCGTCGTGTGCGCAGCGATGAAGCGCATCGCGGACGCCTCCGCGAGCGAGGTGGAACGCGTCGACTTGATGCAGAGCCGGGAGGACAGGAAGAGGACGGGGCCTGCGCGCGGGAAGAGCCGCCGGAAGCATCGGAAGGAGAGGAGCCAGTAGAGGATAATCACGGCCCAGCGCACGACAAGCCGGTCGTTGATGGGCTGGGATGGCATGGCCTTGGTGCAGCAATGTGCTGGCGATGGTGAGGATGCGCTGGTGCAGTGGCTGGGCGGGTCGGGAGAGGTACCTCGGGTTTCAGGTTGCCTCTTGTTGGCGCCTAGCGACCTACAAAAGTACAACAGTAGCGGCGTAAAGTGTCGCTCACCGACGAAATCAACATCCATCAACGCTTTCTATTTTTTTTCTTAATTTCTCTAGTGGAAATGGCCTTATTCTCATATGTAGTCTGAGCGGGATCTGGTCAGCGGTCGCGGGGTTACCCCTTGTTGAGTATGGAGCCTTGTCTTTGCAGACATCGGGGTGAAGAAGGATATGTTGGTTGCGCCCGTTGAAAAACTCTGAAAGCTTTCTGTTCTAGGTCTGAAGCATTAATTGTTGCTCAGTGGTGTTATGTTGTTGCTTGTATCCATACCGTTTAGTAGGCAAACTCTACAACATCATGGCGACGCCCAGTGGTGGGGGGAGTATGGGCACCCTTGTGATTTTATTTTGACTGCGATAAAGAAGCTTTTTTCTATCATGAACTTTTCGGTAAAACACACAAGAATATCTAGGCAAGCTAAATGTGGTCGTTCTTCTCGTCCCTCACGCGCTGTTGTCTCCATTTCAGACCATTCATCAAGACAACTACTAGGAGCATACAACAGATAAAGTAAGCGCTGCCAATCACCACAAAAGCTGGTCCAGCCCCAATCGAAGTAGTCAGAGGCACAATCGCAGCTGTGGCACCAGCGCCGATGAGACACTTTGTAATGTTGCTGGCCGCCATGGCTGTGCCAGCTTGTCCTTGATTGGTGTCGACGAGAACAAGATTGATGCAGCTGTTGCTGCAAGCCATTCCCATGCCGACGAAGAAGTTGAGCACCGAAATGACGGCAATGTGCGATTTCGTGTGCATCGCCCAGCCCCACGCCATCGTGCACACGCCCGCCAAGATGGTCATTGGGATTCCGATTTCCAGCCGCGTGCGCTCTATGGGAAACGAGTTGATGTCCACTTGGCTCTTGTGCTCGAACCGCAGTCCGCGCGCGGCGCAGTGGCGCCGGTAGTTCCACCCAAAGAGCCGCCCCGAGACGAGGGCCACCAGCACCACGCCGCCCGCGAGCGGCAGATACATCAGCCCAATCTCCGTCTCCGACAGGCTGTACGAGTCGCGGAGCAGAAACGGCATGGCCGCGGGCACGCAGTAAAAGGTAATGTAGCTGAGGCCGTTGCTCCACAGCAGGATCCCAGACTCCTTCTTGAATAGGAGTGTAATGACTTTGCAAATGTTTGAAAGCACAGTCTTTTGTGGTTTCGATTCCGGTTGGCGTAGAGGCTTTTCGTCCGACGAAGCATATGTGATGGCATTTTTGGACCGGCGGAGCTGAAAGAGTTGCCAAGGTGTCTGGTAAAGCTTGGGGGGCAGAATGGACCCGTCTTGAACCATGTTGCGGCAAGTCTCTGGCAGACCACCAATAGTAAGAATGGCCATGACGGCAGCGTATATTGTCAAAAACCAAAATATCGATCGCCAACCTAGATATTGCGTCAAGACGCCACCGAGCGTTGGCCCGACCGACGGTCCCAAGGCTTGTGGTATCAATGTATAGGCAAAGTATTGTCCTCTCTCCGCAGAAGTAATAGTGTCGGCAATGACTGCGCTGCAGAGGACCATGGTGCTGCTCGACCCAATAGATTGCAGAGAGCGGAGGGCCATGGCTCCAGCAAAGTCCCGGACGAGTGCCAGCCCAACAGTAGCTGCAATGTAAATGACAAAGCAGAACGCGTATGCTGGTCTCCGGCCTCTTGTGTCGGCGACAGAGGTGACAAACATGGGCGATATTCCTTGAAAGATCATGTATGTGGTGATGGTGAGTGTAATGTCTTCGTCCGTTACGTTCAGCTCTCTTGCCATGGGGCTCATGGCTGGCAAGTATATTTGCGCGGAGACGGTGGATATGAAAGCGGTCATGGTCGCTAACAAGACAATAATGGTTTTCTTTCGTGAAGAGTAGACACAGTAGGGTTTTGTCAAGGTTCTCTCGCTCGAGTCCGACATTACCGCTTCCTCCTCTGCCGAGACAGAGTCTCTTGGCGAAGAGTCAGCGGTAGAGACCGGCTGTTGCCGCGTTATGACTTGCGTCTTCATATTGGACAAAATTTCAGTAATTAATAACAAGACAAACTTTGTCGTTAAAGGGGAATGTTCAGGCAATAGATGGAACTGGCTAGGGGTAACGCCTTTAGTAGTTGAGGATGGGAGCGGCTCGATATCTGGCCGACGGGAGCTACACATGTAACCCAGTTTCTCAATTTAAAGATATATATAAGTCTACTACTCGCACGGAACTGTGGACCTCTTTGGACACGACTCACCAGTGCTACGTCAAGATTTGCGCACGTTTATCAGCTTAGGTCTCATTCATGCGATACAGCTTGCAAGCCGTTCAAGGTAGTGAGAATAGTGGAACCATGTTGGCTAGTTGATGTCGAACTCAATCGTGCGGCCAATCAGTTGTTTCGGTTTGAGTGGTGAAAATTCCGATGTGGCTTCGCGCTATATCGCCGCAGATCTGGTGGCTTCTTATCTCCTGTGCCGAGAGACGCAATTAGAGGAGACCCTCAAAAACGAACCACAAGTCCACCCAGCAGAGTTGCAACAGTTACACAGCCGCCCCCCCACGGGTTACGTACCATCATGCCCTCGATAGTACGTCCCATAATTCTTCAGATAGCTCACCAGTGTTTTAGGCAGGTCGCATTAATGATAACGTTAGGCTCGCGAGTGCGCTCGAGACCAGATTGGCTGCCAGAACGTCTAAAGAATCAATAGTACACCAACCCACTGTTTCAATCGCAGCATCTGGGTGGGGGGTTAGCTGCGGGAACATCTCTAGATAGCTACGCGAATGTCAAAGCGCAGAGGGGCAAATGGGGTTTTCGCCAAGTTGAAGAATCCTTGGGCAGTGGCTCTCGCTCGGCTCTACCACGGTATGGCAAGGAATATGACTCGATAAGAAGCGGCTGCGGCTGACCCGGGCGATGAGAAGACCAGCAGCACGAGATTTTACAGAGCGATTCTTCATTTCGTTCTTTCGGACATTGGGAGCCCACCGGAAGCGTACACCGAGTGAACATGGGATGTGACAAGTACGGACCAGGGCGTAAGCACTGGCCCGAGGCCGAGCACGCACAAATACGCGGAAATGGCTAAAGCCCAGAATGGCAACCCTAGCCTGCTGGGAAAGAGCAAATACTTGGCAGAGAAGGCGAATGTATTTGTCACTACGGTCTACTGGGGTCCGGCACACAAGTGCCAGCGCATCGAGACGCAGATACCTCAAGGAGAAACGTTGCCAGACTTGAACAGGCTTGTATGTAGTGGCTGGGACAAAGGCTTGGACACTGGTATGATGAAATCGTCTGACATTAACAGTGACGGAGGAAGAGGTTGGAGGAACTGGCCGGCACCTACAGGAGCCCAATGTACAATCTAAAAATGTGCCCCTTGGTCGGCGTGGCCGGAGCGGCAGTTGCATACTTGACCACCAAGTCTTCAGTACCAGTAACAAATACGCAGCGACAGTAAATACAGGTAGCCAGTTGGCTAATAATTGAAAGTGTATATAAGCGTTATCGGCACGGCAGCTTCCATCGTTGGTGCGGCACCAGATGTAATTAAGCTCACCAGACCAGATATGGACTCGTTGTTATCGGTTCCGGCGCCACGGGTGCCCCTCTAGCCGGCTCGCCGTGGACGGCCATAAGGCGATTTTAATTAAGGCCGGCGAGGACTAGGGCAAGAATACTAATAACTCTGTATCTAAGTCTAATGCAAAAAGAAAAGGGACTGTACTATAACTAGTGCAAAGACAATAAATACGGCATTTACTCACAACCGAGTGTTAATAGAAGCTTAAAAAATAGTTGTTTTCTTCAAAATAATTTAAATTCATACAATACCACAATGATCAACATATGATTACAGAAGTTTTACAGGCTAGGCCACTAGCACGTTCAGAATGGAATGGTTAGCGCACCTTGATAGGTGCAACCAAACAAAACCTCGTGATTCGGCCGAATGAGTGGACAAATGTGACGACACCTTGGCATCGAATCTGCCAAGGCGCGGCCTTTACAAAGCAAAAAGCCATCTCGCGATAAATGATGCAGGAGGCAAAGGTGACACCTTGCCCTGAAAGCGGTCCAAGCGCGAGTCTCTTGACCACGCCAAGAGGAGGAGCCAAGGGATGTCATCTCAACGAACTTGCAGGCAAGAAACAGCATCAGCCGCTGTCGCTCCGGATCGAATACGCGGTTGGCGTGGCAAGGAGCAGAGACCGAGCGGCGCTGGAGAGGCTGTCCATGCGAGAACCGCTTCGGCGTTCGGCGCAGATCCTTGCATTGCCGCTGCGGCTGTAGCCGGAATACGGCTGGGCTCGGTCGGCCGCAATTGTTTGCGACGATAAATTTTAAACGCCGCCCGCTTCCAGTCTTTGGCGACCCGAATAAAAACTTACCAGTTTCCCTCTGCGACCCCGAAAGGCGACCGTGAGCAACTGGCCCTCAAATATCTGCCGCCGAGCCATTCAGAACACCACACCGCGCGATGCAACAGAGCACTGTATGTCGGGGCACGGGCTGCACGCTGCACGCATTCACGTTCGCCGCAAGGCAACACAACCCCGGACTTGCACGTGCAGGCCCGACTGCACCCTCAGCCTGCATTCGCTCACTCCTGCGCTGGCTGCCTAGAGCTTCAGTGCTACTCCCATGACCGTCTTGTGGCGCATGACGGCGTTGCCATAAGCGCGTGGGGCGCACCATTATGCCCTTAATTTGTCACATATCTCAGCAAGTGCAGTTGCTTGTTACCTGTCCACACAACGTGCTTGGTGAACAGTACCTTCATGATCCCACTTTTGCTACGCGACACCATCATGCCTTATATATTGTCACACATCTGCATCCCAGAACCGCTGGGGTGGTTGGTCATGGGCATGCGGCCGTGACAGGCGGACATGCGCCGGCAACCCCGTGTGATCAATGGTGCAAGGCGAGTGGTCACCAATTCACACAGCCCTGCCCGACGGTCCCTTTTTTTGCAAATATATAAATGATGCTAGCGACCGCCCGCACTCTCTAGTCTCCCTTTGGGGCCAAGCTTCTGCATTTCTCAACAGGCTTTGACAGCATCATGAAGTTTTGGCACGTCGCCGCCGCCGCCTTGCTGGCCGTTGCTGGCCGGGTGGAATCCAAATCCACCTTTTCGCCCGCCAGACCTCCTGCAGCTCCTCTCGCCGTCCGCTCACCCTATCTGAATGTCTGGCTCAATGGGCTGACGGATGGAGGCGAGAGTGGCGTTTTGCCCAATCAGTGGCCTCGCTTCTGGACGTAAGTTGTTGCCGCATCATGGTATGGGAGCAAAACCCACTAACATAGGTGCAGAGAGGGCATCCAGGGCTGGCAAGGCTACATCAAGGTCGATGGCAAGACATATAATTGGATGGGAAACCACCCTAGCACTGATTACGCCAACCAGACGGCCCAAAGCTACACGTCGACCAAGACCACCTTCGTCATGGATGTTGGCGGACAGGTCGAGCTCACCATCAGCTTTCTCTCGCCCGTCTTTCCCAAGGACCAAATGCGCCAGTCGATCCCTTTCGCCTACATGAATGTCGAGGTCAAGTCTATGGACGGCTGCTCGCACTCTGTGCAGATTTACAGTGACGTCTCTGGAGGTAAGCCTGCCCCAAGCGCTTGAGCGGTGATCCGCGCGCTAATATGCTTGACCGCACAGAGTTTGCGTCTGGTGATAACAGCGCGCTGATCGAGTGGGAACACCAAAACGTCAACGACCTGCACACGCACCGTTTTTGGCGACAAAATCAAGACGTGTTTAATGAGGCCAATGACCAGGCTTCGTGGGGCCACTGGTACTGGACGACAAAGGACCAATCCGGTGTCAGCTACCAGATCGGGCAGGATACCGAGGTACGGAGCCAGTTTGTGAACAACGGCTCTCTGGATGGCAGCATCGACAGCCAGTTCCGCGCCGTGAGCGACCGATGGTAGGAGAAAGGACGATGACCTCGCAGCTACAAGCCATACTAACCGCATATTCTAGGCCGGTATTCGCCCTTTCACGCGATCTTGGAAAGGTCAATGAGACTGTAGCGACGCTCTTCACGATTGGTATTGCCCAGGACGAAGCTATCCAATACCACGGCGTTGGCGACCAGAAAGGTCTTCCGTCTCTGTGGAGGGTCTACTACTCCAATGACTCTGAACTGGTCAAGTTCTTCTACGACGATTACGACTACTCCGTGGAAAAGTGCCTGGAACTTGACCGTCGCATTGAGGACGACTCCAAGTCGGCTGCCGGCCAAGACTACGCCACCATTACCAGTCTGGCCCTCCGCCAATTGTACGGCGGTCTTCAGTTCGTCGGTACAAGAGACAACATCAAGGTCTTTTTGAAGGAAATCAGCTCCAACAGCGATATCCAGACGGTGGACGTTCTCTTCCCCGCCTTTCCCGCCATGGTCTACCTCAACCACGACCTCATCCGATGGACTCTCGAACCGCTGCTCGAGTACCAAAAGAGCGGGCGCTACCCCAACAAATGGGCCGTGCACGATCTCGGCCGCTACCCGCGCGCGCTGGGCTACGATGACGGCAACGACGAGCCGATGCCGCTGGAAGAATGCGGCAACATGATCATCATGATGCTCTCGTATGCGCAAAAGTCCGGCAACAACACCTATCTGGCCGACAACTGGGATCTGCTCACGCGGTGGGCCGAGTACCTGATCGAGGACGCCAAGATCCCCGCGCACCAGCTGTCGACGGACGACTTTGCCGGGCAGCTCGCGAACCAGACCAACCTGGCCATCAAGGGCATCATTGCGCTCGAGGCCATGTCCGAGGTGGCGACGCGCGCCGGGCACGCAGACCAGAAGCAACACTACAGCGACATTGCGCACGCGTACTACGGCTTCTGGTCCGAGCACGGCATCAACCACGCGGCCGCGACGCCGCACGCGACGCTCGCGTACGACGACATGGACAGCTACGGGCTGCTGTACAACCTGTGGGGCGACAAGGTGCTCGGGCTCGGGTTCGTGCCGGCCGAGGTGTACGCGATGCAGAGCGCGTGGTACCCGCAGGTGGCCAACGCGTACGGCATGGTGCTCGACACGCGCGGCACGCTGACCAAGTCGGACTGGCAGGTGTTTGCCGCGTCCATGGCCGACGAGCCGACCAAGAGGCAGTTTGTCGCGCTCATGGCCCGCTGGATCAACGAGACGACGACGTGGCGCGCGCTGACAGATCTGTACGACACAAAGGACGGCGGGTACCCGCGCGGCATCGAGTTTACCGCGCGGCCGGTGGTGGGTGGTTTGTTTGCGATTCTTGCCCTGCAATGAGAGCGGCGGTGACGGGACTGGCAAGGGAGATGCGGGGGGGGTGATGCACTTGTTTATGCGATGGTTTTCATCATGTACAGGAATACCGGCGGCCAAAGGCCTTTCGAGGGAGGCGAAACGGGCTACGGCGGTGGCACACGGATATGGCGCTCAGGAACAGGAGGGGCTGCTTTTGCTTTCTAGAATGAGCAGCAACCCTATGGCTTTTTTCCCTTTTCTGGCTTTGCATGTACTTTAATGAAATACCCTGTTCAAGACTCGGCAATTGTTCAGAGGGGGGTGTGCCACATTTGATGCCCAAAGGGCCGCTGTGCATGTCGAGTAGCGTCTGTCGAGCGTGGCGGGAGTACCTCGAGTAGTATCGTGAAAAGAAATAGCAGTCAATTAGCGTAAAGGGGGCTGGCGCGTGGCGTAACATCGGTGAAGACAAAAGGGCGAGAAAAGGGGCAAGAAGAAAAAGTTCATCATTGGAACCTAACGCAGGCGCGTTTGCAAGAGAGAGCGTGCGATCAAGTATTGAGGATGGATGGATGGACGAGGCTAGGCGTTGGACGTAGCAAATGCCGGCTGACCGCGGGTTTGAAAAAGGTGGCAGAACGGGACTGAGCCGGGTGGTTTCTTTCCACGTGTGGGAATGGAACTATCTCACATGGCGAGTCTACTACTTGCAGGTTTTGTACATGTCGTCGGCTCCGTTTCTGGAACGTGGGCAGCAGTACAAATTACGGAGTATAGGTAGGTACTTGTTACTACAGATTACTTGCTGTGGGGTACTACCCGAATATGCCTACAAGGACAAGTACAAACAACATTGACTTGCTATTTTCTTCCCCATTTCCTCGTCATCCCTGTGTTGGCTTCAAGGCTCCGGCGATTTTATTTTTATTAATTTTTCAACAGGGACAGAGCAACAATATCTATCCATCTTACTAACTCATTAGCAAGTCAAGACTTCAATCACCCCAAACTAAAAGAGGGTCGGAGGCTTGCATGCACCAGGTCATGCGGCGGAAGAATTCTGTCTGCTAGCGCCTTCCCCCATATTTCACGATATTTCACAAGTACATACCATGTACGCTCATGAATTGCTTCCTCCCTTGATTCAATAAAATCCTGCTTGGAAATTTATGGCCGAAACCAGCAGTCACTAAATGCCTACAATCTCTCAAAATGGCGGAATTCGTCATTAAACACTGCCTCGTTTCGCTCCGTGCACGTACAAGCCACAGCGCGGATGACGTGCGCGATGCCCCATCACTTATACTTCTGCCGAGCAAGTACTCGCAAGTATTCGGGCATCGACGACGCCATTTGTACCATGGTACCCCAACGAGAATTTGGAGTCGTTTACGTAGCATTTATGCATGGGCCGATTTTTTCTTGTTGGAGACGAGGCCCCAACCCGCCGGGCACCGAGTTCTTTGTCAACACCCCGCCGTCTCAGGCCGTGCCGCAGCGTCGTGCTCTGGACCATTCATTCCGTCGCTTCTACTCCGTTTGTCTCGTGTGATTGCCTCTTTTAAGCCGCCCCCCCTCCACCCTCTGTTCCTGGCCTTCCTCTTCAACTCTGCAAAGCACCACAGCCGTGTCACCAAATTCCATCGCAACTCTGCAATGGCATCCTCAATCATGATTTCCAGTTGTTAATATATTCTCCATTTAATTCTTCCCTTTGCTCCTTCTTCTCCCTCCCGTCTTTCCCTCTCGGCGCCATCGTCGTTGATAACTGATAAGCGTCACGCCGATCCGCGTCACGAGCGCATCATCCATTTCGTTCCTCCCCCCATTGACCTGTCTTTCGCCCAAAAACACAAGAGACTCAAACCACAGTCAAAAGACATAGACAATGGCACTCTTCATTGATCTGGAAGTCGACGACGACGGCGGCGATGCGCAGGATCCCAGTAGTAGTCGCCAGTCTGTTGGGCCACCGGTAGCCGCCCTCGATGCGCCGACTACGCCGACCGTTTGCAACGCTACAACCCGCGCCTTCCAGTGCTACCCGTACGCATCCTTCCTCTCTCAACAACCCCAATCTCACTGAAATGCTCATCCTGACTCCAATATGTAAAGCATCGTCGTCGGTGTCGTTTCTCACGTCGACCTCGTCACCCTCGACTCGCTCGCCCGCACCAGCCGCATGATCCACCACGGGCTTGTCCAGTACCGCGCCGCCCTCGTCGCCGCGACGCTGCACTGCACCAACGAGACCCTCGCCGTCGGCCCGGACGCGACGTTGCGGTACCGCGCCGACAAGACGGGCCTTTGCGCGCGCGACATGGTGGGCGAGTGCCGGCGGTGCGCAGCCGTCATTTGTAGGGCAAGTACTTCCGTACCCAAAACGCTGCCACATTCTCGAGGCTAACTGGTCTGTCCAGAATTGCACCATCAAGTCCCCGGCTTCGAGCACCCTGCGGGAACGCCACCGTCGACTTTGCGCGCCGTGCGCCAAAGCACCGCTTGAGCAGGTTGCCTGCCCGGGCCTGGACATGAGTCTGCCCCAGAGCGCTGACACGATGCGGCGCGCGTTGTGCGACTGCGAGTCGAGCGGCGTTTGGCTGTGCCAACCCTGCGGCCGCACCATCCGCAACGCCGACCACGACTATATCCGGTAAGGGCTTCCTCTAAAGTACTCCAACCCCCCCTGTGTCAAAATGCTGACGTGTCTGGGCAGCATCTGGCGCTGGCGCAACCACTACGGCGAGGTCCTCGGCTGCCTGGGCACCGGCATCGGCGACGCTGACCGCGGCGTCATTTGCGGCCGCGAGGAGCAGTGCCTGGCTGCGCGGGAGCGCGAGCAAGAAATCGATTGTGACGCCGAAGATGCGCGCAGCAGCCGCACACCATCCACCTCTTCGTCATCTGATTACAACCCGGCCACGCCCCCCGGCGGCGGCGGCCACGACACTTCGTACTTCTCCATCATTGCATCGTCGCCATCGGACTCCAACACCATCGAGTTCCTCATGGGAGAGGACGCCGCGGCCCGCGCGCGCACCCCTTCGCCGCTGCTCCTCGGTCCCGGCTACGAGCGCCACGAGATTGAGGGCATCGGCGGCATCGTCAAGCGCAAGCTCGTGCGCATGGTCCGCGTCGGCCGCTGCGTGCCCGAGTGGGAGGAGGAGCGCACGTCGGCCCGCGTCCTCGGGAGGGAGGCACGCGGCGAGGCCCGTAGCTGGTGCGGCTGGTGCCGGCGCGTCGTGCCCGGCCGTGAGGACCTCCGGCCAAAGGACGCCGACACGATGCTGCCACTGAGGGCCGGCGTGCAGACAGCGGCGAAGAAGACGCAGAATCGCCCGTCGCTGACGCCGATGGTGTGTGCGCCGGTTAGAAGCTGAAATGGACCATTGTCACGAGAATACGTGCTGATGATGGCTTTCCTTATAACATCACGACTGTCTAGAGGTTGGACACATGCATCATGACTTTGATGATCTTACTATCTATACGCTCTTTTAGGTTCCTCGAATCTGCCTGCTGCAGAATGCCGGTCCTTTCGGAATCACTGCTTTTTTGCTCTAATACACGATACACGATACACGCCCCCGCGCCACCATTGCGCCAACTACACATTATACTATCCAGATGCATTCAATACGAAAAAAGTATGTGTTGTGTGTATATTCAGGCTGGCACCGTAATGCCGCTTTCCACTCTTTTTTGTTCTAATATGACAATGCCATGACGCTCTGTAAACCACCCTCGCCGCTTTACAATAAATAGTACACGGTCATCCCTGGTGGGGACATTCCAGCCTCGTCCGTCATCTTGGCCCCTTCATTCTGATACATGGTAAAGAAAAGAGCTTTTTTGTCCGGTTGCGTGTTCCGCCCTCTGTCCTTGAGTCCGAGAGCATGTTATATAGTACAGGTATATGTCAAAAATGCAAAAGTTTTCCGTGTTGCTGTTCAGCCGGGGAATCCAAAGACCGTCTTATAGCTCGCCGCGGTACATGAGCTCCGCGCGTCGCTTGCGGTCCTCGCGCGCCGCCGTCTTCTTGTTCCCCCAGCGGCCCTCGCGCCTGCTCTGCTGCTCCTCCAGCCAGGCCGTGTGCGACGCGGGCGCGGGCGCGGCAATCTGGACAAAAATCGGGGAGCAGTCGAAGCGCCGCGCGAGGGCCTGCACGCTCCACGTCAGGGGGTCCTCGTCGCGCAGGCGGCGCATCTCCTGGACCTGCTCCGCCGAGAGGTGGTAGCGGGGCTGGTCGGCGCGACGGGGGTATTGCATGGCGGCGCCGGGTCGAGGCGGCGCGGCGGTCCCTGCGGCCAGGCCGGTGGATGCGCGCATGCGGGTGACGGCGGCGCGGCGGGGGTCCGACGGCGGCAGGAAGAGAAAGGGCGTGTGGGCGGGCGAGGCTTCCGAGGCGGGCGGGTTGTAGATGATGGCGTCGGCGGCGGGGAAGAGGCCGGCGGCGCGGTCGGGGAGGAAGGAGTCGTGGGGCGCGATTTTGAGGGCGCGCTTGGTGCGGGCCGTCGTCTTGTGGCCACGGCACTGCGTTGGGGGCCCGGTGAGGAGAGCGAGGCGTGGCTGGGCGTGGCGCGCGGCGGTGGCAAGGAGGGAGCTCGCGGGGCGGGCTGCTGAGCGGAAATCCATGGTGTGCGGTGTGTGCTGGTTTTAAAAATCCGTGGGATGGATGGACGAGGAGGGAGATTCGGCAGCCGTTTTCTCCTTGGTCCTCCGAGCTCCAAGTGAATGGGTCAATTGGACACGCAGGAGCCGGGAGCTGGTGGGAATTCAATACGCTGAGGATGAATTATTGGTTGAATTCAGCCTGGAGAGGTCGTTGCCGATGCTTAATGCGCGCGGTGTGGTGTAGCGAAGCGATACCGTGCTTGTCGTGATCCAAACGGGGGTGAAGTTTTCTGTGCAAGCATCAAGTATGCAACATTGCCTAGAGTGGAAAGCTAGGTGCACGTGCCCGGTCACGTGTAATTGAGCTTCACGGTCCGGTCGGCCTACGTAAGAAATGGTGGAGCAGGACGCATGCAGTGCGAGGTTGTTGATGCAAATTGATTCTCGGTGGCGGTCTTGTCGGGTCCTGTGTCAGTCTTGGGTTTGTGTCATGTCAGCTTGTTTCAAGTCCAAGGTGGTGAATGGCTTGGTGTGCTCGAGTCGTCATCTCAGCTACGCCGTCAAGCTGCTGGTGGAGGAGATCGGCGGTAGCGCCAACTATGTAGGGGTCCAGGTTCACCAAGAGCTACTAGGTTTGCTAGGTACGTGTAGCTTGTTGGACGAATTGCCTTGAATACGCGCTCATCCGGGAGGCACTCTATGTCCGTAGAGTCGTTGGCTGCGGGAGAGTCGGCCATTTTTGGCGCAGAGTATTCTCCTACTTGGGTACGTACGTCATGGCAAGCCTCACCGCCACGTACACACATTAAACAGCAGGAAGAAAAAAAAAATGCGCATGTTTGTATGAGGCCAACGCCCCGACAGCATAATGGGCAACGTGACACAACAAAGCGTGAGCGACCCTGTCGAGACACGGCGACCTGCCGCGGCACGTTCAGTACGGATCTGTAGAGGGTTTGGTAATTATGGAAGGAAAAGGGTGTCCTCGATGCTTTGTACTCCGTACTCCCAGCCTGATATGGATGTGTACCGAATACGTGGAAAGGGTGCAACGCCACGCCGCATGCGTTGTAGCTGGACCTTTCCGTCCCCCCCGAAACTCTAGGTAGTTAGTTCCCCAGCAAACCAAGGGAAATTCCATTACTGACGAATAGTAACCTACTACTTATTAGTGCAGGACGTATTATTCAAAGGAAGAATGTCCAGGGAGCAGCCCATGGTTACCTGTCATAATAAGCCCACTACTTGCAACCCCGGGGCTCCCCCCTCGTCGCAAGCTCTGCCCTGCTCCTTCACGTCATCAATTTATTCCTGCAGCTTTTCGCCTTCTCCCACTTGTCACACCCACCTTCTCTTCTTCTTGAGCCTCCTCTTGTCCAAGTTGCCCAGCTTCATCCGCCATCTTTGTCCGTCCAGCTTCCAACGTTCGTCCAAACCTGACCCTCCCCCGATCCTCCTTGCGCCCGCACCGTCATCCTGGCGATCTTGACGCTTGTCTGCTCCACCCTCGTCACAGGAGACCTTGTGATCCCGATATCCTGCTCCTCCCGAACTTTGTCCTACCATTTCCCTCCTGAGACGAAGAAAAAAATTCGCCTCCTGTCCACTTCATAATTCCACATCTCGCAAATTTCCTCTCGCATACGCCGACCGGTCCTGCCATCATGAGTCTCGCCGACGCCGCGCCCATCACCACCGGCGACCGGCTGGCACAGCTTGATATCGCAGAAGACAGTAGCCGTGGCACCTCGACACCCCGTGCTGCTGCTACCAGTGCTCCCGCCACTCTGGATACTGTCAGTCCGACCGACGACGGGACATCCAGCGCCAAGGGCAAGAAGCGCGCTCTATTTGGATTTGGCAAGAAGAAGCCGTCGTCCGCGGCTGCGGGCTGGCCGACAGACGCGAAGCCCCCTCCGTTGCTCACCAAGAACTCTTCCAAGATGTCTGGGGTCACGCGCTCGACGCAAAGCTCCCGCGACTACCCGTTTTCTTCACCATCTTCGCCCGGCCGTACTCTGTCCACATCCCCTCGCCTGGCGTCTCCGGCCGGCTCGCAAATCTTTGAGCGAGATGTTCAGGAGAGCGCCGTCCTCATGCCCAACTCGCCCGCCATACCCACCCATATTCAGACGGAAAACTTTATTCCTTCTGTCCTCGACGATGCCTCCGAGGCCATCACCAACAATGAGCTCGACCCCGATACCGTAGAGATTATTACACACTCGTCGCATCTCCCGGCCTCGGTCACCGTGACAGGCGCCCCCAACAGCCCCAGCGACCACCAGACCTCCACCGAGTGGGCAGCCGAGCTGGCTTCGTTTGCCGATCGCATTGGTGTTTCTGGCGAGACTGCTTCCAATTACGGATCTCTAGACTCGGCAGACGTTCGGCGATTGTCATTTATTTCCTTCGCCGACGTTGTGCAGTCCGAGCACAGCCTCTCACTACGCAGCCCAGCTTCGAGAGAGAATCTGCAGCTATCAGGCTTGACGTCTTTGCCTCCATCCGCATTGAACCGATCCCCTTCACCTATTCGCTCGCCAGTCTCAAGCCAAGGGCCTGGAAACTCGCCGCCAACTAGTAACCCCGGCAGCATGAAGGGTGTGGACATGAGTCCAGCGCGCAAGCTCATGGGCAGCCCCAAGAGCACTCAGCATTCGCTCGCCGCACCTAGCGAACTCAATGTTGAAACCATGCGACAGGCCCTCCGACGAACAGGCAGCACAGATCTCGCCGGCGCCCGCAGCATGCCGGTAAGCCCCATCGACGCACTCGGCCCTCGCTGAGCCCAAGTCGTACGATATACATCCACCGGACCACGAAGCGTGCTCAACTTGAGCGCTTAGTTTGCAACAGCTTGGAGTTACCGGGAGAAATTTCCTCATGGCAGAGGTTTGCTGGCACGCGTCGTCCCGAAATAGGAGCCTTTCCGTTTTGCCCGCAACATTCTTTATACAATTATTATCTTACTTTTCAACGCCATGACATTTGGTACTCGTTGCAAAAGTCAAACATGTCAAACGCACCCAACCAATGCAGGACCTTGCAATCTGCCCCAATTTTATCAATGTATCCCACCCGTTGATATTGCTATTCTTCTCTGTCTTTTCAGCTGCCGTTATGGAGGAGACTCGACGCGATGCGGGCCATGCCGGTTTCCTCCCTTATCTAGTTGGCTTAGCCTTTTTTGTTCTAACATTTTTGATATGGAAAAGGGATCATTGAAATTTCCCGTCATGGGGTGTAAGTGTTCAGGGCCCAATCTGGCATAGCAACAAGTACATAATCATGATATCCCTGCGACACCTTACCAGGACACCTTCTTAATTCAAGTCGCGTTGCCATTATCAATGTTGTTCAAGCTGTGAATAGAAGAATGGGTAGGGATCAATATGCGACAGGCTGATTTGCCATTGTGGAAAGGAGGCTTCAATGGCGATGCAAACTTGCCGGACTCGGTACTACTCCGTACTAGTTAGGCACAGGCGTAGGAAGCATCTCAGCGTCGGCCATTGGCAAATTGCGTCTTCTCTTGATTCGCAAATCGTACCCCAAAGAGAGCAAGGGTTCAAAACTACTCTTGTCGGAGATTATCCAGACGTGGAGAATACGGCTTTTTGGTTTTCAAAAATAGAACTGATATCCAAGTTTGGTATTAGGGGGGTGGCCGTGTCAAGAGGGGTCTCAGGTGCATCGCCACGAGCAAAAGAGACAGGGGAACGGGGGCGAAGCTGATTGGGCAAAATTGGAAAACAAAAACGGCCACCGGTTTTTTAATTTTAAACCTTTTTATAGAAAGTAGCTTTAAGAAGTCCGATGCGCGCGCGTGGCAGACAGCGACAGCGACTAGTCGCCTGTTACCGCTGCCAGAAGGTCCTCGAAGAGATAGAGCATATGTCACGGCCAAGCATTGTGTTAAGTCCCTTCTCAACCGGTGAATACTTTAGTTATATAAAACACTCTATATATATATTTACAATAGACATACTTTCCAGGTATCTTGTATAATTTCGCACAACATGTAGGCGATGGGATTGAACATCAAATCTCTGGTTCTGCTCATCCTTCACCACCGTCAGTGCGAGCCAGCAAAGGTGAATTAGACAGTCAAGGTGAATTTCGGAACCTCGCCGAAGATGAAGCAGAAAAAAAGACCCAAGGATTTCTTGCCTGGGTTACTCTGGCAGCTGTCGCTTTATGCATAATAGTATCACGGATTGCATGGTTTTATATGGGAAGAAAGGAGGCGAGCCTGCGTAGCCTCCTTATTCGCGACGAGCCATACAGTGCCTGGCAGAATGGGAAGGTCACGGGTTAAACGAAGTATTTTCTAAGGTAGGAGATATAACTTCAAATAGATTCATGTAGTAGCGTTAATCACGAATTCGTATTAAAATGATACCGATAGCTTCAAAAGGGCTTTATGAGAGCGATTTTATTATGATGGTGGCCTCAGGTAACTTCTCGACAACAGCCCGCTCCGATAGTAATAAATTCTGGTAGGGTGGTAGCGTCCACTTACCCAAACCAACCACATTTTGGTCGTCAATTAGCGCCGTCAAACATCGCAACCGTTTAAATACAGTGTACTCAGGCACATGCTTGAGCCATGCCGAATCTGATCAAGGTATTCAGAACGCTGCCCAAGCAGCTCTTTCGAGTCAACAACGGCTACGACGTCAAACTGCGCCCGTGGTCGCCGCACCGGCACGCGTTTGACATTCACGTCCGCGACAGCCGTGTCCAGGCCAAGGCACTGCACCCGGAAACATATCAAGGTAAGCCGGAGCGCGGTCGCTAGCACAACGCATGGACGGAACAGTCGTAACCGCAAGTGTAGCACCGAATGGCGCATCCTTGAGGCCCAATTCACCATACCAGCAGCTCTTGGTCAAGAAGCTATTCCGAGGCAACGATGTGATCATTTACACTATACCAAAAGGTGCTTTCTTTTTTGGCTACTGATACAAAATCCGCGGTACGCGGTGTTGGTGAATGCTCACATACGATCATTAGGGACCCTACTTCCCGACAGCTTGCTGCTTGTGCACGAGCGCTCCGATCACTACTCGCTGCAGCCGGCGCGGGACATGCTGCTGGACGGTGAGCCTCTGGCCTGAAATTCCACCTTGCAGGTGGTAGCAGAACATGGCATGAAACTGACAAGCGGCCGATAGAGTTGAATGAAGAGGTGACAAACTTCATGTTGAGCCACGCCCTGGTCTTTTCCAAGAGCCAGTGGCTGGCAGCCTACCCGACGGCCACCGACTTTGACGGTACGCCGCGGTAGTTTTCGTGAGGGAAATGCAGAGGGAGAGGAGGGGGAGATGAACAGCCGCTTTCAACTGCCTGGGAAGAACGCTCAGCTCTCACTCTGCCTAGACGTGCATCCAGCCAGCCTCCGCATTGTCGCTCGCTTCCTCGAATGGGTGCGCGGCCAGCCACGCCTCCACGGACGCTTTCCGGGCCATCCGTTGGAAGAATTCGTCGAGTACATGGTTGAGCTCTAGTTCAAGTTTAGCAGCTTGCCTGGAGGTAAGAGAGGGTGAGTGGTAAAGGAAGAGGGGGGTGCAAACCGTGTAGCGGCATTCCGCGTGATGGCTGGAGGCTGAACCAAGCGAGATGCTCGTAGATAAGGATGAGATCATCGGGTATTGGAGTCGCTGTGAGATGTTGGCGAATTTGTAACACAAAATTTGGGGAGAACCGGGATACTAGTTGAGATGGGGCTGGGCGTCTGTACCTTTGGAAATCGTGTAAATCTGTGGCACCTCCTCGGCCTGCCCAGCATCGCGGCTGTCCAGCCACTCATCATACCGGTTGCGCGTAAATTCCTGCATGCTAAACGTGTTGGGGAGCACCGTCGCCCCATTCGACCCTATTCGCACCTCACCACCCATTAGCATCACACACCGCAGAACCAAAGCCGATGCACCGCCCGGGGGGGGGGACATCTCACCGTCCCGCTCCGCCTTTGGATAGACGAGACCGTCCGCTGCCACCTCCACGCCGCCATACTCATCGAGGTGGCTGCTGCTTCCGCCGCCGCCGCGGTCAAACAGCACAGGCGCGGCCGCCGCACGCCGGTAGTGGTGCAGCGTCGCGGGGAAGACGCGCGCGTGCACGGCGCGCGGCGAGAAGAAGCGCCGTTGCCATCCGCATGCTGCGGGGCGCTGCAGGAGCAGCCGCGATCCGGCGCGTTGGGTGAGGGTTAACATTTTGCCGAGAGACTTGTTGATTTTGGGGGGGAGTGGTTGGGGCGGGCGGCTGATGCCAAGGAGGAGAAAGCTAGTGGTGGCTTTTTGTTGCGATGCCTTCGTTTTCAGTCGGATCATTGTTGTGCCGTTGGGGGAGAGTTTGTGTAAGTTGCCCTGGTCCAGCAAGGCGGCGAGTCGAAAGCGGAATTGTGCGTACTTGGGAGCTGTTTTCATCTTCTTGACAGTCGTCGCTTTCTTTGCTGGCATGTTTTCCACTGTGTGTGGCAGTAGGCTGGCCAATGACCATGCTCGCAAAACAGACGTGACAGTCAAGCCCTTCTCCCACTTGATCAATTTCACGGAACTTTTCTGTATTTTTCTTCACAAACCGCAATTGGGTATACATGGGAGCTATGGGAAAAACGATATTTACTTTGATATCTGGGACGCTCGCTTGGCGTGGGCATCCCGCGCCATGCCCAGTCCACGACCGGCTGAGCTTGACCAGTAGCCCAACTTGGCATTCGTTCACAATGACTAATCAGATAACTGTCTTGTTAATGATACTGGCACGGATACTGGCACGAGTCCATGAATTGCATGCCGGGCGTTTCAAGGATGTTGTCCCAGAAAATTCAACGGGCTCGGCGGGAAGTGAAGGCGTCTGGGACGCGATAGAGTGGAAGATGTAAGCTGTGAAATGGTGTTGTGGCGTGTGGTAATTTGTACAGCTGCCTGGCTAACGTAATGTTGGCGTACATTTAGCTACGAGAATATTTTTCCTGTCGGCAAATTTCCGTGTATCCCATAGTTCGGGGAGATATTGGGGAGGGATGCTTGTATGATGCATAGTATGGGATGCAGGGTATGGGTTTCTGAGCACGTGTGGTAGCTTGGTGCCAGGATGGCAAAAAGTGAGAGCCTAGCAAATATGTGAAAAAATGAACTAGAACAAGTTTGCTTAATTTGTAGTTTTTCCTTCTATTATATATTTATTGCTGACTTGAAGTATTTCGTCAGAATGGCCGCTGCCACGCCCGTGCTGGCTTGGCCATCACTACGCCGGGGAATTTTCTTGATGGTGGTTTGTAATTCTTAACAATAGGGTGTCTGGCCCATAGATAGGCTTGGCACAGATGGAAATTGCTTTTGCACAGTGGCCGGCTGGTAGCGGAGACACGCCTCAAGCTTCGTAGATTTGCTTTTTCGGAGGCGGTTTAACCTGGATCAAAGTCTCACTCAGCCGGGACTCGGCGGTGGCATCACTGGCATGTCACTACTACTTTGAGTCATGGTTCTTTGTGGCGTGTTTTCTTCCGTGTTGCTCAACTGCCGGATCTACGGCGCAGGATGATGTACGCAGGCCATCCATCATGTGGCGGGCGCAATGGAGGGAAGGAATCACTGGCTTCAGCCGCTCGCGCAGCCAGAGCGAAGCGCTGACGATCATCGTCCGGAGGGGCCGGGGCGGCGCAGGGGCGCGCGGGCATTGTGCGCGGAATGGTTGCGACGCCTCGGGTAGACGAATTGGGACGAGGTAGACCGGAAGGGAAGTTTGGGCTTGGGTCAGTTGACATGAGAATGCTACGCTGCATGGACATGGGGAGGAACAGGATAGTAGTTGAAGCTCGGCGCTAGTCGTCTTGAGGCTGGTGTTGTCGGGATGTCATTTCGCGGGGTGGTTGGTGCGGGTTGTCAAAGTTTGACAGTACAGGTATCAGTTGGAGCTGAAAGTATATACACGAGGCAATTTGGAGTTGTTGGTCCGTGAGCAAGTGGTTCAAGGCAAGAGGTGGGTGACTAGGAGAATTGCGATAGTACCAGGATCATGGATGCAGCGATGAATAAAGTTGATGGGTGGGTGCGGCCGGGGTCGGTGCTTCGCTTGGGTTGGGGTTGAAGAAGACGGTGAGGAAATGGAATTTGTGAGATGAACAGTCAAGATGTGAATTGTGATGAAGATGGTGCGATGCGAGAAGCAGGGTGTTGGCAGCTGCTAGATGCGGTAGGTCTTATGATATGCAAGACATGGGCAGGGCAGGGGACGGGGCAGGGCCGGGGCTTTGTGATGCGGAACCGACGAGGGTGGCAAGTGAAGGAGGTGTAGACACTAGATGGCGATGATGGTGATGATGGTGGTGGCGATGGTGATGATGATGATGGTGGCGATGGTGATGATGAGGTGATGATGGCAAGTCGGATTGTTGGTGTTGAGGGGACGGCAGGTAGCGTGGGTACCACCGCTGTACTTTATTCGTTAGAGTACAGGATAGAGGAGCGGAGAGATTCGAGGTAGATGAATCAATGCAAGCACTATACGGAATACGGAGTGCTCTATATGTGCACATGTTAATGATACTGTTTCTGGGACCATGAATTACCACTGTCAGCTAACACGTGGACGTTGTTTTATGGACTGGTTGATATTGGATGATTTATTCAATCTATTCTGCTGGGTACTAACATAGCGAGAAGCCTGGTTGGTTGGTTGCTCCTGTACCAGGCACCTTTGTACAGGCACCACACAGCTACAACTAATGGGTTATCGTGTCCTGACCAACCACTGAGCAGTTGCCACATTCATCCAAATCGACTAGCCCATCAGGCTCAGCCACTAAAACCGCCCATTGCCGCATTCGTCCATCCGTCCTGGTGCCGGACAAAGCAAGCTTGACAGGTAACAGGTAACCCAACCACCCCCTCCAGGAACCACCACCCTGGTCTAGGAACCAGCTTTATTGGACGCGCCGACGTGTCGCGTCTATGGCGATAAAAAAAAACTTAGCCACAATTTACTTACCTACCCTAAATAAAGTTAAGTTAATAAAAACTAAGATATAAAAATAAAATAAAATAGTAAAAATCTAAATAAAATTTAAAATAGACTTCTTATATAATAAAGATACTATATTTATTTTCTTTTCCTTTTTTTTCTTTTTCTTTTTCTTTTCTTTATTACTTTTCTTTCTTTTTCCTATCTTCTTTTCTTTATAGGTATGTTTTTTCCTCGGCTTCTATGCCGTTCTTTTCCGCTGTTATCCGTAGGCTCGAGCCACACCCACGTGATCTATTCACGTGCAGATAAGCTGGTTCCTAGACCAGGGTGGTGGTTCCTGGAGGGGGTGGTTGGGTTATCAGGTAACTAACTAAAAAAAAAAAAAAAAAAAAAAGTCAGGCCATTTCTTTTTAACCCCGACCCAGCAGGGTTCGCGAGCTGCCTTCTGTACCGCTTCTGTCACTTGTTCTTTGTACCAGTTCGGCCTCGTGCTTTGCTCCCCCGCCCCAAGCCACGTACGTCTCTCCTCTCCTCTCCGTGACTGACCAACTGCCCCTGCCCTGGCCCCGTCCGACCTTGCTTTTGTTTTTATATGAATTCGTTTCATTCTCCACAATCGGTCGTGTTACTTGTCGTGAGGGCTCGTTGCGCTGTGCTGCCCATCGTCAGACACGGCTGCGAAACGGCGAGCTTCGTGATGCAGGTCGGAAAACGGGCAGGAGAGACTCTCGTCGGCCGGCAAATCTCTCCAAGTAACCCTAATAAGTAAACCGTACCCATGATTGCCTGGTACCTAGTACCTATCTCTGCCCACCAGTTCCCCCGCCCGCCTCTTTATCAGCCTTGGGTCTGTTTCGGTGTTTCTTTTCCCTGCCGACTGCAACTAGGTACACTACCTAACTAGGTACCTACCTAGTATTACGCATAGTCCACTACCATCACCACATCAGCCAGGCAGGCCTCTCGTCCCCTGCTTCCTGCTTCCTCTTGCTTCTCTTCTCGCTTCCTATCGCGCCCCAAATATCCGTAAACTTGCTCTTTCTCTCCCGCTGACGACTATTCGGAATTATACCGCCACCATCCCAACCTTTTGCAATTCCTTCTTCCTTCTTCCTTGCCTCCTCCCTCTCCTCCCTCCTCTTCCCGCCTGCCATGCCAGCCGCGCCTGCTTCCACCACCCCCTCCCCCGAACCCCACGCCGCCGCCGCCATCGCCGTTTTTGTTCGCTCGCCCTAATCCCAATCTTCACGCCGCGACCGCCAGCTTTCTTCGACAACCACCTCTCCCACACCCATTTTCTTCGTCCGTTTACCTCGTCTTTGCCCTCATACCCATCAAACGCCGCCTTTTTTCTCAGCCTTTTGGTTTTCTTCCACCGCAACCCCCCAACATCCGTCACTTCGTAACCGCCCACAAACAGACCCTCAACGCCAGCAACCAGATGCTCCACCGCCTGCTTTTGTCTGCGCTCGACCGTCCCGCCTCTTCAAGCCACCCGCTACCCCGGCATACCGCAACCATCTTGCTATAGCCGTTTTTGTTGATAGCCTCAACCTCCCTCGCTGTCGCCCTCGTGCCGCCGTTCTACCTGTCCAGCATTGAGTGACCTTGGATGCTTCAAAACATCACACCTCGACTTCGACTCGACCCCGCCTCCGCCACTGTACCCCTCCCATTGCTCAACTTCAATTTGAATCCTTTGACCTTTGCCATGGCATGACCTCTTTGAACTCGATTATGGAAGGACAAACTTCTCAGCCCGCCGCCAATCCTGGTGACGGGCCGCAAGTCCAGACCTTGCAACAGCCAGAGCCACCTGCCACCGCAGATGCCGACTTTTTTTGCGACGCCCTCGACGCGACGCCTGCCGCTGGTCTGAGATCTCCTTTTAGATCATATGCCACCCTGGCTCCCGGCCCACGAGCTTCCACCCCGGAACTCGCAGAATCCCTCGTCTCCGGAACCGGCTCCATGAGTCTCGACGCCGCACCTCTCTCTCGGGACGCTGTCGCTGCCGCAGGCTCACCGCGAGATATCCCCGGCGGCATCGGGAGACGCAGAGGCATAGTCTTCAATGATTCCTTTACCGATCCATCCGAACTGGAATCCGCTTCGCCCATTGCCGCAAGGAGCTCTCCCATTCCCGCTCGCCCTCGCACTCGCACTCTCGACGGCACCCTCATCGCCCACCGAACCACCCTCAACTCTGACCAAAGACACCGCGTCGGAAGCGTCAGCTCTTCCATGCCTCCCGTCCAAATTTCCCCAGACAACTACAAGCAGGCATCCGTCCCCGAATCCAACTCTTACGCCACACCTGCCCTCCCCCAGCGCTCTATAAACACCCCTTCTACACCCTCCAGCAGAGATAAAAAGACTGGAAAGCGTCTGCTAAAACACCGACAGAGCTCTCGTCCAAGCTCTCCCGTCGTATCCTCGGCGCCCTCTGTCGACGCCATGTGCGTCCCTGTCGCTGCAGAGGACCCCAACAATCTAGTTTCACTCATGAAGACGTTGTGTGGTCGCATGCGCGGACAAATCGAGTACCAGTCGGAACCAGGCGGCGCGTGGTATTCTGGAATTGCCTATATTGATGAGGAAGCAGGCAGTCTCATGTTTGACACTAATCAGACCGGCTCTTTTCATATACCCCTTGTTGACGACTTGCGAGGCTGCACCGTCGTACCGGCAGAATATACCCAAGGTGAACGACAGTGTATCGAGCTCACCACACCGACTCCCACACACATGCTCCTGCTGCCAGCAGTCCACGAAGACTTGGAGCTTTGGCTAGCTGCTTTGCTCAGCTGGCAGCAACTGCAACCTAGCCCCATCAAGTTCACCAACGGAAAGCCTGCAAGCCCAACCGCGCCCTTTCGACCCGATCTACGCCCTTTCGGCAAGTTACCCGACGAGAGCAAACCCAGGAATATTATCAAGATTGACAAGGTGATGCTCTGGGACAAGGGCGTCGCGCCCAATCCGAGAGCCGCCTTTCAACGCTCTTCAACACGAGATGTCTGGTCCCCCTCGGCGGCGTGGCGTCGAGTTTCCTGCATCTTGCATGACACTGGTGAGCTGACGCTGATGCTCGAAACGGATTCTATAGTCTTGTGTCACATTGACTTGACACACTTCTCGAGGCACGCCATCCAGCAGCTCGACCGAACCGTTCTCGACGAGGAGTTTTGCATAGCCATCTTCCCCACCTACGCCCCCAAGGCTTCGCGCATTTCCGTTTTCCGCCCTGTATACTTAGCCCTGGACAGTCGGATCCATTTCGAGGTCTGGTTCGTCTTACTACGTGCCTATGCCATTCCAGACTTGTTCCACCTTGGAGATACGGAAGACGACGAGCTTATCGACCTTGCCGACACAGAGACAATGACTGGGGGCGAGGTGTTTCGCATGGAAAAGGTTGTCACGGTGCGAATAACCGAAGCCAAAATAAAAGCTCGACCGTCAGGTCTTGAATATATCTTGCCCGAAAAGTCGCAAAAGATGGAGCCGGATGCCTTAGTCGGCAACTACTTGGCCGAGGTCATTCTGGATGGTGAAGTGCGAGCACGCACTACTACTAAAGCCATGACTAAAAACCCTTTTTGGCGCGAGGATTGCGAGTTCAGGGATTTGGCGCCTTTGGTGCAGGAATTATCCGTCGTTTTAAAGCGTATCGAAGGCATGGATGGCAGTCGCGGTACCTTCCCCCAAGAGCTGATTTGCGGAACCGTCCACATTGCTCTTGATCAACTAGAGCGAGGTCAATCTCATGAAGCTTGGCTACAAATTAGAGACGAAAAGCAGCAAATCATCGGGTCAATGCTAATTAGAGTTTCTCACGACGAGCACGTCGCTCTTTTGGCCAAAGAATACGAAGCCTTGTCCGAGACCCTCCACCGGTTCCCCGCTGGGTTGACTGCTCTCATCTCTGCCGCGCTGCCCGGACAGCTCAAGCAGTTATCTGAACTCTATCTCAATATTTTCCAAGCGTCAGGAGCTGCGTCTGAATGGTTGCTGGCGCTTGTCGAAGATGAAATCGACGGCCCTGGAAGCCTAACATCGATGAAAAAGTACAGATTCAGCAGCCGGCTAAAGTCGAACGAATCCATGGAATCGCCTAGTGACCGCGAGTTGATTGTTCGAGATATGAGCAAGTCGCTTGCTGGCGAGGCGAATCTCTTGTTCCGTGGAAACACTCTTTTGACACAGTCCCTCGAGTTCCACATGCGCCGCCTTGGCAAAGAATATCTCGAGGAGGCTCTCCGCGACAAGGTCTTCGAGATCAACGAAATGAACCCAGATTGCGAAGTCGATCCTAGCAAGGTGTACGGCGCCGACCTAGACCAGCGTTGGAATCTACTCATTCGAATCACGTCCCAGATTTGGCAGTGCATCGCACAAACGGCAAAGCGCATACCACCTGAGTTGCGCCATGTTCTCAAATACATTCGGGGCGTTGCTGAAGACCGATTTGGAGAGTTTAAGCGCTCAGCCACTTATACCGCGGTATCCGGTTTCTTGTTTTTGCGGTTCATCTGCCCTGCTATCCTCTCTCCGAAGCTCTGCGGCCTACTACGGGACTTTCCTCGCGCCAAAGCGCAGCGCACATTTACTCTGGTAGCAAAAACGCTACAAAAGCTGTCAAACCTCGGCACCTTTGGAAAGCGCGAAGAGTACATGGAGCCAATGAATCGGTTCCTCACATCCCATCGCGTTGTCTTCCGCGACTATATTGACCAGGTGTGCAGCATTCCGTCGGACCGCGGTGTCGTCGCCCCTCCCGCCAGCTACAGCACACCCAACACCATTTGTGGCAGGCTTAGCCCTACGTGCAGGGAGGGCCTCGGTAGTCTCCCGTATCTGATTGACGCACCCAAGAGCTTCGCTGGCCTTGTCAAGTTGTGGACTAGCGCTGGCCCAAATGATCTAGATACAGAAAACGTCGATGGTGAGCTCCTCATCTTCAACGATTTATGCGTCGGCCTCCAGAAGCGAGTCGACGCTTGTATGGCCAAGATCGGGCGCTTGCGAGCTGCTGAAGCCGCCGCTCGAGGAACGCCTTCGCGCCTTGCCGCTACGCTTGAGCAGGCCGCCCTTGCCGAACCGCTCCGTTCCCCGTACAGTGCTGCGTATACAGCCATGTGTCACGACGTCGACCAGATGCTCAGCGGCTCCGGCAGCGACGGTCCCGAGGAAGGCAGCAGCTCCCGTCGCAGCAAGGACCTGCGCCGCGGGCGTGACGGCAACGATGCGCGCAAAGCCGGCGGCATTTCCTCCCGCGGAACGCCCAAGAGTCGAAACGGCAAAGTCGGGCGGACGCTACTGAGCGGCATCATGAAGATTGGCAGCCGCGCCGAGAGCCCCGATTTCAAGAACCGTCAGTGACAACCGGTTCGAATCCTCTTCGTCCCACTATACATATATTGGTGCGACTTTTCTTTTTTTATTTCTGTTTTATGCTGGCAGGGATGGTGGTATCCTGGGAGGCCACTTGTTTTTTTTACGCACATACATACAAACATACATCTCTTGCATGCGAAGGAAAAGTCAAAAGATGGCGGTATGATGAGGCCCCTTTCATATTGAATGTGGGCGAAAAACTGGATATTCGGTATATATACATAATACGCAGCTCTCAAATCAAACATGCAAAATATTCACAACTGTTGCTACTTTTTGCTGTGCCCACGAATCAGTATTGGTCAGTGAGGGCGTGCAAGAAATACGCTTGCTGTACAGAGTACAAACGACGGAACATGTTCCGCTCGACAATCTCTCTCGACTCAACCCCGGCCCCCGGCCGGCACTGGGCGCGAGCCACGATCCTTGCCGAGTAACACAGCCGGCCCGCCCCCTGCATCGGCAAACAGACAGCCTCGCACAAATCTCATTCTGCGCCCCCCTTGTTCCCTGCAATTTTGTCTTGGGTCGAAAAAAAAAAGGGTTCCCAGATTTTGCCGTCATCCTTGTAACCTGTTCAATTTTGCATCATCTGTTTAGCAGGGTCTTTTGAGGAGAATATGATGTCGTGACATTGAGATGTACATGAGGCTCGCATAATGAATTGGCGAGTTTTCTGGGGATGGATTGATCAGTTTGATCAGTTTCCTCCCTGTCGTTTGGGTATTTCCTCCAAATAAAGTATTCTACATGAAATGGGGCCGCGATAAGCAAAAAGTAAAAACAAAAGATATGTTTGTCTCGTGAGACATCGATTCGCGTCTAGCGGTACGTTGTCTCGGTGCTCAGATAGCCAGGCAGGCCGGGGTGCTGTAGACCCCGCGCCTCGCCCTCTTCATATTGCACCGACCAATCGACCGTCTTTTGAATCACCATCGGCTCCTGGGCCGCTCCGTCGGCCGAGCCCGCGCCGTCATCGGAGCGACTCTTGCTCCGCCACGCCGCTTCCTCCCCCGACCGCAGCGACGTGGATCGCGTCACCTCGGTCTCTGACAGCGGCACGGTGCGCGGCGGCGGCGGCGGCGGCTGGCTGGTGCTGCTCACGGCCTTGCTAATCTTGGTCGACAGATTCTTCAACCGGTAGACGTTGTCGCGGGAGCGCGCAGAGCTGCCCCACTCGCCGCCACTGCCGCCAGAGCCCATGTTCTGCACGTTGAGGACCATGCCGGTGTGGAAGCTCCGCAGAAAGGGGATCAGGGCGATGAGCAGGGCGGCGATGAGGGAGTAGCCGAGGGCGACTTGCTGCCAGACGAGGGGCGACATGACCTCGACGGCGGGGTCCGAGCTGTTGGCGTAAGACTGAATGGCGGATGTGTAGATGCCGGTGAAGACGGGGCAGCTACATAGAAAGGTCTTGTCAGTACATTTTTGACACACTGTAGGTTGGTGGGTGCAAGGCTGGACATACAGGAGACGCAAGCCGAGCAGGAGGGTCAACATCCATTTCCGCGCCGCGCGCATCTGCAGCGACCAGACGAGGCCGTAAAACACACAGAGAATGGCCGTCTCGGTGACGGCGTCGAGAATAGCGATGATGACCCAGCGCTGCCCAAGGCCGCTGCAGCGCCGCGGGCCGCTCGAGAGAGAAAGGAGGCTGTGGGTCGCGCAGCGCAGGGTGATGAGCAAGATCGAGGCGAGGGCGGCGGCGGCCAGAGCGCCGCGGATGAGCAGACACACGCGGCGCACCGTCTTCATGGTGGCGGCGAGCAGGCGCTCGGTGGCGAGCAGCACGGCGAGTTTGGCCATGTAGAGGCCGCACATGAAAACGGCTTGTGAGGTGAGGAGGAGCTGTGTGCTGTGTTAGCAAGGGGCGCTTCTTTCGCAAACAAGAACTTCTTATTTTTTTTATAGAAAGAAAAAAATAAGGAGACAAGCAAAGGAGGGCGACGCACAGAGCCGTTCTTGCGTTCGTTGCCAGCCGTCACAGACAGCTTGGACGTGCCCAGACCAGAGGGCATACCGGCAAAGAGCGCGGCGTACTGGGCGACGGCGAGGGCGACGGCGGCCATGGCAGCAAAGTCGTCGCGGCCGAGCATGTGTTTGCGGACGTAGAGGCGCGCGCCGAGCGTCATGGTGACGAAGATGAGACTGAGGAGGGCGGCGATCCAGAGGGCGCCGCGGCGGTCGTCGGGCGCGATGGTGGCAAACGGCGGGAGCTGCTCGACGGCCTGGCGGCGGGCCATGGCGAGCGAGGGGGGCGAGGCCCAGAGGCCGAGCGCTGGGTCTTTGAACTGTAATAGGAAAAAAGCAATGGGAAAGACGCTGGTTAACTGGATGATGAGTCGACGGCCATGAAGAAGGAGAGACGGGACGGGCGGGCGGCGCGTCTGCCAGCAGCCGTTGACCCTATTGAGGTTGGTGGTGGCTTTTGTTGGATGTCGTGGAGAAAGGTGGCAGACGGGACGACGACGGTCACTCCTAGGTACCTGGTAGGGCGAGCTAGCTGGCCTGTTGGGGCTGCGGCCACTCAGAGGGCTTCTGGCGAAAGAAGGAAGGAAGGCTCGAAGAAAGCTAGCCAAATCTACTATTAGTTATCCGGGCAGCGTGAAAGAAGAAGATGTGTCGCCGTTCCATCCGATGTGTTGTGTTGCCAGCTGGGGGCCAAATCAGCAACGGAACCAACCTAGAAGTCGAAAAAAGTTGGCACGCCCGGCTTCTGATCAGCATTGAAGCGAATAGCCTGATGGCGCCAGGTTCACACTGTATTAGGGCAGCAGCGCCACCTGGCGGGGGTCTGAGACGGGTTAAGCCGTAACCAGCCAGCTTGGAGAAGCCATATCCACCTGCATCAGGCTCAATAAGAGGGGGGAAAGGTAAGTCGAGGCTTATTGATTGGCTGTAGCATCAAGGAGGTGGGTGGTGCGCCGTCTCCATAGCGGTAGCCTGCTTTTTGTTTTATTGATAAATAATAATCATATAATTATACCAGTTTAACCAGGCAGGTGCGCACGTTTTCCGTTTCTGCAGGCAAACCAAGAGACGGAAACATCACATCTCTTCCCGAACGCTTTACCAGCCAAACGAAAGCGTGAATGTCGCCAATGGGCACCACGACGCTGTCGGAAAGCCGGAGCAGGATGGGCTCGGCTGTCCAGCGCCGCACGTTTGAAATGATTGACGACGACGAGGACCAGGTGCGCGAGGACCTGGAGAAGTACGGCAACGAGCACGACAGGCGTGACATGGCCCGCATGGGCAAGATCCAAGAGATGAGGGTGAGTTGTTCTCGAAGCTGTCATGAAAATGCAGTGTTTTCTTTTTTTCTTTTTTTCTTTTTTTTTTTTTTTTTTTTTCTATGTTTGGCTCTTTGCTGATGCCAAAGCTTTACGGGCTGGCGTTGTAGAGAAACTTCAAGTCGCTCACCGTGCTGGGCTTTTGCGCCATTCTCATGTGCTCATGGGAGTCACTCCTCAGGTCCGTCATCACCTCACACACGCACGCAACTGAGCTTGTAGCCATCTACACGGCCTGACTCTCTCTCGCTCTCTCGCGCCTCGCAGCACCGCATCGCTCGCCCTCACAAACGGCGGCTCCGCCGGGCTCATCTACACCTGGCTGATGGCCTGGGCCGGCTTCAACGCCGTCTACGCCTCCATGGCCGAGATGGCCTCTGTCGCGCCCACCACTGGCGGGCAGTACCACTGGGTGTCTGAGTTTGCGCCGCCGGGCTACCAGGCCTTTCTCAGCTACGTCGTCGGTAAGCCCGCTTCTCCTCTCCTTCGTTTTAACCCCCGGGTCGTTGACAACGCAAGCAGGCTGGCTCGGCGTCCTCGGCTGGCAGACGCTCGTCACCTCAATCGCCTTCCAGGCCGGCACCGAGATCCAGGGCCTGCTGGCGCTCAACTACGACACGTACGTCTTTGCGCGCTGGCACGGCACCCTCTTCGTCATCGCCATCATCGTCTTCGCCCTCGTCTTCAACACGCTCCTCGCCTCGCGCCTTAACCTGGTCGAGGGCGCCATCCTCGTCGTGCACGTCTTTGGCTTCTTTTGCATGCTGGTGCCGCTGTGGGTGCTCGCTCCGCGCACGCCCAGCCGCGTCGTCTGGACGCAGTTTCACGACGGCGGCTGGAACGACATTGGCTTGTCGACGCTGATTGGCCTGATTACGAGTGTCTTGCCGCTTCTTGGCGCCGATGCATCCGGTATGTCTTTTCTGTTCTTTTTTTCTCGGCCCGCCTGCGACCTTTGTTTCGATATGACTCGGCCATGTTTCGCACGACTCGAGGACGGCGGCGGCATTGTCGTTCACGGCGGTGACTGACGTGAAACAAGTACACATGGCGGAGGAGGTACAGGACGCGGCGCGCACCATCCCGCAGAGCATGATGTGGTCCATCAACCTCAATGGCCTGATGGGCTGGCTCACGGCCATTACTTTTTGCTACTGCATTGGTGACTTGGACCAAGGTGAGCCGATTCTTCCTTGATGCGCTCTCGGCATCTCTTATGCGACTGACTAACCCCTGCGGTGCCGGCAGTGCTGCAAACCAAGACGGGCTACCCGTTTATCCAAGTCATTTTCAACGTGACGCAGTCCTACCCCGCCACCAACTTCCTCACCTCGATCGTCCTGCTCATGGCCACGTTTTCGTGCGTCACCATCATGGCATCGGCCTCGCGGCAAATGTTCGCCTTTGGGCGCGACAAGGGCCTCCCGTGCTCGAGCTGGCTGTCGCAGGTGCACCCGAGGCTTGGCGTGCCCGTCAACGCGGTGCTGTTGTCGACGGCCATCTCCATCCTGCTCTCGCTCATCAACATTGGCAGCACCGTGGCGTTTAGCAGCCTCGTCTCGCTCGGCTCCGGCACGCTCATGGTGTCGTACATTGTCTGCATCGGCTGCTTCATGTGGCGGCGGTGGGCCGGGGAGCCGATGCCGCCGGGCCCGTTCTCGCTCGGGGCGTGGGCGCTGCCCGTCAACATCATCGCCCTCTGCTACCTCGCGCTCGTTTTCATTATTGCGTTCTTCCCGGCGGTCCCGCTGCCCGAGCTGAACGCGGCCGGCATGAACTGGTCATCCCTCATTTTCGCCGTCGTCGTGGTGTGGGCCATTGCCTACTACTTTATATGGAGCCGCCAGGTGTATGAGGGCCCGGTCAAGTTTGTGAAAAAGGCCGACGGCGGTGGCGAGCTGACAAGCCGGAGCGGCCATTTGTCGAGGACCCTGTAACACTAGTATCGAATCAAGAAGAATATTGTGAGATGTGACTTCACTCTAGACGATACAATCTTGCGTGACTGGCGAAGCCCCCCTCCCGTGCCCCGTACGGCTATCCGCGCAATGCGGCAATGGCCGCCGACGCCTGTGGCGTTGTTTCGGCCCGCCACCGCGCGATCCCCCTGGCTTGCCGTTGAGAAGGGACTTGGGGAGCCCGCTTTGGCCAAGATTCCCCCAGGCCAGGGCTCTTTGTCTCCAGCAGACATTATTTAAAAAGCATACATGCACAATCTCGTGTCAACAACTCATGGCATGATGGCGCAGGGGCGCATGAAGTGGCAAGCGAGGGAGGGATGGGCTCCCGCAGGTTTATCAATGCAACGGCGGCTGAAGAAGAAGAAGAAAAGAAAAAGAAAGGAATAGATTACCCACAGCCACGCACACAGCCCTTTTTTTTTTCCGTCGCAGAATCGAAACAGGCAGGCAGGCATGACTTTGGGTTTCTGAGTTTATGCTCTGCCAAGGCGGCCGGTTTGGGACGAACAGGTTAGTTTAGTACGGATAGTGGCAACACTCATTAGCCAGCAAGCCAGTAATAAGATGTAAATGAAATGCAGGCAGAATTTAAATGAAAATCGACAGCCAAGTACAAATTAGGTACGAGAAGAAAAAAAACTTTGCTTCATCCCACCATGCAGGTTTAGGTCTGGCGCCGCCAGCTGGCTGTACCCCGCTCTGCTGAAGAAATTGGAAAGGGAAAAAAAAATAAAAATAAAAAAAGGTCCAGACGACGGTTCGTGGTGGACGGACATGGGGTCAAACCAGCACTATCGAGGCAACTACTGGTAGCCTTTTTTTTTTGCCAACATGCCCTCCGATGTATCTCCCGGAACAAGGGAAAGCATTTAACCCTAGTTATCAAGGTCAAGACTGCAGAAAGCCTCCCCGCTAGAAAGGCGGGACGGGGCCAAGGTGGTCGCATGTTGCTGTCCATCCCACACGGCGATGCTTGCCCATTCGATAAGACAAGGCCGTCGACGAGGCGGTGGAGAGCGATTTTACGACGGAAAGCCCCCCTCTATTATTAACATGCATGCCCCGTCGTATCCTCTTCTCTACTAGTATCCTTCTCTAGTATGTGGTTAGAGTATCCGTTCGGCATGGGGCCCCATCGCCAATCTTTTGGTGGTGGTGGACTTGGAGGGGAGGAAACCGAGAAGACGGCAACTTGTCGGAGAATGGTTACATTGACATTGACATGGGGGTTTCTACATAAAACGTGGCCGTCGAGGGAAATTTTGTCCCCATTTCATGATTGAATAGTTTCTGTGCCAAGCGTTTTTACCCCCAGGGTTTTCTATTCTTCTCAACTAGTTATCAGTACTTGCCGTCGTCTGTTGTCGAGTCTCCTCCCCCCCCTGGTCGAGAAACCTTGGTTGTGTCTCTCTTTTTAAGCTCGCCTCCGCACTTATTCTTCCTCGTCCAGGTCCTTGTTTTTTTTTCTTCTTCAGCGTGCAATCTGAGACATTGGTAGATTCCTTCTAGAAGGGGGGCCAACACACACAGTTCTCCCAAATCCTCACCGACCCAACACACACTGCCAATTTCTTGCGCTGGTCTCCCTGCCCGCTCGCCCGCCTCCCATCATGACCGTTGCCGAAAAGAAATCCGGCCACGGGCACAACACCACGCTCTCAGATGACTACCACTCGAGCAGCGGCAGCGGTGCCGACGAGGGCAGCGCGGCGCACGACGTCTTTGGCGCCGAGGAGCACCACGACATCAAGTACAAGCGGCTCTCGTGGCAGCTCGTCGCCATCCTCATGATTGCCGAGATTGTGTCCAACGGCATGCTCTCGCTGCCGTCGGCGTTTGCCGTCGTCGGCATGGTGCCCGGCATCATCATTGTCGCCTTTCTCGGCATCTTTGCCACCTACACCTCGTGGCTGCTCGTCCAGTTCAAGCTGCGCCACCCCGAGGTGCACACCATGGCCGACGCCGGCTACATCATGTTTGGGCCCGTCGGCCGCGAGATCATGGCCTTTGGCACCTTTGCCTTTGCCATCTTCGCCACCGGCAGTCAGCTCCTCGCCGGCCAGATTGCGCTGGCCACGCTGAGCGACAGCAAACTGTGCAACCTCGTTTACACGGCCATCTTTACCGTCGCCTCGCTCGCCGTCTCGCTGCCGCGCACGTTTCACGGACTGGGATACGTCTCCATTCTGAGCGTGCTGAGTATCCTGATGGCTGGCTTGGTCGCCATGGGGGCTGCTGGCAAGGAGCCCGTCATTGGTCGCTCCGTCGAGGTGGTCGTGACGTCCGACTTTTACGCTGCCTTTGCCTCGATTACGAACCCCGTCTTTTCCTTCGCTGGCCACTTCATGTACGAGTCCAACGAAGCTTGGTCGCCAATATGTACTGTACTCGGCTAACTTTCTCAGGTTCTTTGTCCTCATCTCCGAAATGAAGGAACCCAAGCACGCCATGCGCTCGGCGTACTGCCTCCAGACTTTTACCACCATTTACTACATCATCTTCGCCGCCGTCACATACGGCTACCTCGGAAGCAAAGTCTTATCCCCGTCGTTTTCCTCCTTGTCGCCGTACTGGGCCAAGGTCTCGTACGGTATCGCCATCCCGAACCTGCTGCTTGCGGCCGCCCTCTACGCCCACACGGCTGCCAAGGTCATTTTTGTGCGCCTGTTCCGCAAGTCCGACCACCTGCACAGCCATACCGTTCTCGGATGGGGCGTATGGATTGTTCTAGTTGTATTTTGCAACATTTTGGCTTTCCTCCTTGCCACGGGCGTACCCATCTTTAACTACCTTGTCGGGCTTGCTGCGTCGCTGTTTGCCGCTTGGTTTACCTATGGCGTGTAAGTGCCTCTTTCTCTCGTCGCCGCACACTCTCATGTCAGCTAATAATGTGATTGTGTGATAGCGCCGGCATGTTTTGGCTGCACGATTCGTTTCACGACGGTGCTGGTTTCCTGGAATGGCGTCGGCAATGGGGTCAGTTTCTGCTCTGCGCATTTACCGTTTTGGCCGGTGCCTTCATCTGCGTCGCTGGTCTGTATGTCACTATTCGACAGCTTATCGATGCCTATGCCCATGGCCTGGTTGCAAAGCCGTTTTCTTGTTCTTAGGCGAATGTCCTCATCTCGAAAGGACATGGAAAAAGGAGGATTCCCAATGCGGAAGCTGTACATATACTAGCGTGGTCGATACTTGTTCTCCCTGTATATATGATCAGGAGCACACTGCACAACGTATGAATAAAGGCGTACGTATCACATAAGCGTTGGCGAAACAATTGATTAATTTCACGTGCATGGCTGCCGCGAGGCTGCGGGTCGAAACTTCGTCTACCTTCCACATTGTTCTTGCCTGCCTACAGGGCTACGCCCCACCAGCAAACACAGAGTCTGGCAATCTGCGTGGCTGCCTTTTACGCTTTATTGCGTTGCCTAGAAACGTAACTTAATCTTTTACACTCTTCCAAGTCTACTTTTTAGCTCGTCAATCTCACCAGCCCTACTTCTCCATCGTTCCATAAAATTGTCGTCTGAAACGACCACTCAGATCGGCCGCACAGCCGTTCAAGATTCCGAGTACGATATCTCGTAACGCACCCCGCTCGACCCCGCGCTACGCGTAGACTGGGAAAGCTTTCCAGCTTCATTTTCTGAACCTCGACGCGCCACCAACGTCCTCTCGCTGCCTTTCCAATCCCTCGCAAACCACTTCAATCATGGCGTCTGCGTCTGCTGACAAGGCCATCCGGCCTCGTGTCTTCTTCGACATCTCCATTGGTGGCAAGCCCGCCGGCCGCGTCGCCATGGAACTTTACTCGGACCTCGTGCCCAAGACCGCTGAAAACTTCCGCGCCCTCTGCACCGGCGAAAAGGGCACAGGCAAGTCGGGCAAACCCCTTCACTACAAGGGCTCCGTCTTCCACCGTGTCATTAAGCAATTTATGATCCAGGTAAGCTTCTACGCCAGCCACACTTTTGGCCGCAAACGGCGCCTGCGCCAGTGAGCCCCGCGGCCTCGGCATCGTTGCTAACGAAGCATGTTTGTCTGCTTTAGGGAGGTGATTTCACCGAAGGCAACGGTACCGGTGGCGAATCCATCTACGGCGCCAAATTCGACGATGAGGCTTTCCCCGAGAAGCATGATCGTCCCTTTCTCCTGTCCATGGCCAACTCTGGTCCCAGTAAGCACCCGACCCGTCCAACCAACACAACACAACACAGCACAAGAACAGACAGAAAAAAATGATGCAACTTCTAACCACGTACCACAGACACAAACGGCTCCCAGTTCTTCATCACAACTGTCCCCACACCCCACCTCGACAACAAGCACGTCGTTTTCGGCGAGGTTCTGAGCGGCAAGTCTCTCATCCGCCAGATTGAGAACCTGCGCACCTCTGCCGGTGACAAGCCCGAAAAGGAGACCATCATTGCAGATTGCGGCGAGCTCACCGGCGATGCGGCCCTGAACGCCGATGTCAAGAAGCCCGACGCCACCGGCGACCCATACGAGGACTTCCCCGACGACTTCCCTGCCGAGCAGCAGCCGCTGCCCGCCGCCAAGATTCTCGAGGTCGCGACCGCGTGCAAGGACTTTGGCAACAAGGCCTTCAAGGCCGGCGACTTGCATCTCGGCCTCGAAAAGTACGAAAAGGGCCTGCGGTACCTCAATGAGGACCCGGACCTCGACGACGCGCCCGCCACCACGAAGCCGGCTCTCGATGCCCTCCGCTTCTCGCTCAACAATAACAGCGCATTGCTGAACATGAAGCTCCGGAGCTGGGCCGAGTGCGTGCGCAGCGCGTCGGCTGCCCTCGCCGTGGCGGGGGATGCTAAGGACGCGGATCGCGCCAAGGCCCTTTTCCGCCGCGGCGTTGCCCACGTCAACCTCAAGGACGAGGAGGCAGCTGTCCGGGACCTAGAGGAGGCGCACACGCTGGCCCCTGGTGATGGTTTGATTGTGAGTGAGCTGAGTTCGGTCAAGACCAAGGCGTTGGCGCGCGCGGCCAAGGAAAAGGCGGCGTATAAGAAGTTTTTCCAATAGAAGATTGGACAGCATGTATGATTGCAAGAGGCTCTCGTGTGGGAACTACATCAGAATTACAGAAGCAAAAAAAGAGAAAATGTATGTCCTTTTTTAAACTGTTGCACAACGTGTCACGATGCCTGTTGGTTGGCGGAAAGCATAAGCTCTTGCGCGCCACCGATTGGGCTGTTGAACGTTTTACCAATGTACCAATCAATGTAGCTTCGTTTGAAACGCACGGGCTTGTTTGGGACGGCCCGGAACTTAATCGAATGCCGACGACGAGGTAAAAATGCCAAAGCTGACAACAAGCTTTGCAAAAGCTTTTCTGGGACAATGTTAACCAGTCACGGTGCAGCATGTATTACAACCGGATCGAACCCCAGCTTTTTTGCATCTTGATGTCACTGCACTGGCCCAGACAGGCTCAATTAATTCACTGCCTCGGTGTCGGTAACATTGATAGTATAAAATGACCTTGTATTCATAAAGTGCTTGACTTGAAACCCCCCATTTTCGTACCGTTTTGTTCGTAGCAGCAGGCCTTCGCGCATCGGCTATTGTCCCTCCTCCTCCAGTCGACAACGCAGCCCGATTCTTTCATGATGACCAAGTTGCCGACTTTCCCAGTCCTAATCAACGCATTGTTCCAGTAACTCGCCTGCCAAGGAGCGTGGCCGCAGCCAATGTTGGCGATGCAGACAGCCAATAACATCATCCTACAGGACCATGTGGAGCGCAAGAGCCGTGAAGCCCTACCTATATAGATCACGCCCCCCCTCTCGAACCCTTGCCCGCATTCTGCCTTGGCTGGCACCTCGCTACCAGTGAATCTATCACGGGTCAAGTTATCCCCCATGTCGGAGAACTCTTGACAGGGGGGGGGGAGGGTTCATCATGACCTCCCCGGGGGAAAGCTGTGGCAGCCGGGGGTACCCTGCATGGGCAAAAAGTTCGCGCGGGGGGCCGTGGTAAGATGTTATATCAATCGTCTCCCCGAGTTGGTGAAAAAAAGTCCCGCCAGGTTTTATGAAACCAGTTTCCGTGTTGAATCGTATTTCGCCATGTTCTGCAGTCGCTGCGAAAAGACCATCGCTTCCTGTACGACGCGACCATGAGAACGGACCGTGCAACAGGCCGCGCAACCAATACCTGGCTCGTTTGCGCAAGCAAAAGGAGGCAGCTCGTCCAAAACAAACGTAAACACGAGTGAACTGTTCTTTCGCTTGCGATGCGCGCCATTGCTGCGCTCCTCGTGGCGGCGCCCATATCTGCGGCCATTGATGCGTATTACAAGATTGACACGCCCGGTGAGTCCATCATAACCCGTCGCAGAGCTCGTCGCTTACAAAACTGCAGATGAAATTCGCCAGAGCGCGACAACACTTGCATACGACCTCATGACCTTTTACAAGGGCAACCAGTCCGGGCAGATCCCCGGCATGCTGCCCGGCCCGCCCGCCAGCGGCACCGGGGACTACTACTGGTGGGAGGGCGGCGCTCTGATGGGCACCTACGTTGACTATTTCCATCTCACCGGGGACGCCAGCTACAACAAAGTCGTCACGCAGGGCCTGCTGTTCCAGGTCGGCGAGAATGAGGACTACCAGCCGCGCAACCAGACGATTGGCCTGGGGAATGACGACCAGGGCTTCTGGGGCATGGCGGCCATGCGCGCGGCCGAGACGCGCTTCCCCAACCCGCCGCCGAATGAGCCGCAGTGGCTGGCGCTGGCACAGGCCGTGTGGAATACCCAGGCTGAGCCGAGCCGGTGGGATGAAGCGTGTGGGGGAGGGCTGCGCTGGCAGCGGCAGTTTTTCAACAATGGGTACAGTTACAAGAACGGTACAGCCCCTGTTTGTGCTTCATGTTTTGTGGCATGCATACTGATGCGGGCAGCAGCAATTGCGAATGGCGTCTTCTTTAACCTCGGCGCTCATTTGGCGCGGTATACGAGCAACGACACGTATGCGCAGCGCGCAGAGCAGACGTGGGACTGGCTCTGGAACGTGGGCTATATTGACAATGAGAACTGGCACGTGTACGACGGCGGCCACGTCGAGCACAACTGCACGGATATTAACCGTCTCGAGGTGTCGTACAATCCAGCGCTGCTGATTGAGGGTTCAGCGTTCCTGTACAACTATGTAAGTCGAGTTGGGCTGTTGTGAAGGGCGATGCTGCCTCTCAGAGCCCAGTGACACACACTCACAACAAACTGATTTTGCATCTTTAGACGAATGGAGATGAGAAGTGGAAGTACCGCATCAACACCATGCTCGCCTCGTATCTCAAGGAATTCTTCCGCGACAACGTCATCTTCGAGACGGACTGCGAGACGCGCGAGCCGCCCTGCACCACCGACATGCTATCCTTTAAAGGTTACTGCCTGCGTTGGCTCGCCGTCGTCACGCAGCTCGCCCCCTTTACACGCGACGCCATCATGCCCGTGCTGGAGGCCTCGGCGCGCGCCGCCGTGCGCCAGTGCACGGGGCCACCTACCGGTCGTCGCTGCGGCTTCTACTGGACCAAAGGCGGCGTATTTGTCGATCCCGGAATAGACAACACGACTGGTGCGGGCGAGGCCATGGACGTGCTGGCGGCGGTGGCGAGCCTGCTCATTGATGAAGTGGAGGCGCCGGTCCGAGCGGACACGGGCACGTCAATCGGTAACCCCAACGCGGGCTTGCCGGACGCGGTGGGCGGGATGAGGAGGGGGATCACAGCGGCGGATCGGTTCGGTGCGGGCGTGGTGACGGTGTTGTATGTGATGGGGCCTGCTCTGTTGTTGGTTTGGATCTGCTTGGATGAGACGCAGGGGGTGAAGAAGGCGAAGGATGTGGAAGGACAGGAAGTCAGCAGCAGCCAAGCTCCGTAGTCGCCCTGATCTATACCCAGGATATATGAAATTCTAATGATACCCAGGCCGATGTCTGAATGCTATGCCTTTGTGAGATTCGTCTATCACTCCTTTTTACCGTTCTCTTGCGCGGCCTTGCCGCCGACATTGAGTTCCAGGGTGACCTGCGACCTTGTTAGCCGTGCCGCCGTAAAGAGAGGCTGGGCAGCGAGTCTCGAACATACCGGTCCATCATTAACCAGGGCAACTTCCATCATGGCTTGAAATACGCCGTCCTTGACACGGTCTGCTTGGTAGCCAGCTTGTACCTTTTCGACAAAGTACTGATAGAGGCGCCGGGCTTCTTCCGGGTTGGCCGCGCCGTGGAAGTCGGGCTTCGTGCCCTTTGTCGTCTTAGCCAAGAGAGTAAATTGCGATACTAATTAAAGTCTCCACATTAGCAACCTATCATCCTTACAATGAGGAATGGATGTCATACCGCACAGCACCTCGCCGCTGATGTCCGTTACATTCTTCTTCCACTATACCAGCAAGTTAGCGTGTAAGGACACCGGAAACGAGCCGCAGTATACGTGCCCTGCCGCCGGCCTCGTCGTCCCACAGCTTCATGCGCAGGACCTTGTTTGCCATGGACTCCATCTCCTTTTCGGTATCACCCGGGGCCACGGCCGCAAAGACGAGGACGCCACGGCCAATGGACGAGACCAACTCTTTCTCGACGGTGACGGAACCCGACAAAACGCGCTGCAATATAGCTGCGGTGAAACGTTAGAGTGATGGCCGGGTTTGACTGCAGCTGGCCGCACCTTTCATTGCGTTGAGGATGGGACCTTTCGTGCAACGGTGATGGAGGTACTAGTTACAACGCCGCCAAGTGAACGGTACGAAATATCGATGCGCAAAATTGAGTTGGAACAAATCGCGCACTCGACACCGATGAAACGAGATGCAGGCCCAAACACGGAGCGTCTAGCATGACGGATGTAAATGCAATGAAATGCGTTGACGGCGTACAAGCTCGGCCTAGCTTCTGGGAGCTTCTACAACGGTGGTTTGTAGGCTTAGGCTGTAATTTGTAGCACACGCACCAATCCTGTGGGAGGTGGAGGCGCCAATGTTGTTGGTGTGGCTGGTCATGTGAGCTGGCTCGTACAGTGCTAACAAGTACCAAGTACCAACCGCCGAAAGCAGCGGCTAGTGATAAAAGTTCGAGCTCTCAATTCACCACAACAAAGTAAAATGGCCATTTCTCAACATCAAACGGCAATAGGGCTTCCTTCCACGGTGATTCCGTCTTTTCATTACGCATCTTGTAGTTGTTCACCTCCGCGGGTCGCCCCGGCGCATCGTGACTGCATTCTTGCCGTCGTCAAGGTACAACACTGCGCTAGTCCTGTTGCAGCCTGGTACATGCTCAGACCTTGCCATCACAACTCCATCTCACAATCTCTCCATCGCCGCCGACCGTCAGCCTAACGTATCATTCCTACAGCTATTCATTGGTCCAACAATCATCGGCTGCTACGCTCATCGTGCTGCGCACACTACTGCGGGCCATCATCATAGTAACGCGACGTGTGACAACCCCTCGCTTACCCGCCCGACAGGCCCTTTCACACACGTGTTGTGCCCGAGCATCTTCATTCCCGCATCCCTTGCCCTGGAGGCACTTCATTAACTACCGATCACCCGTCCCGTACCGAATACCGATCCTACCGCGTCGCTGCGCATCAGTCTATTCGCGATGGCGGCCCGAAAATTGCAACAGGAAGTCGACAAGTGCTTCAAAAAGGTGGCTGAAGGTGTCGCTGAGTTCGAGTCCATCTATGACAAGATCGAGCTATCGAATAACCCGGCACAAAAAGAGAAGCTGGAGGACAACTTGAAGCGTGAAATCAAGAAGCTGCAGCGTCTTCGCGATCAGATCAAGACATGGGCTGCCAGCAACGACATCAAGGACAAGGCCCCGTTGCTGGATCACCGCAAATTGATAGAAACCGTGTGTTGCCCATTACCCCCTGCTTGACCCAGCGAGTGCCTCTGTACTGTGGACAAGCAAGCATCATGGCCAACGCGAACGAGAAGAAATAACTGACGTTTTCTGCTCTCTAGCAAATGGAAAAATTCAAAGCGGTAGAAAAGGCAATGAAGACGAAAGCCTACTCCAAAGAAGGGTTATCAGCGGCAGCGAAACTAGATCCGAAGGAGCAAGCCAAACTCGAAGCGGGCGAGTTTCTAAGTAGCATGGTCGAGGAGCTCGAACAACAGATCGAGACGCTAGAGGCCGAGAGCGAGCAAATACAAGCGACCATGAAGAAGGGCAAGAGCCAGACAGCCAAGGCGGAGCGCATCGCAGAGATTGAGCGCATAATAGAACGGCACAAGTGGCATCAGGGCAAGCTGGAGCTCATCCGACGGTCTCTGGAAAACGGCGGTGTTGAGACGGAGCAAGTCAACGAACTCGAGGAGAGCATCCGCTACTACGTGTCCGATGGCGTGAATGAGGACTTTATGGAGGACGACGAAATGTACGACGAGCTAAATCTTGAGGACGACGAAGGCATCTTTGGCATGGGCGCAGATGGCGAGAGAGGGTCGTCGCAAGACACCCAATCCGTGCAACAGGACGACCCTGAACCGATACCCGAACCCGCCGCGCCAAAGCCCCCGCGAAAAGTGGCAAAAGAGAACGAACCAGTATCCACGCGGAAAGGGTCCTCACAGACGAAATCACCCTTACCAGCGCTTGCCACACTGCACACGCCATTGTCAACCATCAGCAATGGTTCGACTCCTAGCATGAAGCCCGCGACGATACCGACAAGAGCACCTGGCGAGACATTAAAGTACGCCTCCGCCGCGGCGGCTGCTGCGGCAAGCGACAAGGCCAACGTGGGGATATCACCACTACCTCCACCCCCTGGTAGTGCTGGCATTTCGCTTGCTTCCGGTCCCTCGGTAACCAACTCGCCAGCTACCGCTGCCGCCCAACCCGCGCGGCAAACGCCGATACAAGCACCAGCGACGGTTGCCGTCCCGTCCGCCGAGGAGCCGTCCCCTGAGGCTGTCCTCGCGCCGATTGCGCCAGCATCCACGTCCAACCGCGGGCCTAAGAAGTCAAAGGTGGTCGGCAAGCAACCCGCCGTGGCTGCCGAGGCCAAGGAAGTGCCGCCGGCGACCAACGGCGCGACGCTTAACGGCGCCAAGTCCAAGGGGCTAGCGCACGTTCCCGAGGAGGAGAGTATATATCACCTCCCGGCATCGCTGCAGGACCTAGTCGAGTCGTACGAGACGGCAAAGAAACACCCGCCGTCGCAGTCAGCGCCGTCGACGCAAAGGCTCATGGAAGCCAGCCACGCCAACTGCCCTGACCAGCTCGATGCCGACGTACCGCGCACGTATTTCCCAGAGAATCCCGTGCCGCAGGGCGGGTCAAGCTTCCCGCGCACACCACTGGCCATCTTTGAGGACCCACGACTCTACCAGCGCATCGACCCCGACACGCTGTTTTATGTATTTTACTACAAGCAGGGCTCCGCGCAGCAGTATCTTGCAGCTAAAGCACTCAAGGACCAAAGCTGGCGCTTTCACAAGCAATATCAGACCTGGTTTCAACGACATGAAGAGCCCAAGAGCATCACTGAAGAGTACGAGCAAGGAACATATAGGTTCTTTGACTACGAAAGCACATGGTAGGTGATCAAGGGGAGTGATGTTGGTGGGGAGGTTTTAGTATTTGCAAGAAGAACGGACTGGCTGACACAGAAGAGGCAAATTGTAGGATGAATCGTCGCAAGGCCGACTTCAAGTTTGCCTACAAATTTCTCGAAGACGAAGTCTAGGTAATGAGGACAGGAGAGATGTTGAGGGCGGGTCGTAGCTTTGGAGAGGAAGGGAAAGGCGGAAGAGGTACTGTACATTGTTCAAGGGAAATGGTATATGGGCGTTTTTCGTTTTTTGCGGACAACATTAGGAAAGCTGCTCAGTTCCCGCGTCAAAGCTGGACTTTTTATCGGTGCATTTTTGCTTCTCCTCCTTGCGCTAACTCGGGAGAAATCAGGGCCAGGGTTTTTCTTTTTTTACAATGTTTGTATGTCCGGACAGGTCTAATGTCCCCGGTTGCAGAGGCTCGCTGGAGGAGGAAGTGGGAGCGAGCTTCGGTGGTATTGTTTTTGGTTGTTAATATATTTCTCTTGCTGTGTTTATTCACCACTCGCAGGATGTGTATCCGTTGCGCTTCCTGTTCAATGGATGGTAGCGTTTGGCAGCGAAATATTTGCTTCGTTCTCTCTTGTTCAGTGACTGTAGTGGCACGAGAAGACAAAAGTCTGGGATAAGGGAAGGATGTGGGAGCGAGGTTCAACCAAATACTCGCGGCTGACGGTGGGAGTACTGGCACATGTTGGACCAGAGGAACCACAGAAATGCAGCTCGCCCTGTTTATCTCCCTCGGCGAGGGGATCATCGGGGATCAAGGCGACAATGCACTCGCAGGCGTAATACGACGCAGACGAATGGCCATAAGAGGAAGCTGTGTGGGAGAAAGTCAAGCAGCACCACGCATCCAAAAATACCGCGCGACGCCTTTTGGGGGCTAGGAAGAGGGGGGGCGCGAACCTAGCCCAGCCCGAGCAAGCGCTCAGCTTCATCACCGACCTTGGAACAATGACCGAGGAGCGGGCAGGCAGGCAGGCATACTCCAGCTTACCAGCAGCTAAAGCAGTTTTTGTTCTGGTAGCGATGATCATTCGGGCTGCATCATTCAATTCACTCATACCGCCGCTTGGGAAGAGGGGGCGGGAGGAGGAGGATCACACCGGGAACAGGAGCCAGCCCGCAGGAGCGACGAAAAACGCCAAGGCTTCTGGAAGGTGTGTCGAAGGGGGGCCTCGATTTTTTTGGCTTGTTGATTGGGGCATGGGGGAGCTCCAGACTGGGTTTAGGCAACGATGGACGAAGGAAGGTGAGCATGCAGCCTCCGATATGTGCGCATGAAGAGGGGGGACTTGTTGGATGGGTGTGGAAGGGGTGTGTGTATGTGTGTGTGTGATGCTGTAGGGGTGTTTGCTGGCAGGGAGGCGTGAGGATTGAATAAGATGCTGGCTGGCTCCGTTCCGTTGTGGTTACGTGGTTTGTCTGGTCCGGTATGTACTTGAGGCTGGGAGCTCTGCTGTGCCTGGATTTGATGCGATATTTTCAGTGCATACATGTATTGTGTGCACATTGCCGCCCCATGAAAGCGATTGACCAGTATCGGCTTAACAGGTTCCCCCCCCCCTGCGATTGGAAATGTAAAAAACCTCTGTGGCTTGGTGCCGAGCGAGCGCTTCCCCATCTGAATCAAGTTAGAGGGCAGGGCGTAGGTACATAGGAAGGGAAATGTGACGTCGGCTACCGTGTGGGAGGGTCGGCGCCGATAGTCGAGACGTCGGGATGGGGGCCCGTTTGCATGGGAAATTTGGGGTGACGAGACGAAAGTGATGAGCAAAATAGACGGCATGAACTAGGGTTATTAATTACTGGCACGCAGGGACTTGCAGAAACTTTTTTGTTCAACAACGCGGGTTGATTGCCGGCTTGCCTGCAAAACGCCTGGGCCAGAGGGGGCCAACGTTTCTTGTCCGGTAGAGACAATCAATCCCTCGACTTTTCCTATCCTGCAAGTTGCAACAAAATGCAACTGCAACTGCAACAAGATGACAATCAGCGGGCTTCTACTAAGAACAGGGAGGGGCCTACCAATGTGCGAATGCCGCAGAGCAGATGCAAATTGCGACGTTTTTTTCTCCAAACGTCGGCCGGGGGGGGATCAAAAACTGCAACTATTACGGGGGAGCAAAAAGCCGATTTTGGCAGCTGCGGGATTTTTAGAGTTTAGAGTGCGGTTTGTCTCGTGTTAAATTATAATATTGCTCTTCTTGTTTGTCTCAGCGGTGCAGACACGGGTTGGCGGTGAACCTCGAGCGGCGCTTCTTTTTTGTTTTACCTTGTCTGCCGTTGCATGCATGACCTCCATAGGACGAAGAAGCACGTACCAGCATGTACGTAGATTGATGACACACATGCCATCCCGTTGAACAAGCAAGCGCGTGGGGAGGGCAGCAGCGCCATCGGGGGCTCCGAAGGCGATATGGGGTGGGAAATAGGGACTTGGGTGATTGTCTCTTGTCACAGACATTTGTTGCAAAGGGCAGGGTATTGGGGATATGGACAGGGGCCTCAACGGCTCTCTATTCCGGATCCATATCCCGTCAGGTGACGACGAGTGTTGATTGGGGATGGTTGTGGTGGTGGTGGTGGTGGTGACTGAATAAACCACTGTTGGTAATGCCATTATCCTCCTGTTTCTCATCGTCCTTGGATATGAACATTTTTGCCTCTATGGGTGTATGCTTACTTTGTATAATTGTTGTTTGGTTGTATTTCCATCTTTCCATTTTACTTCAGTTTCCTCTCCCACATGTGATGGTGATGGTGGTGTGCCAATGCAGGTCGTGGCCTAGCTGGGGTGGAAGGGTCATGGTGCTCGAAGGCTGCATGGAAGCTTTCGACGCCACAGAGGACAACAAAGAGACGGGTGGCTTGATGGCTTGATGGCTTGATGGCTTGATGAGGGGGGGACGGACAGTGGACAGTGCCAGCGCGAGCACCTCGTCCTTCTCGCTGCGCCCACCAAGTCTGCGGTAGGCGCATCGCCAGGCACTCTTGCTCTGGTACGTTAGAGGTAGCTCTGGCAGGGGCCCATGCGGCTCGAATGCTGGCCGCATCTCTTGCAGGCACGGGGGTGGGTTCGCTGCAGACCAGCCAGGCGGAGCGCAACTAGTTGAAAGTGTCTAGGATAGTTGGATAGGTACAAATTAGATAGTAGGTAGGTATTCACCTGGTATTGTTAGCGAGGGCGGCAAAGCAAGGGCCGGTTCTCATCTGGAACAGAATTACGCGGACGGGCTTGGGTGTCTAGGATTATAGCCCATTGCTCCCACTGCCGTCGAATAGGCGAGCCCGACGACTTATCACGAATTGGCCCGGTACCGCAATCACAACCCGTCGTCGCAGTATCGCAGCATCACTAATTTGTACAAGGGCACAGAAACTGCGTTGCCGAAAAAGCTTAACCCGCTTGTGCCATCGGCTTGGACATGACTTGTGCCCTGATGGACGATTTGTCGGCGCTCGCCCCAGAACGCCAAAACCGCGACCAACGTCACCCCCCCCCCCATCATCATCATCAGCCCCGAGAAGAGTCAAACTCATCGGTAAAAAGGAATAGACTAGCGCATGTTCTGGTATGCATATGCAGTGCCCCACAAAACAGCTTTTGGGAGTTTCGTATCACGCCGTCTATTTCCGAGTTTGCCATAACTTTTGGCTACCTACTTGACTACCTAATAGTATGTACCAAAGTAAGTCAATGACAGCGAACCATTCTTTGGGGGCGCAGTCAATTTGGGGGTGGGCGCTGATAGCTCATCAGACAAGAACCACTATGCCTCCGTTGAAAGTGCGCAGTCGGCGGCCTATAGTGCTCTTTTTTTTTTTTGCCCTGGTAATAAGCAAACCAGTGGGATTGAGTTTACGTTTCCGTGTGATGCGGTCTCGTCGACTCCGATAACAAGCTTGCCTCATGTTGGCCAGGTCCTCTGAGCGGTCCTTGCTGTTTTTTTTTTTTTTTTTTTTTCTTGACCGGTGACAAGCTACAGGCAAGCATGGATCCTCCTCTCTCTTCTACCCACCCTGGTTCTTCTGCGAACCGCAGCAAAAAAAAGATATCCAGAGTTCCAAAGCTCTGCATGGAGATTGAAGACGGCAGCCAAGCTACCCCGCCTGTATAACAGAAACCTTGCTTTGTCTCTCGTTTCTCGCGCCGAGGCATGCTACTCGGCTCGCGCTCAAGAGTAGCGGGGGCTAGGAGAACAAAAGTAGTCTACGTGTCAATGAAGGATTTCCAGTCTTGTGGCCAAGCAACACCTTTTTGCGATGGGACGTGGCTGAAGCAAGGTCCCCCATCACGAGCGAGATCGGATCTCCGCGCGGCTGAGAGAGTTGGTGGTCAGTGACGACAGCAGAGCAGAGGGCACTTGACTACCTAGTTAGTTACAAATTAGTACTTGGGAACTCGTTTTGGGGCGTTTTGAGGCCCCGTTATGAACCAGGTTGCCAGGTTGCTTCTTCTTTTTCTCGCTTGGCCAGCTACGAGTGGGCTTCGTAAATACAGAGGCCTGCATTCGTTCGCTGTTGTTCCTCCCAAGTCCACACCAGTCCACAAGTTGTGACCCCCCCTCTTCCCGTCATCGAAGAATGATGACAAGTTGGGTATGGCGCGCCGCGGCAAGGTGGTCCCAAATGTCCCGCCATCCAGCATCACACACCCACCCTGACCTGACTTATTCCTCCACCGACCTCCTCCTCCTCCTCCATCCTCCCCCCCCCCTCCTTTGGCCGCAGCCATTCCTCTCCACATGGGAACTTCCCAATGAGCTCATTTTGGCCAACGTTAGTGGCCCGCCAGGGCTGAGAGAGTGCTTCGCGCTGGCCTTCTAGAAGCCTGCCCGGAAATGCAGCCCAACCTGGTCCGGATTGAAACGGGCATAGACAAAACCCTTTCGTACTGCCACACTCGATCCCAGACTGACTTGTCTGGTGATATAAGTTGTCACCACACCCCCCCTTTCTTCCACCCTTTTCTTTCTTGGTTCTGGATACACTCTTTCCAACTTACTTGTATCCTCAAGACAACTACTTTTGTTATACTCTCTACCCGCACAATCTATACCTCAGGCTGGCTGGTCCTTGGCTGACGACGACCATATTACATAGTAGCGAATTGATACCCAAGATACCCGCCTTGCCACGACTTTGTTCTGCTCTCTGCACCCTGCACACTGCACCCTTTCTCCCCCTTCCGGACGAGGCCAAACAAGAAAAAAAGCAAGAATCCTTTTTTCTTGTTTTTTTTTTGTCTTCTTTGTCTGTTCCCAACCAACCAGTACATGCATCCGTTTCGCCAGAGTCGACCCATCCCGGCCAGGCTCCGTCCTGGAGTCACCTCGGACTACCGCCACTACAGCACCTCGGCCCCGGCGGGCAACATGACGGCCCAGGTCGGCAACCACTACCATGACGACCTGTCCGGGTTCTGGGGACCGCCGCCAGACGACCTGTACCTCCAGGACCCGCGCTTCCTGGCCTGCTCCGAGCCTCTGAGCCGCCACATGAGCTCCGACAGTTCACTGTCGCTCTCGACGCCCGCCTCGCCGATGCTGGGCGCCGCCGCCGCTGCCGGCATCAGCTCCTTTTACACGCTGCAAGCCAGCGCCCCGGGAAGCCCCCTGTTCCCTCTGCTGCAGGACATGCCGGCGGCGAGCGTCGGCTCCCCGTACAGCAGCCAGAGCGTGGCGACGAGCTGCGAGGGGCACTCGCCGCAGACGGTGCCGGAAGACTTTACGGGCGAATCGTACGTTTCTCTCCCTCGCTCCCCCTATTTTTTGCCTCTTTTTTTTGTCAAAAAAAGTCATACAAATGCATACACACAAAAGCAACACAACTAACAGTATCCCTTAGCCCCAAGGGACGAGACTACCCCGTCGTCTGCCTCTTCCCCGGCTGCGACACCAAGCCGTTCAAGCGGCGGGCCGACCTCGACCGGCACTACAAGCACAAGCATGCGCCGGCGTCGCAAAAGGAGTCGTACTTTTGCGACTACCCGCGGTGCGCGCGGCGTCGCGACCCCTTTCACCGCCGCGACCACTTCCGCGACCACCTGCGCGAGTTCCACAAGGAGGACATTGAGAAGCGCGGCGGCAGCGGCAGCGGTGGCAGCGGCGCCGTCAACGAGGAGTGGCTCGAGGACCGCAACACCTCGTCGGCCTGGTGGCGGTGCGCAAAGTGTCTGCTGCGCAACTACGTCGACCGCAGCGGCTACGAGTGTCCCAAGTGCAAGACGACGTGCCAGGCGAAGCGCAAGGAGCTGCGCATGCGGGATTGAAGCCTTGGTGCCGGCTGAGCAGCTCAATGGGAAAAGGAAGAGAAGAAAGGGAAAAAATATCACCTGGTTCTCTTTCCAATCTCTGCTTTCCTGGTCTCGGCTCTCTATGGTTTTTTTTATTTATTTTTTCCATCTGCGTCTCGCACGCTCTCAGTCGGCGCTGGCCAGCTACCCTACCCGGCCGGGGAACCCCCAGTCGTCTAAAGAAATTCAGACGAAAACAGGCTCTATGATGGCGCGAAAGCAACAGAGGAGCCAGCCACAAGCACCGCCCGCTAAAACAGCAAGTTTTGTGTGTCTTGTTCTTTCTTTCTCCCTCTAGGCGGGCCGCCCTGAATTCAACCACGGGGCTAGCTTCGCTTTCCGGGGTGACGATAACCCAAGACAGCCCGCGAGCTTGTTCTTCCTCCCCCCTCCTCTCGGCCGAGCCCACCCGCACAGCCTCACCTACACGCTCTCTCACACACAACACGCCCGTGTTTCCCGCCAACTTGCAACAACTTGGGGCTGTGCCAAGTTATTTTTTTATTATTGTTTCTCGAAACTCTAACAACCGACCTTTTTTTTTTTTTTTCTCTTGCTATTCACCAAGTCATTTCAGTCAGGATGCAGATTCTGGACCGACTCTTTTTTTTTGCTCCGAACCGTGGCTACGTCATGCAATGGCTGACCCTTGTTTCCTTCTTGTACCTACCTAACGTTACTTGAACGTGTTTATGATCTCGGGCGTATTACAGAAGCCCACCATCCATTTCATCCTGTATACCATAGCTGTAGACCATTTTATTTATTACAAATCTTTTTTTTTTTCAGCTTCTTTCTCCGCGCACTTCTCCCCCAAGTCTCTTTCGAATTGAGCTGAAGAAGAACAAATCTCGGTGCCTAAAACGATGGGTGGTGGTGTCGTTCCTTCAGCTCAGGCTTTCTGCAACGAAACGGCAGTTGTTCCTTCTTTCTGCATTACCGTTTCCCCCTTTGGCTTGTGACTGGATCCATTGTCCAATCATACGGCAGCACCAGATAAACACAATGCTTTATTCATGCAATCAGCAAGAGTCATGCCCTTTTCTCCGGTGCCCTTTTTCCCCGGCCGCTGCCGACTTTTTTTTTCTCACCCCCCCGTTGCTGCACCGAAGGCTTACACACAGCTCCAGGCAGACGAATTCTTCGTGCTGCTATTCGCCCAGCTAACGTACAAAAATCATTTCCCCTTCAGAAACCTTCTTTTTCCTGAATTCCCGCCGCCCACACCATCACCCATCAGATATGGGATGTGTGCATGTGGGTTACAACTTTGCACCACATGACCTCTATTTCGCTGCCCAAGTCCCCTGTTTTTCCCCACAGAGGGGGAGGGGATTGCATCTCCATGGAAGTCTTCTAGAAGGAATCCATGTTTGGTGGTGGCGCAGCCCTGGACGCGTGACCCCACATTTATCTTGCTAGTCGCCCAAGAGGTCCAGGGTTTCTGGGGCTGCTCTTCTAAATTCCATAGAGGCTGTGCTGAATCATGATTCCGTCTCTCTCCTATCCATGCATCTTTGTTTCATTGAGGGCATAGGTGGTCACACGGGAATAAACAGCTGCGCCAGCAGAAAGCTTGTTTCTTTTTTTCTTCACTGCCAACGCTCGGACAAAACACGTGCAGCCACCTTTTGTCCGCCTTGTCTACATGCCGAGCATGAGGCTTGTCCCAGCCAAGAGCCAAGAGAAATAGATTGGCCCTGCTCGCAGCTCTATGCGCATGATTCTAAACCCAGTCAATCTAGTCAATCTCATGATGCGCCATACATTGAAAACTCCCACCACGCAAAACCTCCTACATGAACCTTCATCGCCCGCTCGCAGATCCACGCCCCCTCCCTTCTCTGGGGGCACTGCCAGACACACCACACCATCCTAGCCATCGCGGCTAGCGTAGCCTTGCCGAGCATGCATGTCTCAATCCTCCAGGCAGCAGTGGAAAGACTCTGTTGTGAATCAAGGTATCGTATTGCCTTCTCGTTACGGCGTAAACTCAATCGGGTCGCCCTGTATGTTAGGCAGTGCTCGAATGTCCGGTCGTCCTGCCTCGCGCCTCTTCTTACGCCGTCTCCGGCTCATCACCCGTGCTGAAGGTGCCTTCGGCGCAGTGATGCTGCTCGGCTCTGGCTCGCTGGCGCTGGGCGCCGCCGTCGGCGCCACCGCGCCACCACTGATGCTGGCGGCCAGCCTGCCCACAAAGAGACTCGGCGGGTGGAACGTCGACTCTGGCTTCGCGGTCATGTGGTACACCTCCGATAAGGGATGATGCGATGCCTCTGGCGCTTCTGTGGGGAGTGCCGTCATTGCTTCGAAACCATTCCGCTGCTCGCGGAAATAAACGGGGACCGCATCGTCGCTGGGCGTCTGGGGGTGCTTGTTGGATAATCTTGCGCCAGTCCTGTAGGGGCCGCCGTCTGCGGAGATGGCCAGTGGCGGTGTTGGCCCAGCCGGAGCCGGTGTGGGCCCTGGAAGCCGCCGCGAGTCCAAGACCGGAGATGTAATTTCGAGTCTGCTCGTCGGTGCTTCAACCGTCGCTGGTTCGACGCCGAGCTTGCTTGTTCTCTTATCGTCCGGCGTGTCAGAGCTGCATTGCTCAGCTGACACAGCCATTGTAGGGCGACCAGGTCCAAGCACGAACCGCTTCCACATGATGTTCTCATCCTCGTCACCAATATCCGGGGCTGTTGGCGCCGGGCGTAGATAGGGCAGCGCCGACAGCCGGTTGCCTGCATGACTTGCCTCGGCTATTCTGCATACGTCTGGGGTGGTTATACTGCTCGGGAGAGAATCGAAAGCTTTGGGTAACGTTTCATCATGTACCGCCTCAATTGCTTGAGGCGATGGTAGCCGAGATGGCGCTAGTCCAAGGTTGCGCTGGGAAAGCGATATCGGATTGGATTTGCTCGACTGTATGGCTCTTCGAGGGGACTCTGAGATTTTGCTTGAGCTGTCCTTGACAGTTTCTGGTATAATACTGTCCCCAGATTTGCTCTCTGTGGCCGCAACGCAGCTGGAAGTATCGTTCAGCTGCGAAGGACTCGCCCGCCAAGCGTCGACTGCGACATCTCCATCCTTCACAAAATCTGCTAGTCTCGCGAATATACCTTGAGGCATGTGTCTGATAGGCTGTGGATGGAAATAGTGCGTCGCCGAAACAGCTTTTACTAACGGTTCGTCAAAGATGGATGGACTTGTGTGCGACACGCTCTGAAGCTGTGGTTCGCGCCCAGCCTTTGCTCTCCCGATTTGCAAGGCTCGCTCCGCGCAAGGCGATTCGGGAATGAAGCTACTGAAGCTTTTTGACGTAGATGACGATATATCGTATAATGGCCCTGATTTATCCATAGGTGTTTCTGGCACAGATTTCTGTTCTTTGGAATGCCATGTCCTGATGCTGTTGTTTCCGGGGCTCCAGCGGTATTCCTGGCTCGCGATTTTGATAACTGTGTCCGCTGGTATTTGGCTCTTCGATATTTTGACCAGTGGCGAGTCAAATTGATCATGAGATATGTGTCGCTGGACCTTTCTCGCAGCCCTCGCCGTCTCGGGGTATTTTATGATCACAGGCTTCTGAAGCTCAACGCCCGACCAGTCGCTCTGCTGTAATAATTTGCGTCGCTTCACATCAAGGTTCGGATCGGTTTCTCCCGTAACACTGTGAAGTCTCTTCAGGTTCTCCACGGCCCTGTCATCGTTCGAATAGTCTGTTGCCTGTTGAGCGGGCAGAGGCATGTCTTGCAGTGTCAAGATTCTTCGTTTTGGTTCCCAGTGCCGTGTCGCATTCCGGGAGGGCCTGTCCAACGTCTCTGGCAAGTCTTCGAGATAGCTTGGAACAAAATCTGCCGCGTTGCACTTTCGTTTACGCGATTCAGTGACCTTTTGGCGCTTGGCCTGGGCGAAATAGTGCTTCTGCTTCGTGGCGTCATTGTTATAGCTTCTCCGAGACTGGCGAGCGAGCTGTCCATTACTCCAGTTCATGGCCGATTTCAATTCGAGACTCGACTAACTTGTCCAAGTCAATCAGGCTTTATACATTCATCGCAAGGCACAGACTATGCAGGTGCAGGAATCGGAAAGCAAGAGCTGCGCCTAGGCACCAGCCGTTTGCCAGCTGGCAGGCAACGGCCAAAGTGGCATGCATCCATGCATCCATCCACTCAGCGTTCGAATTTACACCATCGTCATGTGGACTGCGGACATTTTTTCGCCTTCAAAATTAGGTATTAACTTGACTTTGTACCCATCCAACGTTATCGATCACTCACGGCTCGGCATGGGGAAGTGCACAGTGAATACAGTGCTGTGCAACTTATTTGCACTGTATGACATCCCTGAAGCCACATAGCTCGAGGGCGCGTCGTTGAAGCTTCAGCCACCAACAGAGAGAATTGATGCGCATTAAATCAACAGCGAGCGCGCGTCTCCCCAGTCTTGTCTTTGATCGTTTTATCTAACAATATGGCTGACGCTGAAGAGAAAGCGCGCCAGGAGAAGATTGCGGCTGCAAAGAAGCGCGTGCGTTTGCCCGTGCAACGCATCTCCCCATCTCAAGCTTACAATACCCTCATTAGGTCGAGCAACGCAAGAAGAAGAAGGACAAGAAGGGTGCCGAATCTATCAAGGATGATGGCAAGGGTGAACCCGCCGAAGCTGCTGACGACGCAGCACCCGACAACAGCGACGGTGCCGACAAAGAAAAAGACTCCGCCATCGAAGAGAAGACCGACGACAACAAAGCCGACGAATCCGAGTCCACTCCCGCGCCTTCCTTAGCTGAGCAGTCCAAGGCCCGATCTACGTCGTTCCGAGCGAGCTCCATATCTGGAAAGCCTACATCACCCGGGCCTTTGAGCCCGGATGGTGACACTGCGCCAGACATCTACAGAAAGCACGTTGCCAAAATCGAGGAACTGGAGAAGGAAAATAGGCGCCTTCAGAAAGATTCTTCCGACGCGGAGAAGAGATGGAAAAAGGCAGAGGATGAACTCGCTGACCTACGAGAAGCCGATGACAAGAAGAGCTCCGATGATTCAGAGAAGCTGGTAGGGCGGTAACTCGATAGTGGCAACAAAGTGACTAACCCATCTATAGAAGGGAGAAATTGCGTCCCTGGAGCGCCAAAATTCACAACTTCAGCAACAATTGTCGCGCGGCTCCGGCCATGCGCATCGCCAGTCCGTTTCCACCACATCATCGCCGCCAGCGTTTCAGGCCGAACTCGATTCCAAAGCGTCAACTATCGAATCTATGGAAATTGAAATCTCCAAGCTGCGTTCACAGCTCGAGCGCCACCAGAGCGGAGCCTCCTCTGAGAAGGAGCAGGTCGCCGCGCTGGAAGACAAGGTGGCACGTGCTGAAGCTGCTGCCGGCAAAGCCCAGCGAGAGCTCCAAGACGTCAAGAAGAACCTAGAGCGCGCTACTGAAAGGGCGGTTCGGGAAGGCGGCGAGCGGTCCAGTGCCGAAACCAAGGCGAGCACGCTGGAGCACGAGCTGACGGCACTGAGAGCGACCCACGAGGAGCTTGTCAAGAAGGCAGACGGCCTCGAGAAGAAAGTGGCCACACTGACGACGCTGCACAAGGAGCAGGACTCTCGCTCGCAGACGCTGAAGCGTGAAAAGGACAAACACGAGGCTGAGCTCGCCGAGCTCCGCACCCGCGTCGAGAAGCTCGAGGGCGAAAATACCAAGCTCCGCAGCCGCAAGTCCACCGACGGCGGCGGCGGCCTCGACGACGAGAGCATGGACGAGCTTGAGAACGAGGAGCGCCAGCGCCTGGAGAATAAGATTCGCGCCTTGGAGAGGGAGGTCCATGAGCTACGCAGTGGCGAGTGGCTGCAGCGTCGCCGCGACATGGAGCCGGCGGGCTTCCAGGACGTTGACCTCTCGGCGCCGTATGGCGCGCCGGCGCAGCGCAAGAGCTCGGTAGGCGGCATCGGGCAATTCTTCAGTAGCGGCCTTAGCGCGCTCGCGGGCGGCGGCGACGACGATGACGACGACGGGCTCCTCGAGGACGACGACGCCGACTTTGATGAGGAGGCTTTCCGCAAGGCGCACGAGGAGGAGCAGATGCGCCGTCTCGAGCGCATCAAGGAGCTCAAGCGTGCGCTCAAGCACTGGGAGGGCTGGAGGCTAGACATTGTGGACTTACGCCGGGGCGGCGTGCTGGGCGTGGGGGATATATTTGACGTATAAGAGACGGGTGTGCATGTATCACGACGAGATTATGGCCTCGCTAGATCCAAGTTATTCGTAGCTACTCTTGCAATTTTTGACATTATCACTTATTCCACCTAGGCGCCTTTCCTTGATTGATACCATTGGTGACCCGAGTTTTGGATGGGACGAGGGTGAGGATGCATGACGCTTTCCGGGCTGACCGGGCTGCATCGGCTGCATTGGCTGTAGACTGCACTTTCATTCGAAAGAAGCAAGTGTCGAACAAGGCGATCATAGAAGTCCTACTTAACACTGTCTCCGGGTTAAACTAGACTTTGCCATCTACCGTTGGCCACCGAGTAAGAGTCACAAGAAGAATGGGTGCGGATAAGATGAAGCGTATTAGTTCTAACCCGCCATCCCAAGTCAGGTCGTCGTCGTCTCTCCTCTCGAATAGCTGAGTGAGAGAAACTATCAGTAATAGTACATATCCCCCCAGTTCTGGGACCGTGGTAACCCATAGTACAAAAAGATGAATACACCTCAGCAAAAAATATCAACCAGCCCAATCATCGGCTCTAGCTTCGAGTGCCCAAACGCCCAGATATGATGTTTTTCACAACCCCTAATCCGTTATTGATAGACGATCCAGCGACATGCTTCAGTCGTGCCGGAATGTGCACTGTTCACCACGAGCACACTTGCCCTGTTGCCAGAATGTGCATGCCTTAGTTCCAATCAAAGCCTTATTAGCTGGCTTATGCGGTGGTAGCGTTGGCTTCTTCTTCCTGCTGTCGCGGTAGGGGTCCTCGCGGCCGCCTTCACTACGGTTGCGGTCCCAGTCTCGCCCTCTCCCTCGGTCCTGGTCTCGGTCATCATCTCTGTCCCAATCATTATCCCCGTCTCCCCCAGACGCCTGCTGCGGCGCCTGCTGCTGCGGTTGCTGCTGTGCAGCCTGCCCTTGTGCCATCTGCATTATCAGCTGGTACGCAGCATCGCTGCTAGGTTGGCTGGTCTGCTGTGGCCCTTGGTTGATGACCGACAGAATGGACTGCAGCTGACTATCGTTAATTTGTGCTTGCTGCTGTTGCGGCGGTGGAGTAGGCGCCGCCGGGTTTCCAACATTCATTTGTTGCAGGATTGCCATATAAGGCGCATATTCTTGTTGCTGTGCGTATGACCAATCTTGTGTCCCCTGTGCGCCAACCGCTAGCCCGGCCTCTACAGCAGCTCTGGCCCGTCTTTCCTCCTCTCTGCGCTGCCTTGCTGGCGCTTCCTTGTTGTAGCCAAACCACCACTCTTTAACCTTGTCTTCATATTGAAGCATCCAATCAGGGGGGGCATTGGCTGGATAAGGCTTTCCTTGAAGATACTGCGCAACAGCCTCGATGACCTGACCAGCAGCTTCCGTAGAAGGATCTGCGTATCGATGTGGTCGTGAGAGATCCCCCTGGACAGGGTTCGGATCTCGCCAAACGGCGATCTTATCTGAGCGTAGCCATGCAAGAATGCCTTCTTCTGCGGCAAGGCCAACGATCAAAGGTACGTTGCTTGCTGCCACCAAAATAGGTTGCTGCATCGCGGTAGAAGCTACGGCCTGTTGATTCGCGGATAAGACAGCCTTACTGTTCTGAAGACGTCCGAGAATTGTGTCAAGCTTGTGAGCGGGGCTCAGCTTGGCATCGAGACGTTGCACTGCCGCAAGCAATGCCTGATCAACGCCCATCTGCTGCTCATCGGCCCAGCGTCGCTGGATTTCAGCAAACTTAACGCCATCACTTGGCAGCTGTCCAACCTTGCCGTTGATTGTGGGCTGTACAGATTCTAGTGGAGGTGATTTGGGCGATGGCGGAATATCGCCAGGATCGGTATAAATAGCCATAAGCTCTCTCTGCTCTCTTTCTGCGATGCGCTTCTGTTCTTCGGTCGAAAATGGGACATTACCACCACGGGTGACAAAGTTCTTGCTTCTGGCTTCTGCCGTAAGCCCAGAAAGATCCGTTGGTACAGGCCCAATCCACGGTTGGTACGGAACTTCATCATCGTCCTCATCCTCGTCCATTCCGACACGCTGCTTTAGCATCATGCCTTCAGACTTGTCATCGGCCGCATCGCGAATCATATTCATAGCGCGTCCATCGTCCTCGTTGTCATCCTTTTGGAAGACCCTTACTTGCACAAGGTCGTGATCTGGCTTCCACGTAACACGCATTTTACGACGCTCGAGCTTCCGCAGCCGCTTTGCTTTCGCTGCAGGGGATTCGGCGTCGACTTCAACGTCGGCATCTTTAATATTGACGGTAGGTGCTGCGGCTTCGGCCTTTGGTGCATTGATGGAGTCCAAGAGTGACGCAATACCAGAAAGTGCACTAGATGTAGCTGACGGCGCCGGCTTGGGCACTGGTGTCTTTGTAGGCTCAACCTTGCTGTCAGAGGCTTTACGGACTGGGGCTTTGGGCTTCTCATCACTAGAGGCTGCGGGGCTGACTGCATTGGCGGCGCCTTCAGACTTGACGATTGCTTTGGCAGCTGGTCGACTTTTCCCGGGCAGAATGGAGCTCGCGGCAGGCCTGGAGACAATTTGTGCTTGCGCTTTTGGTTGGGCAAGTTTCTTGAGCAGTGAGCTGCCGGGTTGCTCAACTACAATCTTCTTGGAGATCCGGCTGTCGGAGTCGTCTTCTCGGCTTCGCTTTATCGTAGTGTCGGTCGAGGGTTTTGCCCCGACCTTGGCTCTACTAGCAGCTGACGTGCCTGTGTAGCCAGTCGCCGTGTCAGCCTCAGTAGCCTTCATCACCTTTCTGATCTTGTTGTTAATCTCTTGAATGATTGCTTTGACGTCCGCGTCGCCCTTATCACCGAAACGCTTCCGAACAGTCTCAAAGTTTGTCGTGTCGATGATTTTCCTCGTCATACGGAAGAATGAGATAAGCTCGAGCACGGTTTTCGGGAGCTTGCCTGAGAAGTCGGCCGCCTTGATGCAAGAAATCAAAGCGTTGACGAGACTCAGAATAAGCTTCTGATGGCCGCCCAGATTATCCAAAACAGCATTGTCGGCATGAAGAAGTGTCGAGTCCAGCGCACGATAGAAGGCTTCTTTTTTCTGCTCGTAATTTGCTTTGATGGTAGCAACTTGAGACTCCGGTTTCTTGTCCTTACTTGCTTGATCTAGCTCCTGTTTCGCCTTGTTCATTTCTCCTCGCAGCTTAATGATCAGGTCGCCAGCCTGTTGCACTCGCTGCGCAATCGACGAGCCTGTGCGGGCAGCGGAATCGTCGATATGCACAATACCAATGACATCCCAACTTGCAGCCTCCACAGGATCTGTTGGTCGAACAGCGGCGCGAGCAGGTTTACCGTCACCTTCAAGTTCCTTTTTAGCCTTTTTCCCAGCTTTGTTTTTCAAAGCCTCGTCTGACTTCATCTGTTCTTTGAAGGCATGGGGATACTCTGTGTACTTTGGGCGGCGCTTGCCCATAGCTTTCATAGACGCCTCAAATTGATCTAGGATGTCCTTTGCTTCCATGCGCCTCTCATTAAGACCAGCTCGATCGGGCGCTGGACGATATTGGCTTGTGAAGTTTCCCTGGATTTCACAGGGTAAACTATAGCCAAGTTCGGGCACCATGGCCTTGCCAGACCTTGAGGGTAGTGTGACGAGGGGTGCAAGTTTATCGAAGCTCTTGGGGGCGGGTATCTTTATACTGCCATCGAAGACCAGGTGTGGCAGGCCACCGAGGGATGGATATTTGACTTGAGCGGATTTGCTGCGTTTACTAAATTTCGCCAGGAGCTCTTGGTCTCCGGCAGAGGGCACAGGAACAGGATAGAGATCCATATCTTCTGGCTTCTTCCATGACGCCTCAGCTATCGAATCCTGGGGTGTTTCGGAGCCCGTGTCTGAGCTTTTCGTTGACCTTTTTCTCTTGTGTGCCGCGGAGCCGGCTGTATCGACAGGCGAAAAAGCGTTGATCGTGTATTGCGAGTTCTGTTGCATGGTGTTTTGTTGGACAATAGCTGGCCGTTCTGGAAACGAGAGCATACCATCATGGTAGCCTTGTCCCGTAGGCCGTTGTGTATTTAATTGTTCGCTTGGTAACTGATATTGCTGCCTCGGCGTGGGATAATTCATACGCGGATCGGTTGGATATTGCGTCGGTTGACCACTAGGGGGTTGAGCAGGTCCAGATCCCTGGCGATACCTGCCCTGAGGCGCGACGACACGCTGGGGCTGAACTGTCGCATGTTGAGTTTGCGCAAACGTGGAAAACTGCTCTGGTTGGCGGCTGGTTTGATGTTGCTGCAGCTGCGGTTGCGCGACCAAGTGCGGTTGCTGGTGAAAGGCTGAGGTTCCTTGCGGAGGGAAAGGATAGTGATGCTGAGTAAACGGTTGCCCTTCGTCCAATTGGTTGTCACTTGCTCCAGTGTTGGGTTTGGCTCCATGTGCATACAAGTTCGGATGTGCATTATGAAAGGCAGGGTCAATGGCATCCTGGCCCTGTTGACCGTATTGCTGGGCTTGGAACGCAGGTTGGGTGGTGGGACTACCATGCAGCGACTGCGCTTGCAGATACGGATTTGCAGATGAAGAGGGCGCGTCGAAGAATCCGGCGGGGTCTTGGTGTAGATGCGAGAAATCGGTCGTTTGGCTCGCCATCTGCTGGGTCCATTGCTGATTCGGATCGAAGGTGGCCTCTTGGTCGCCAAAGGCAAACCCAGATTGCCATGCATCCTGCCCGTTGCCGTCGTCTTGGCTGGGATTAGGCCACGACTGCATTTTAACCGAGAGAGATTATATAAGGCAGCATGAACAACTCATCAGGGGATCGAACAAAGAAAGCTATTACTAATAATTGGCATCAGCAGACGACATCGTTAGCTGCAGGGCATCGCGGCGTTGTTGTTGACAAAGGCTTCGAGCGGAAGCATTTCGGGTGGGTAGAACGGAGAGATGCAGGGGAGCGAGAGAGGTACTTACCCGCTTGAATTTGGTGCAGAGTTACTTGTGGACAGGTGGGAAGTGTCCGGCAAATGCGCTATTCCAAATCGGGAGTTTAGGATAGGTCCGGCAAGGCCTCCAATGGCCAACACCAGAGTGACAGCGATCTGAGAAGGAAAGAAAAATTAGCCCGGTCGGTCTTGGGAAGTATATGGCCATGAGAATGGGAAGATGTGAAAAGTTGAGTCGTGGACAGAATGTAGCTGGAGAGCTGACGCTCCCATCCGACATTGACAGCGTCGCGGGCCACTGCGATTTGAATGACCAACCCAAAGTAGTTGACCACAGCAACATGACTTGGCTTCCTGACGCGCTTGCAATCGTAGCTCGCGGGGAAGGGGGTATGATTAAGGTTTTCTGCCAGATACCAATTGTGCAATGGATTCTGTGGCGGCCGTTCTGCTAATATCTCCCCGGGACACACCATGAACGCCCGAGCAGTCACGTCCACATGCCAAGGCTGTATCAGGGCCAAAAGCACGTCAAGCAACTGCGCGAGAAGCTCCGAGGTAGCAGAATACAAAGCCAGAGAGGCTATCGCGACGCTGGTCCTCCGTCTGCCCTCACTTCGCCGTTCACCGACTTTGCGTTTCACGGACGTGGCACGCGAGCAAGCTCTGGAGCGCCTGGCTGCTAGTTTAATTGGCCAACACCTTAATCTTGCCGTGGTTATCCACAGGAGGCCAGAAATCACAATATACAATCGACGAATTCGGTTTATGTTCCAGGTGTAACGAACGGACGGCCCTGGGCAATCGGATGCGGGTGTAGGAGTATCAGTAGCCAGGAGGAGATGAAAGAGAAGCATACCCAATTGGTCCTCCTATGCAGTTCAGTTTAAAGGAATTAGGCGATCTGGATGGCTGAGGCAGTTGGATCGATGTTTCTCGTGGTGCTATACAGGATAAAGCCAGCGCAGATGGCTAGCCCCGACAAACGCGTGGCGGCACCTTCAATACTGGTGAGGGGATAGGATAGAAAAGGTCGGACGCAGCGCCAGTATCGGCAGTGATATTTATCTGCGGCGCCCTGAGTCTCACAGACCTCGCGACGCTGGATTAATTGCGACCGAGGAGCTAGTTGTTGGTGTCGCTGGTGATGAAGATGAGAATGGAAGAAATCCTTCGCTGGGCAGGAAAAGTACGAAAGGGAGATGGCGTTCTCTGCCTGGAATATGAGGCATAAAGGCGCTTGGCTGGTGACGTTTGTCTGAATTCCAGTGAAATTACAGCGCATTAGTGAGTGCCATGAGAACATAAATCCACTGCAGCTAACCTGTTTTCAGCGCCCGAGGCAGGTTTTGGCGGCCAAGGGCCCAGTGACAAAGCTCCCAACCGCCACCAGCTCTGTTCGGTCTTGGTGGGGTTCAAGCTCCAACAACTTGTTCCCGGAGCTGTCATCGTGGCCTCTTGCACGGCAACATCAAATTGAGTCGCTCAGCGCCTCGCGCATGGTATTATTCTCTGCTCGCTAGTGCGTCAAATGCTCAAATTGCCTGTCTGAAATCGGCCGCGGATTCATTTGACTTCATCTCTCGACCGCCACCACTCCTGCACCGCAGGTGTTGATCATGTCGACCAAAGGAAATACTCTGCGCGATCGCCAGATTGGTATGCTCAGAATGGCAACTTCGTACTGCTCTCGTTTATGCTTACTTAAACTAGCCTCGTTGAAAAGAATTCTCAATCTCAACGAGACGGTCGAATCTGGTGAAGGTGAAGAGGTCCTCGCAAATGGCCTCCTGGCCCCCGTGGCACCCATCCTCGATGCCGATGGCAATCCGATCTGGAAAGTTCTCGTGTTTGATGACTTGGGAAGAGACGTTATCAGCAGCGTCATGCGTGTGAGCGATCTGCGATCCATGGGCGTGACTATGCACATGTAGGCGCAATCGCATTGCCCCCGAGTAACTAGTCGGCTAACCATCAACAGGCACATTGGAACCGTCCGCCACCAAATTCCCGACGTGCCAGTCATTTATCTTCTTGAGCCTTCGGCCCAAAATATGCAGGCAATTACTACCGATCTACAAAAAAACCTTTACTCTCCCGCCTACATCAACTTGCTTTCGTCAATGCCTCGCGTCATCCTTGAGGATTTTGCTACGCAGACCGCCACAGCCGGAACATCAGAGAACATCGCGCAGCTGTTCGACCAGTATCTCAACTTTATTGTTGCCGAGCCAGATCTGTTCAGCTTGGGTATGCAAAAGGAACACACTTACTGGGCTCTAAATAGCGCCAAGACGAGCGACGAACAACTAGAGGCCGTTGTCGACAAAATAGTCAGTGGTCTATTCAGCGTCATTGTCACCATGGGTAGGCACCGTTTCAAAAGCTGTGTTTTTGTAGCAAACTAACGGTGGCCTCATTTAGGTGTCATCCCCATCATCCGCTGTCCCAAGGGCGCCGCCGCTGAAATGGTGGCGCAGAGACTCGACCGAAAGCTCCGCGATCATATACTCAACTCGAAGGATAATCTGTTTTCCAACGCGAGATCAGCAGCAGCTAGCACGCCACAGTCGAGGCCCGTTCTCATCCTGCTCGATCGCAATGTTGACTTGATCCCAATGTTCTCACACTCTTGGACTTATCAGTCTCTTGTCCATGACGTTTTGAACATGAAGCTCAATCGCATCACCATCGAAACACCGGTCGATGAAAATAACCCCAGCAGGGGTGTTTCGAAGAAGGCGTATGACCTTAACGCTAGCGACTTCTTCTGGGCTAAGAATGCGCCCGTACCGTTTCCCCAAGTTGCTGAGGATATTGATGCGGAACTCACGAAGTATAAAGAAGAGACGGCAGCCATTACGAAGAAAACTGGTGTCTCTAGCCTGGAAGACTTGCAGAATGATACCAGCGCCAGCGCTCAACATCTCAAGGCAGCGATAACGCTGCTGCCTGAAATGAGGGAACGAAAGGGCGTGTTGGACATGCACATGAACATCCTGGCGGCACTCTTATCTGGAATCAAAGACCGTCAGCTGGATAACTTCTTCCAGCTCGAGGAGAACGTCATGAAACAAACCAAGGCTCAGGTCATGGAAATCATCAAAGATCAAAACAAGGGTAACGATTCCACGGATAAACTGCGGCTGTTTGTGATCTGGTTTCTCAGCACAGAACAGGAAGTAGCTCGAGCCGACTTTGAGTCGTTCGAGAGAGCTCTTGCCGAAGCTGGGGCCGATGTTTCGTCCCTGTCCTACGTTCGACAGTACGTACTGCACGTAGTTCCTTGACCAAAATCCCGGCTAATGAGATGTAGGGTTCGCGCGACGACGAAAATGACACAGCTTACGACGATCAACAATACCTCCAACCAAAATGCGTCCTCCGATCTGTTTGGTAGGTTCTCGTCGATTTCTTCGCGCCTGACCGACCGCTTAAAGGAGACTGGCGTGCCGACTGGTCTATCATCCAACTTTGAGTCTCTCATCAGCGGCGTCAAGAATTTTCTTCCCGCCGACCGAGATCTCACAATTACCAAGATTGTAGAGTCCATCATGGAACCGGCTACGGCTTCCTCCTCGGCCATTGCCAAGACGGAGCACTACCTGTACTTTGATCCACGGTCCGCCAACGCGCGTGGCACCATGCCGCCTCCCAGCACCATGCGTTCTGGCGGAAATGCACCTGGCGGCATGCCCGGCCAAGCCGGTCCTGGTCAGGCTGCAAGCTTTGGTCAAAGAAGACAAGGTTTCAGCGAGGCTGTGGTGTTTACGGTTGGCGGTGGCAGCATGGAAGAGTATGGTAACCTACAGGAATGGGTCACCAGAGCTGGTGGTGAAAAGACGAAAAAGAGGGTGGTATATGGCAGTACTGAGCTGCTTAACGCTAGGGAATTTATTTCGGAGGAGCTAGAGCGTCTCGGGAAAGAGCTTTCGTCATGATTGTAGAACTGAAATATCACCACTTTATATGTACCTATGCTACTGATTAGTAACGACATGCACCTGCTGCTTGTCATATGAGGGTAGGCCAATCTCGTCAGCAGGTCAGAACATCGATACTGATGAGGCTGTCGGGAATTGTGTTTGTTTCGCACACTAGGTCTAGTCACAATTTCGCCGGGACATTTCAACGGAATAAATACACGCTAATATCGTCTATGATTGGATACATTGACGTGCCCGAAAGAGAGCGTTAGCTCGGTATACAGCAGTAGATTGCATGTTATCTGCAGCGCATAGTCCGGGTCCTTGAAGGATCGCCATCGGAGGGCCTTGTAGAATATATATCCAGTTGTCGGATTCGTCCATTGATTATCCTGATTCACCTTCTTCATACTGAAAACGAGGCCGGAAAATTTCCGAGCATGTGCAGGGTAGGTGCGTGAGTCCAAGAGTGTGCGCGACGATACCCACAGCACCCTCGTGGTGGTGTCTCCTCCTCGCAGCCCGTTATTAGGTCGCAGAGGCGCCTCGAGCAAACCCTTTTCTCGCCCTCTCCATATCTGTCACTTCCCCCCAACCCTCCCTGTCCCTTCATCAAACGCCATTCCCCATCACGCTCCAACGTCCATCAAAAACTCACGCATTGGCTTCTTCCGCTCCCTTTTTTCCATCAAAACCCGCACTCATCGCGTTCGCATTCATCGTTGACTTCACGCAACGCTACTCGCGCCGCGCCGGCCAGAAGGGGACAGTTTTGCCGACAACGAGCAGCAGCGTCGACGTCCTCAACGCGCAGAGCCTGGTCTCCGCATTTCGATCCCTTTCCTACATCAAAGACACAATACACACCCGCAATGGAAGAATTACAACCAAAGACGGAGCCCTCTGCCGAGCGCAAGGCTCTTCGCTACAAGTCGTGGAAAAAGAAGTATCGAAAGATGCGCATCGTGTTTGACCAAAAAATGCAGAGCGGCGAGGAGCTGCACAAGCAAGAAGCAAAAGCTTCGGCAACAGCGAAGCGTCTAGCCGTCGAAAATGAGTAAGTTCTAGTGTTAAATCTATTTGATTCCATACCAACGTGACATACAGCCGCTGACCCAACTACCTATAGCCGCCTCCTCGACATCCTGCTCGACATCAACAACTGTGCCCAGATTCCCCTTGACAAGCGCATCGACGTGGCTCTCCCACCGAGAGGCGACGTCAAAGCCCCCACGCTCGCCATCGACCGCGATCACGCGTCTGAAAAGGCCGCTGCCCTCAAGAAGCTTTCAGAGCTCCTAAACGCGGTGCCGCACATCAACTACGCCGCGGCCAAGAGCGCCCACGCGGCTATCATTGAGGACCTGACCGTGGCCGCCGGTGAGTCGCACCCGGCTAGCTTCCTGACGGCCGACGACGTCGACGACTACATCTTTGCGGTCGACAGCCGCCTCGACACTGACGCCCACCTGCCGTCGCTCGCGCCGCTCGCCCACCCCCACAGCCACCTCGCCTCGCACCCGCACCTCAAGAACCCGACTAGTGTCACCAACTGGCTGCGAAAGCACGCACCCAAGGTCTTCCTCCAAGACGGCGAGGCGCACGATGACGGCGATGCCGCTGGTGGTGGTGGTGGTGCTGCTGAGGGGGCCTCTGCCAGTGGTCACGGCAACGGTATAAGCGCACGTAAGTCTCGTGGAGGACGGGGCGAGCGCGGTGGCAAGCCGACGGCCCGGGCTAAGCGTGCGAGCGGCGTGGCTTCGTCGCGCGTGAGCAATGCCGCCGCCGCCCCTCCTACGACGGATAAGAGCGATAAGGGCGGCGGCGACGCGGACGCCAGCATGGACGAGGAGCGCGAGTACGGCACGCCTGTCGGCCGCGCCGTCAAGCGCAAGAGAAAGGACGATGCCGGATACAGACCGGGCGGCTCGGCGAGCAGACCGTCCAAGAAGAAGCGTAAGAGCGACGCGGACACGCCAAGCGTACGCCGCGTGAAGAAGGAAGCGACCGAGTGATGACGGCACTGGTTGTCCGGACCAGTCTGCGACGCCTGCCCCCGACGACAAGCACCCTTTGCCTTTTGACAGCGCTTAGGCGGCAGGGTTGCAGTTCTTCCTCGGAATCGAAATACGCGCAGCACATGATGAATCAGAAGGACTTGAGGGGTTTTTTTCTTTTCTGAAAGGTTTTTGTTACAGGCGCAGTGTTCTGGGATAAAAAGGCTCATTTCGCTATAAAATGTAGCCCGGGTTTCCTTGCCGCTACAAACATGCCTGCAACAAACGTATGCATGGTATTACAAGAACCAACAGGCAGGCAACAAATTGGGCAGCAAGGGAAAAATAAATGCATGACAATCGGAATGTACAAAAGGGAGAGCAGCGGCGCAAACCAATGGGAAATTGTGGCACGGAAGAGATTTTTCCGTCATGGGCTAGAGATGGGATGATGGAGGAATTTTTCATGTACTTTTACTAGCGACTGTAATTTCAATGTTGAAAAGAATGAATATGGGAAAATATTTTGATAATGTGGGAGATGAACTTGTGCAAGAACGTCATCACAAGCATTGTTGAAAATTGAAATGGATGTATATTCAAAAACCCCACGTCATGGGGAGGCTGAAATGTTATGTGGTATATAATCAATCCCGTCCTATCCCGTCACACATGCTTTTTTTTATGTTGCTTTTGGGCGCCGTTGCGTTTTTTTTTTGCTCCTTTGTGGCGTGCTTCCGATGCCGGAGAGGCGACCGTTTTGCGGGTGTTGTGGCAGGTCAGGTATCGTTTTGGCTCCATTTTCGTGGAATGTCAATCTATACCAACGACAAAGTCACGGGCCTATAAAAAAGACGTAAAAAAACGCGGGCTAGTTGTTTATTAATTTGGGGACCCATGGCCCTCCGTGTCTCCAAGTTTTGTTCCTTTTACAGCTTGCCCTGGGTGAAGCTCTGCTTGAGGCGACGCTCGACGGCAGTCAGGTACTCGGTGGTGGTGACGTAATCCTCGCGGCCGGTCTTGCCGCAGGCGAGGGCGAGGTCCTTGGTCATGACGCCGTCGACGTCGACTGTGTCGATGCAGGCCTGCTCGAGGGCCTCGGCAAAGGCGACGACGTCGGGGGTGTCGTCGAGCTTACCGCGCTGGACGAGGCCGCGGGTCCAGGCAAAGATGGAGGCGATGGGGTTCGTCGACGTCTCGCGGCCCTTTTGGTGCTCGCGGTAGTGGCGGGTGACGGTGCCGTGGGCGGCCTCGGACTCGAAGGTCTTGCCGTCGGGCGTGATGAGGACAGAGGTCATGAGGCCGAGGGAGCCGAAGCCCTGGGCGACGACATCGGACTGGACATCGCCGTCGTAGTCTGGGAGTGTTAGCGGGAAGCAAAATAAGAGCAGATATTACAGGTATTAGAGGCAGCCACAGAATCAAGATTCAACGGCTGCCAATTGACAAGACAAAAAAAAGAAAGCTTGTAACATACTCTTGAGAGCCATAATGTAGCCGCCAGAGCTCTTCATCATTTGGGCCACCATGTCGTCAATGAGGCGGTGCTCGTACCAAATCTTTTTGGCCTCAAACTCCTTGTGGTAGGTGCTGTCGTAGATTTCCTGGAAGATGTCTTTGAAGCGGCCGTCGTACTTTTTGAGAATGGTATTCTTGGTGCTCATGTAGAGGGGGTAGCCCTTGTCGAGGGCGAGCTTGAACGAGGCGTGGGCGAAGCCGGTGATGGACTCGTCCGTGTTGTACTGGGTCTGGGCGACGCCGCCGCCCGTCTTAAAGTCGAAGACCTCAAGCTCCTCGGGCTGGCCGCCCTCGGGGGTGTAGACCATGGTGAGGCGGCCGGGGCCGGGGATGACGCGGTCCTTGGCGCGGTACTGGTCGCCAAAGGCATGGCGGCCGATGATGATGGGCTTCTTCCAGCCGGGGACGAGGCGGGGGATGCGGGGGATGACAATGGGCTCACGGAAGACGGTGCCGCCGAGGGCGTTGCGGATGGTGCCGTTGGGGGATAGCCACACTGTTGGGGTGTTGGTCAGTATTGGTTTGGCTGGCATGGAGTGGCAGTCTCAGCCGGGGTAGAGTGTTTGGAACTCGGACAGAGACTGCAGCTAATGGATTCTATGGTACAACGTACTCTTCTTCAGTTTGAACTCCTCAACGCGGGCCTCGTCGGGGGTAATGGTTGCACACTTGACACCAACAGAGTACTTCTTGATGGCCTCGGCGGCGTCAAGGGTGACCTGGTCGTCGGTCTGGTCGCGGTATTCGAGACCAAGGTCGTAGTACTTGAGGTCAATGTCGAGGTAGGGGTGGATGAACTTGTCCTTGATGCTCTGCCAGATGATGCGGGTCATTTCGTCGCCGTCGAGCTCGACGACGGGGTTCTTGACCTTGATCTTGTGTGAGGTGGCCATGGTGCGAAAGGCGGCGGGGGAGTAGGTCTGGAGAGCGCCAAAGGTAGGACGAGAGGAAGAAGCGCGGAGGACGGTGAGAGGAGCGGCGCGGGATGTACGAAGAAGCCTTGAGATGGAGGCACTCATGGTGAAGAAGGACGGGAAGGGCTCAGTGCAAGTAGAAGGCCGATCTTTTTACTGAGGGGCGCAGCCAGAGGGCGGAAGGAGGGGTGTGTGATTGGTTTCACAGAAAAAGAATGACAAAACACAATGAGAAGCAGAACCTCGGAAAGACGCGGGGTAACGTTTAGTCGGGAAGAGGAAATGGCGGAAAAACAAGAGTTGGTGGTGTGCGTGTGCGTGTGCGTTGTGTGTGCGATGCTAGTATATAGGCTAACTACCGTGTTTGTAGGTCGCGTACGGATAGAGGTAGCTAGTTAGTATGGACCAGCAACGGCGTCTCTGCAGGGTATGTATCCGTCCGCGGAGAGAGGCGAGTCCGACGACGGCGGGGTTGCGTTTGTTGTCAAGGGGGGGTCGGTCGACTGATGAACCACAAAACGATTAGCAATTACATAGAATCATGAAATGGGCAACCAATGCATGTTGAACGAGTGGGGTTTGTTCTGGGGCGTTGCTGTACCAAGAGAAGCTGCCAGCGAAGCTTGTTTAGCCGGGGTGGGTAGTATTGTATGCCAGCCCTTTGGGGTTTGAGTTTGAGCCGAGCCGAACGGAGAAGGTCGGACTTTGACGGGGCGGGCGGCGTTGCGGGCCGGTCTGTTTTTGTTGCTCTGGCCGTGGCGGCAATAATTTGAAGAATGGGAAATTGGGTTCAAACAGAAGATGGATTAGAAAAATATGGATGACTGTGTGTTTTTGGTCCAAAAAAAAAAAAGAAGAAGAGAAAAAGGGAAACAAGTTTGCAATCGGTCGAATGACATTGACTCGGATATAATAATAGGCAGGTAGCAAAGGTTGGCCTGGGCGTCGCGACGCCACGTTACCAGTTACCAGTCCATGCTTGTTCTTCCGCCTCTGGTGATTTGTGACCCGACCACCACCCCTCCATCCCACCATCCTCTTGGCTTTGGCCACCCACCACACCACACACGACACGAGACCTCTTCTGATCTTGGCCTTTCGCAGCGAGCGCGGCTCAAGTGACGTCGGCCACAGAGGCGGGGAGATTTCTGGGGTGGCTTGGGGGGTGTGGCCGCTAAAACGTGCAAGCCGACGTGGGGCAGGCGATTTGCGCAACACTCGAGGCACCCTGCTGCGTGGTACTTTAAAAGAGGCCTTTGATACCGAACGTTGACTTTTTTTTTTTGCTCTCTCCTCCCTGCTGCGAGCCTTGTCCAAACTTCGCCCTCCTGAAGTGGCTTGAGGGCGCTCGGAACAACAATCCCCCAGTCCATGCCCATCGGAACTACGGCGGCGGCGGGCGGGCACGGACCGGGCTTTTCACAGAGCCCTGTTCAGCCCCCGGCTTAACTAGCGGCTTCTGCCGAACCCTAGAGCAGGATTCAACGTCGGACTAGTCGGCGTGCGGGCAAATTCCAGGAAATCGAACCAGGACAAATGAAAATCGACCTGCTCAAGTCGTCAACCTGCAGCAAGCGTGGCACAGTGGGCCGCAGCAGAGGATGGCCTGCCGAAGCAAAAGACTGCTGTCAAAAGTATTGCACTGCGACGAGGTAAGGATATTCGGCGCGAATTGTCCAGAAGCGGAGGGAAGGGCAAGCTTCGCAATATCCTAAAGGTAGCGACAGCTAAGAAACTTTGCCTTCTCTCTTATGGTGACAAAGAAATTCACTCTGCTGGTACACCCAGCGCTGGGAAATCCACGAGAATGGCGTGCGCGGCGACTTATGAGATTGTCGACGTCAAGATGAACCCCGTAACTACTGCCCGGGCCAATGTATAATTCTGTTGCTGATTAGAGAGAATCCAGGATACCTGGAACTTGCCTTCTACTGGTAGCCACCACTTCAACATAAGAGGCAGAGTAGGTAGGACAAATAGATCCCAGCCATAAGATCCAAAGGAGTATGACTAGAAAGAATATAGAACAGCAGGAAGGGTTCGCATCGATTTTATTAAGCAACGTGAAAACTTGAGCTACAGATAATAAACCTAGCATGGAAACATGACAAGTCATAATTATACTAGGCTATAATTAAAGTATAAAACAGACTAGAGTGGATTGTTATAGAAATGTTTCTAGAATGAAGAGAACCCCTAGCTTGGTATCAGAAACCTGGGGTTCTCGATTCTGCATTCACAATGCGCTTGACTCAGTTTCTGCCAGGGCGCCTCCGCACATGCATCTCTCCTCGTGAAACACTATACACTACCCCGCCACTGATCGAAATAGAGTTATTCTTGGAAACTCCTATTGACAAATAGCAAATTTGCCAAAATTGCGTCTTCTGTAACGCGATTCCGAGTAAGAAGGAGCATTGCGATGGCCTCGTGAGCGTCTCTGGCCTAGGGCAGCTGTAGGCTGGAAATGCCCACGTCCCAAGTAGTTGAGCGCAATACTTCAAACCTTGGGGTGGATATCTCGCGAAACATACCCCTCGACGCCTCCAATGCATTCATGAATCAGGCTACAAGTGAGCGACAAGATAGCTCAATTCCTATGTAAAGCGTGTTCCTCCAACCAGCGTCTATGCATTCGTCATCAGCCCTGCCTCATTCACCCTCGTATCCAGCCCAGTACTGCAACTCCTACTATATTATTACTGACAAGAAAGGTATTGATTTGACATGGCGGCTCTGAAGACTGCTGGTGAGAGGCTTACTTGCAGCGAGTGGAATCCTGACCTAGACTCCCTTGACAGCGCCGACGATGTAGCAACAAAGGTGCTACATTCCGACGATGACTGCTCTCTAAACCCCTGGACATTTCGAATGTTTTTTATAGGCAAGTTCAACCGGCCCCTAAGCCTCGCCATCCGTTGCTAACATGACAGCATCGTCGTGAAGGGATTGGGCTCGGAATATTCGGTGCCATCATGGAAACGATATATTTCTTCCGCCCGGTTACTCTCGACGTATCAAACATCTTCCTGGCCTTGGCAGGCTACATCCTGGGAAAGTTCTTTGAGTGGGTGATTCCCAGAAAAGGCTTCCTGGGCCGCTGGCTGAACCCTCATCCCTTCAACCTCAAGGAACACGCCGCCATCGTCGTCCTGGCCTCGTCCGCCGCGCAGGCTGCCATGGCGGTCGAAGTCATTGCCGTGCAGAGACTGTTTTACGATGCCGCTCCCAACGCTGCCGTCTCCATCCTGCTTGTCGTCGCCTCGCAGCTGCTGGGCTACGGCTTTGCCGGACTCCTGCGCGAGGCCCTGGTGTATCCGACAAAGATGATGTGGCCGGTTTTGCTTCCGATGAACACGCTGCTGGAGACTCTCCATCGTGACAAGAGCGAGACGAAAAAGCGGTTGCGGTTTTTCTGGCTGGTTCTTATTGGCATCTTCTTCTGGGAACTCCTTCCGGAATACATCATGCCGATTTTGACAGGAGTTAGCGTCTTTTGCCTAGCCAAGCGGGACAGTTTGGTATTCACAAACGTCTTTGGCGGCTCGAATGGCAACGAAGGTCTCGGAGTCCTATCCGTCGGACTAGACTGGCAGTTCATTACGAGTAAACCTTTGTGGACGCCTCTCGTGACGCTGGGAAACAGCTTCGTTGGATATATCATCTGCATCTGTCTTTTTCTCGGCGTCTACTATGGCAATCTATGGGAAGCGCAGAACTTTCCATTCCTGTCGCAACTGCTCTTCTCCAAGGACTCGAACCCAACAGAGTACGTCACGTATAACCAATCCAATATTCTCAATGACAAGAACATTCTTCTACCATCAGCGCTTGAAGAGCATGGAATACCATATTTTGCAGGCACCTACGCAATATCTCTCTTCACCACGAATATGGCGGTTACAGCTACCATAGCTCACCTCCTGCTGTGGAATTGGGAGGATATGAAGAAAGGCTACACATTTCTATCACTCAGTTCTCTCCGACGTCTTTGCTCTCCAAGGTCTTGGAGATTGGCGAGTGATGAAAGAAGAGATGCCGACACTGAGAAGGATCCCCATTACCGCAAGATGCTTGCGTACCCAGAATGTCCCAGCTGGTGGTACATGCTCATCCTTGTCGTGTCGATAGCGATGGGCCTTGTTGGCATCTACGTAGCGCAGTCCACGTTGCCATGGTACGGGTTTCTGACAAGCATTGTCGTGGCCGGCATCTTCATCCTCTTCTTCGGGGCCCAGGCTGCGCTCACGGGATTTCAGGGAAACGTCCAGCCCATTGTGCAGATGGTCGGGGGCTATCTCCACCCCGGTCGCCCACTGGCAAACATGTACTTTACTCTATTTGGCTACAATTCTGTTATTCAAGGACTCAGCATGGTGCAGGACTTGAAGTTTGGACAATACGCCAAGCTGCCGCCGAGAGCGACGTTCACGGCACAACTTGCTGGGACCCTGATTGGAGGGGTGATAAACTACGTCGTCATGGTTCAGATCACCAGCAACCAGAGGGATATTCTACTGTCCATCCAAGGTACGAATGTTTGGTCGGGCCAAAATATTCAGCAATTCAACTCTCAGGTAAGGGCCCTTTTCTGCATTTCAGCACCTTCTGGAAACTCACAGTGGCATCTCCAGGCTATAGCATGGGGAGCTTTGGCAAAGGAAATGTTTTCGCTAGGCTCTCGGTACGAGCTCATCCCGATTGGACTGCTGGTTGGGTTCGTACCACCGATCCTGTTCTATCTGTTACACCGACTATGCCCGACCATCAACCTCTCCAAAGTCAATACGCCCATAATTATCGCATACGCGGGGATCCTCAGCGTCGGCATCTCGTCGTCGATGCTTAGCTACTTTGCCATTGGCCTGATAAGTCAGTTCTACCTACGCCGGTGGAAACCAGGCTGGTTCGCGAAATACAACTATGTCCTGGCCGCAGCCCTCGACGGCGGCACGCAGCTCCTGGTTTTGATCCTCACCTATGCGGTCCTAGGTGGCGCAGGCCAGGAGATCAAGTTTCCAAAGTATTGGGGAAACAACGTGGACGGAAACTTTGACTACTGTATGAGGAATCCTGCTGCGAGCTCTGTGAATATTGGGCCAGTGGATTTGGATGGGTAATGGACCCGTCGCAACAGGACAAATAGTGGTTATGGGAGAAAATAGGTAGTTATATAAAATTAATGGGAGCCAGATTTAATCATGGGCATGCCAATGAGATGAGAGATGTTATTAGGACCAACAAGGCACACATAGGATGAGAGATGTAGTGGTTGCATTGTATTGTAGAAGTTCTGTTTGGTGGATGGGCCAAGAAAATAACCGATTGGATGCGGCACGCCATAGACGAAAAAACAAAGGAAACTTCAAGGAGCTCTCAGGCTTTCCTTGGATCGAAAGCACAAGAGGACTCTGACCTCATCGAGAGTGATTTTAAATCGTACATTGAAATGCGTATTCTAGTGATAAGGGAGGATAAAGAGTGGTCTAAGAAGATGGCCCGAGGACACTTCCGATTGGCAGGTTTTTTTGTTCAAGACGAGGTTTAATCATGGCAACGTGCTCTCTTTGAATGGAAGATATATAATAATGAAGTTGTGGCCAAACCTGCCGAGTTATCCTTCACGCCCATCCCACCACCCATCCAACCAGCCGTCTAGCCTTAGCTGTACCATAGACCCAAGCGCTGTCGAACCATCAGCATGCACACCTGATCCAGCAGTATCTTCCAATATTCGATCGATATGAGCTCCCGCGGCGGAGAGATGGAGAATGTGAGCGATAGCGCAATGCACTGCAAGAAGTCGGGGAGAGGGTGGTTCGATTGTGCGTTTGTCTGTTACGAATAGTGTGCGAGTGATGGGTAGTATATTATTGAGAGCAGCGTGTGGGAGAAATGTATCAATCCTATACGTGTTTAACGAGCCTTCGACGGGCTGAAAGAATATCTGGAAATCGCCGAAAAATGAATGCAAATTGTTCGTTAATGTCATCGCATTGTGTGGCCTGTCAATCTCCGGTCCCTTAATAAGATGAGTAACATTAGTGTCGAACAAGTTTAAGATCTTTAGCGCCGTAGCACGAGGTTTATCCTATGCGAATTAGTGTATTTTACATAGAAATGAAAAGACATTACGCACAAATATGAGATCTGCATTTGGCTTTATTAAAGAATGTGGTAAAATGTGTGCAACTTCTAGGGAATCAAACTCGCCAACTAGAAGCATGTGGTCATCGTCTCGAGCGTCGTTTGGCTTTGCTTGCATGCGTTTTACAGCCACAGCTTGATCGAATCTCCTTGAGATCACGCATCGATGTCGATCGCGCACAAGACAGTCGCCTCGAAGCGTTTTTAATCGAGCTGATGTGCCGACGAATGTCGGCTCACTGGACCGGCTCTGTTCGATCGCTGAGAGGTATGCGGGCGATGGCTGAGGCGTTCGTTTCGTTGATGCCTTGACTGGCAACAATCAGCATTTTTGCGACAATTTTGATATTAGAACAACTTACGTGGTAAGAAGAAGTTGTCAATTAGAAAATCGGCGAATCCAATCAGCTTGATGGAGATGCGTTCCTCTGTTTCCTTGTCGGATAAATCAACACTAGTATTCTCATCTATGGACAAGCCAATCGCGTCGAAGAATGCGCGCAGCACATTGTCTTTCGATCTGCCCTCGGAAGCATAGTGGTAAGTTAAGCGAAGCAATGTCGGTCGTTTGTATTGCCGGTTCGGCGGAACAGTGCCTTCGTAGTGGTCGAGGATTTCTTGAAAGCGGCGGTGCGCTTGATTGCGCTGAGCGGCCTCCAGGGGTGGGCTTGACGAAACGCGAAATATACTCTCCAAAGATGCCTGGTGACGATGATGTGGAACTGCCATATCGCCATATCGGTATTGCTGCTGGTTCAACGAGGTGGGTGACATTCGAGTGGAAGGCGATTCGAAAAGTCACGCGACTCGTCTAAATCTCGTGAATTATATAAGCAGGCTAATAAGGTTATTAGATAACTAGTCATAACTTAGAATAATTCATATAAAGGAGTTAAGAGAAAAGAACTTATATATAGTTTTACGTTATTCCTTTTAAGTTAAGAAAGGAATTCCCTTTCTTATTATACCTATTTTTCTACTTAGAAAGTTAATATAATTTATATACTTTTACATTCGCGCATCAACAGTCGCGCATGTTGGGGCTAGGCCTGTCTTATTTTTCTTTGTTTTTTGCTTCAACTTTTTATGTAGCAAATTGAAAGCTATCTTCTTCACATTCTCTTTCGGCCATGCATTGAATCATTGTCAAATTTGTCGATTTCGATAACAGTGTGAATCTTAGAAGTCATAAATCTGCCGTTTCCCTTCCGCTGTAAAACATGGGGCTGTGGCCCCTTTCCAGCCCTGCAACGGGGAGCATGCGCCATAACAGAGCGCTGGGGCAAACAGAAGATCATTCTTCAGGCATTAATGTCACTTTTCGTGGAATATGTTCGTGCCGCGAGAAGCCGTTCTTTAATATATCACTAATATTGCGCTATTGATTCGGACCTGTATGGTCTGTGATTGCAGCTTCCGATTCCACACCGTCGGCTAATTCCATATCTTTGAAGGGACCAACACTCTGTACCTTGCCGTCACTCAAAGTGATGACAATATCATTCGGTCGCATTCGTCCCGATATGGCACCGAGTCTATGGGCAACGATAATAACGGTGTGTCCAATTGCAGCAAATTCGGTATGTACGAGGTCATAAATGAGTGACTCCGTTGAGGCATCCATCGACGAGGTGACTTCATCAAGTAGTAGAACCGGCTTGCAAGACTCCTCGAGTAATGTCTTCTTCACTAGTGCTCTTGAAAGGCCAATCATCTGCGTTTGGCCCGCTGAGAGAATTGGAAGCTGTGAAACTTTTTGGGCAAGGACTTGATCATCTTGCATCTCGTTGGATGGACATACAAGACTCCACAGACCGGTTTTTTTCAACGCGTGAACAATTTCTGTAGTGTCGGCCTTTTGCCCCGGATCAAGGTTGAAGCGCAGAGAGGCATCAGATAGAAGCATGACATCTTGGGGGACGGTGATGAAACACTGGCTCCGCGTTATAGCCCGCGGCGTGTTCTTTAGATCGACCCCGTCTACCTTGATCGTGCCAGTGTTCTCGATGAGCCTAAGAAAGGACAAAAGTAAACTGCTCTTTCCACTAATGTAGGTCCAAATTTAGGAAAAGGTCAACTAACGACGATTCACGAAACATACCTTCCAGTTCGACCGCATATCACAACTCTTTGACCAGCCTTGATGGTTATGGAAACGCCTCGTAGGGCTACAACATTGTCACTGCGTCAATGAGATTAGTCAATGTTTCCAAAATCCGCAATCGATTTGGCAAGACTTACTTGTATAGTGCAGTGCAGTTTTCGACGACGACTTCACCACTCGCGGGCCAGGAAGTGCTCGGTAGCTGGTTTTCGCTTGGCAGGTCTTCACCAGCAATGTCGTTATCAAGCGCCTTCAGTCGCTCAATAGCTCCGAGCGAGATCTCCCAATCAGCCCAAGACTCCACAAAGCGTATGATTGTGCCACTTGTAACGAGAATCACATTCAAAGCAACACCGAGTGATGCCCCGCTCGTTTGATCCCTGAAGAAGAGAGCCATAGCGATGATAAGTAATGCAGTAGTGGCAACGACGAGGTTAAGAACAAGACTAAGCCATAGTTCAAGGCATATTGATAAGTAATATGGCCCTTGAGATCGATTGAATACACGATCAAAATTTGCCTGGCAATTCGCTTGCCATCCAAAAGCTCGAATAGTAACAAGACCGCTGACCTGTGGATAGATGTACCGTTAGTAAATATATAAAATCACAAGTGCGATTCTCTTCAGAACTCAAACATACTGTCTCCACGATTTGTGAGAATACTGCGGATCTTGAGCCAAGCTCTTGTAGTCTAACTTGGCGCGAAGTTCTCAAGTAGAGTCTTGCGATGACGTATACAAGAACCAATGAGATTAATAGAATAAGGATCAAAAACTTTTGAACAGCAAGTAGCAACGAGATTTGCACCAATAACTTGAAAGTCTCTGCTGCGAATCAGTCATTGTACTTAATAGTTAGACTTGGTCAGCTTACGGTTGCTTAATGCCTGGAATGCACCTGGCAGATCTCGATCAACGAGCTGAATATCCTGACTGAAACTGAATTTGGGTCAGATGATTGGAATAATTGAAGAGTGTATATTTTGAAGATGTCTTACCGATTCAAGATTACGCCAAGGTCTACAGTTGAGAACAAACTCAGAGGAGCACTGTTGGCAAATTGAGTTAGCATTGTGTAACAAATTGACAAAGTTGCAAAGATGCGCATTTCGAATTGCTCAACCCGGATTACAGGCAAACATACTTCATCACAGTTTTCAGTAATCTCTCGTGAGTGAACTTTCCTGATGCAGGAGTTACAAGCATGTATGTAGACCTAAAAAGAAGTCAGTTTTGGTACGTCAGGCAGTGTGCAGAAGCACTCACCACATGGTACCATTGGTCGCAATCCACGCGCAGAGGGCGAGCGAGCCATATGCACATATATTGAATATCTGGCGGTCCGCATCTGCTTCTGTCCAGCGTTTCAGAAAGTAATGAGGGAAAGTGTTAAAAAACGAGTATGTGGCGGTGCAGCCAATCATGAACAAAGAGTTGAATACGCCCGAAGCTTTGATATAGTGCCCTAGAAATCAGATGTTATGACAGTGTCTTGCAACATATCTTCCAGTGCATAAGACGTACCATAGAGTGAGAGATTTCCAATAGTTCGAACGATATCTAGCTCGGCATCAAGCTTCTTAGCATTTCTCTTTAGGCTGGCGTTCTGCTGCCCCTGCTCAGCAGAATTCTGCGCTGCTGACTGACTCGACACCATTTTTGCAACCGCGTCTGGTGAACGCTTTAGATCGCGCCTGTCAGCATACTCGACCACCCGCGAGTTCTTAAGGACAATGATCTTATCTGCATGGTCGAAATATTTTGCTGAGAATAACCCATGTTAGCCATTGAGTAAGCTCGAGAAATTCCTTGTCGCATACGATCATTTGTGATCCAAAGCACAGTAGCTTTGCTTCGGCGAAAGAAGCCGTTCTTGCCAAAAAGATTCCGGACAACTTGGTCTTCGGTGTGCCCGTCTAGCGAGCTGAGAGGGTCGTCAAGAATCACAATGTCGCACTCCTCGTACAGCATACGAGCAAGAGCCTGGTCACGGGATATCGGTCAGCTTGATGGGCCTCGGCGGCATGTACGCAACTCTTGCACTGACCAATCTTTGTTTTTGACCTCCAGAGAGATTCAAAGCACCACTGCCGATCTCTGTTTTATCGCCAAGAGGTAACTGTGCGAGATCATGCGTCAAACATGAGATCTTGCATGCCTTGAGATACCGAGACTCGTCGACGTGTTTCGCAAAGCTGCAGACCACGTCTTTTATGGAACCATTTGGCAGCCATGGCATTTGGTCACAATAACCAATTCTCTTGGACCGAATTTGTATGGAACCCTCTGAAACGGCGACCTCGCCAAGAAGAGCTTTGGCCAGCACTGTTTTACCAGCTCCAGTATTTCCGGTACCAATGACAATACTAGATGGCCAGATGTCCAAAGTTGCTTTGGAAAGGGGTGCCTTTGTTCCTTTTTCCGATTCCACTGTAACGTTTTGCAGACTGATGTCGGGAATTGAAGTCTCGGACTTCATCAGAGAATCGACATTCTCAGACGCGATGTCTCGCTGGTCATGGCGGTCGGGCTCCAGAAGATAGCTTTGTAGTCTATCGAAACTAGCCATGCAAGCAAACATGCGCGGTATTATTGTCATGAGAAGGTTCGCTGGATTGATGACTAGCGAAAGAACCGCAACGGTCGTAAAGGCTGTCTCAGTGTCAAGGCGAGACTGCCTTGATGCGCAGTAAGCTCCATATAGCATCATGGTGATTGCAGGAGTGAATATGCCATTGGCATTTGCTGTCGAATAGTGTGAGCATAGGGGAGAAAATAAGTGAGCAGGCCGCTTACCACTGGCATTGTACGTGACCCTGCCGCTGGAAGTCAGCAGGCTGCATTAGTATCACAGCAGACTTGAACTCACATCATGCGCCGCACGTTTTTGGCACTGTCGATTTCAGCCAAGCGAAGGGAATCGAGATACTTCCTCACCGAACCGGAGACTCCAAGCATCTTGACGGCCTTGATTGAGTCGAGAACGTCGTTGATCACAGAAAGGCGCTCTTGGGTTGAATCGTTCCAGGCTCTTTGGCGGCTAGATATATTCTGAGCAACAAATTTACTTACACGGGAACAAACTAAATGAGCATCAGAGAGAATTTCCATATATTTTCCCAAGAGGTGTGGATGCTCACAGAAGATGACAATGAGTGGCACTGGCGATAACCATTTGATTTGAACGGTGAGAATGGCCATACCGACAACGAGTTGAAACAAGTATGCCCAAACATCTTGAGCCATGTTCGCGATGTTGTTTAAGCTATCGATGTCGGTACTCATGAGGGTAACGACTTTCCCACGATCGGTTTTAGCGCTCCGACTTCGCAGAGTCTTGCTGTAGACGAGTCCCGTGAGAGCCCCTCGGGTCTTCATTCTGAGCCGTGCTCGCTGGCGCTTATCGATCGCATTGCAGATCTAGTGACAACAGTTAGTTAGTTTTGTTCCACATGTCGGACTGAGTAAATACTCACCGCCTCGCCGAAGTAAACCAGCACGCCCATAGCCAATATCCATGCGATATCGCCCCAGTCATCATCAGAATGACGATCTCGAACAATAAATTGCATTGTTTCCTTCATAACAAGAGGTTTACCATACTGCAGCACGATAAGTAACAGGCGGATCGGTGCAGACCAGGCAAGCGAGTTGCCAACGCATTGTAGTAGCACCAATGGCAGCGTGAATTTCGTGTCCGGTTTTGCTAGCTGGCTTTAACAATGAGTCGGTGAGAAAAGGGGGTGTTGTTTGCAGTTTACCTCGGGCATCCCAGCATTTGTTCATCAGCTGTCTTAGATAGACGGCGGAGACCTCTCGATCTGCCACCTCATAATCCGCATCCCGCAGAGTTATAGACCATCCGCGCCGCAGGATCGGGTTAATCCACCAGAAAAAGGTGCGCTGAAGCACACCGGCGGTTTCTTCCGGGGCAAAAGAGGATTTACCTGTCGCCAATATCTGTTCCTTCGTGCGAACCTCAGCCACAAGACTAAGAAGTCTGCAGAGATGGCTCAGAAGCAAGAGCCAGATAGGCTGGTGGGTCAAAGTGTCGCCGGATTTCGAATGTATGATTGTGAGCGACGTATTGAGTGAATCCACCAAGATCGAAGCCAGCAAGTACAGCACAAGAAGATCAGAGGGTCGTAGTGAGTATTTATGTTCGCGTCTCGACAGAAAGATAATAATAACAGAGCAAACGAATTTGAAGACATCTGCGATATAGTGCAACACAGTGCCCACTGCGTCGGTACCTGTGGGCAATATTATGGCCAGGTTCGCTAGGAGGACAACGGCGGTGAGAGTGGCAGCGAACTGTTTATAAATGATTGAGTTATTAGAGGTTCGATAAATAAATCACACAAGAGAACAGTGAGCGAGCAGTGGTATTACCAGTTTGATTGCCCCGGCCGCATCTGCCTTGACGACTGATGGCTTATCTCGAAGGGCGACGAGCCGCAGCGGAACGAAGAGCAGAAATACGAGGCACACGGCTATTTGAAGAGTGTTGACCCATGGTATTACCAAGATGGCTGCAGATTGATACAGCGCCATCGCGAGGAGTATTGGACGTAAGCAATATAATTTGTTGTTTGTATTGAGGTTTTGCAGCGGGGGAGAGCTGGATGGGCAGCAAGCGGAGCCTGACAGAAATAGCAAACATCTCATTACACAGGGGGGGAAACATCTGATAACGTTTTGGTGACATTGGTGGTTTGCAATTCCGCCCCCTGAGCAATTCCATAGACAAAATAGACTTTCGGAGAGTTTTCGATCATCTCCCTGATTCGTTGCTCCTCCCCAAGCATGTCGATGCTTTTTGTCCACGCAGCACTTGGTAATGGGAAGCTGCAATAACGTATGTCGTGTTGACTTCGCCAGACGAAAACAACACATTGAGTACTTTGTCGAAAATTCCCGAATTATTCGTGGTGTAGAATCCATAATTGGGCCGCTGAATGTTCCTCTTTGTTGGGGGAAAGAAGTCTTTTGAATTGGTAAGTTTTACCCTGTATTGGGCTACACCAAAGACCATGCCAAGCTGTATTACAAGGGGCGCAGGCCCATCTTGCTCGTCCCCTTGAGCGTTGTTAGCTTCCGCCAGGTTTCTAGAGCAGGCCACCACTCTCTATAATACTACTCTAAGAGGCAAACCTATTAAAATATAAGCTTTATTACCTCAAGTTTAACTAGAACGCCTATAAGCTAAATAATATTAAGCTACCTACCTAAGACCTTAGTTGTCAAGGGCTGGGCTACGCCCAGCACCTCTCTGGCAAGTGGCCGGCGCGGTGCAACCAGCCAACAACCAGCCAGTGTTGTTGTTACGAATCCTTTTTCTCTAGTGGATTTTGAGTGCTGGTTGCCACTGGAGCCCTCCGGGCTAGTTCCGTCACGACCGGCTTTGATTATCACCTCATTCTGTACCTCTTTTGGAATATGGCGGTCTAAAAACAAGTCAGTTCCACTTTTTGTCGCAGAACAGCAAAATGCAGATCTATCCCTTCTGGCATGGGATCTAGACCTCAGTTCTCTTCCACAATGCTTCTGTACGAGTAAAAGCTCAGCCTCACATCTATCGAGGCCCTGTGCGTTTCCTCATGCCCAGGCGCAGATCCTGAAACGAGCGAGAACATGCACTAAGGACATTGATGCCTCAGGTTAAAAGTCGGAAATGCGATCTGCGGCAAGCTTAGAGAAGGTAAAAATACCAATTATTTAAATCGTAGTTCCCGGACATTTCTTTTCAGCAACCTTTTTGAGAGCAGTCTCAAGATATACCCCGCCCTTGAATCATGGTAGTGGCACACGCAGGGGTGGTTGCCTTCAACATTGGGGCGTTTGTCTCCTCGCTGTTCCTACTCGAATTCGGAGCCGACAAGTTTATCGCGCACACCTCTATTGTCGCGGCGCGTATTAAAATCTCAGAAGTCATCATCGGACTCGTCACCGCCGGTGCCGAATGGGAAGAGGTACGTCGTTGGCAGCTTGCACTTTTTCGTCGCGTATAGAACCCCGCCCCATGCTAAAAGCTCAACGTATTATAAAGTTGGCGGTTGTGGTCGGGTCTCTTGCCCAGGGCCGATCGTCCTTGGCGCTGGGCAACGTCATCGGGGCCGCCATCTCCAATATCCTGGGCGCCTTTTCCCTCGGCCTCTTGTTCTACGGCCAGGGAGAGGTTGTCGGGTTTGACAGAAGCTCGCGCATCTACTCGCTCCTGCTGCTTGTCTTGACGACCGCGGTGACGCCCCTCGTCTATTGGTCGGCCGCGATTACCTGGCTCGCGGGAGGCATCGTCCTCATTGCTGCATTTGTGGTCTACTTCCTGCTGATAGCAGTTGCGATTGGTAAAGGAGTCCTCACAGCCCCGGCAGATTCGGACAGTGATAGCGACGACGACGACGACGACGACGATGATGACGCCAATTCCGTGTCAAGCAGGACTACGTTGCTCAACGACGGCACCACCGCACGCCAAAGCCGACGCCGACACGGCCTCGGCTACCACGCGCTCTACCTCGTATCCGGGTTCCTCGCCATCTGTCTCGCAGGTTATATCCTGTCTCAAGCCGCAACCAACATCACGGATGAGCTCGGCATGTCTGATATTCTCTTCAGCGTTGTAATCCTTGCCATTGCCACCACTCTGCCTGAGAAATTCATTGCCGTCATGAGTGGCTCCCGAGGGCATCCGGGCATCCTCGTCGCAAACTGCGCCGGCAGTAACATATTCCTGTTGTCGCTCTGTTGTGGTATCATCATGGTCGGCACGCGCGGCGCCTTGGATAAGGGAACTGTGACGATTGCAGAGCTGTCGGTTCTGTGGCTGTCAACAGTCGCATTTACAGCCACTGTCTGGTTTGGCGGCAGCTATGCCCGGTGGATTGGTGTTGCTATGCTCGCTAGCTACGTTGCGTTTATTATCTTGGAGTTCACCGTCATACACGCGATATAGACTTGGTTGTGTAGCGGTATCTACGAGATTATTAACAAATATCACACAAGGCGTACGCTGTCGACTGTACCATAACTCTTCATTTGCTGGTGCATGTCCAAGCATGAGCCTGGCCAGTCACGTATAGGTATTCTTGTATTAAGTAGAAATCGGAGATTACGTCTTGGACTCAGTCTCCTCATCTGCCTTTCTGAAAAGCCATTTATGCGCATAATATCATCACGTGTGTCGTGAAAATCGCAACTATCCTAGGTAAGAGATTCACAGCGGGGCGAGTGCTTGGATTCTCCTCCTCCACTGTCAAATATATAGCGGCATTTGAGAAAAGGACATCTTTTACTCCGACTTCATCTCGGCATCCGCCGCGCCAGGTCTGGGCACCAGCCCGCGCAGGCTCAAGTCGTAGACGACATCCTCGACCCTCTTGACGTCGTACTTGACGGCGTCGGCCCTCTTCCGCAGTATGTCGTTTTTGAGGTTGAGCAGCTGGAAGCCGGCAAAGAGGTCCTTGAGGAAGGCGCTGACGGTCAGGGGCAGCGCAAAGTCGCCGAGGGTGACGGCGTTGGTGGCCAGGCGGCCGAGCTCCTGCGTCAGGTCCGTCAGGGCGAGCAGGTACTCCTCAATGGTGAGGTGGAAGGCGTCGCGATCCTTGATGTTGGTGGGGACGGCGAAGACGGCGCCGACTTGCTCAAGCGTGAGCAGCTGGCCGACAGCGTCGCCGGAGGAGGAGGTCAGGCTGGAGAAACCCCCGAGCCAGGCGGTGTAGAGGACGGTGCCGATGGCGTTTTGCATGGTGCGCGACCAGCGCGAATTGTACCTGAGAGAGGAAAGGGGTTAGTGGGCGGAAGAGATGGAGGGGATAAGGCGGGCATTTGGGAGAGGGGGGGACGAAACTTGTAGTAGGGATGCTTGGAGGCGAGCTCGTTGAGCTCGGCTACGATGACGGCTTCATCCTTGATGGCGGCCTCGAGCTGCGTTACCAATTGGGGGTCTGTGTTCTACTGGTTAGTATGTGAGAGATGAGGGCAGGGGGGGACGGACAGCTGGCGCGCGGCGTCGAGTGCACCTTTGTGAGCAGGCCCTGGGCGGCGCCGACGGAGCGCTCGAGGCGCTGCAGGATCTGGGTGAGGCTGTCGCGGATCTGCGTCTCCTCCTCGAGCTTGGACTCGAGGCTGGAGAAGATGGAGGGGTCAAGAAGGGAGGGATGCGCCATGGCTAAAGAGGCTGGGCGGATGACGGTCTCGTGTGTGTGTGGCGGGTTTGGGCGATTGGACGTGGATGAGACTTCTTGACGGCTAATGCTGGGGTTCGAGAGGATAATGGATGCTCAAATTTGTGGAATGCTGGGGGGTCACTGGAGATGGTGCGGGCTGTTGTGCGCGGACGATGGTGATGGAGGTTGGGTTTCGCGGGTTGCTGGTGAACAGAGATTTTTGGTGGTGAGAGGTTGGTTCATGGTGTTTCTGGACTTTGGTGGTGCTGGAGCGCTTCGTTCACCAGCAACAACATGCGCTTTCTGAGGCTCCCTGCACATTTGCATTTACTATAGAGCTATTGCAATAATAATTGACGTCCTTTATGAAACATATTGATTTTTGTTTTTCTTTTTCGTTCCTGATTTCCATTTCCGGTCCAAGCCACTCTGGTCAGCAAGCCAAGCTGTGTGTGAGCCTCTGACAAGGCAAACCGCATATATTGATGACGTCTGCTGCACCGGCGTATTTCTAAAAAAAAAAAGAAAAAAAAGCAAGAAAAGATCGGGGAGTGTCGTGCATGAAGTTGTTTTTTGTTAGATTTCTTCTTCTTTTTTTCCATTTTGGTAGTCGCTTATTGCTTCTCGGGCTATGTGCTGTGTGCTGTCAGCCGCCTGGCAGGGGTGCGCGCAGCCGGTGAGACGGGCGCAAACAGAGCTTCATGCAGGAAACTCCCACCACGGTCTTTTGTATTATAAATATTGTTTGAACTTTCTACAAGAGGCTTCGTACAGGAATGGCAGACATGTCACTAAAGTCTGCATTGATGCGGGCTGCCTTTTGGAAAGCCTGATTGATGTCTGGAAGGATTCCTAAATGCAGAGAACAATACGAAGCACTTGGGGGCTGGCCAAGCAAACGGGCCAGGAAACTACCATCTGTGCGCCATTCACTATAGGAATGGATCGATTTCTTGCTGCGATTTGGCACGTTTGTCTACGCTCCGTGAAACGTTCTGCCGTTCCCTTGGCCAAGGAAAAAAGACAATGCCAACGCTGTAGCAGAAGAGGTTAAAGCTATCTCTCTTCATCATTGACTGTGTCTTTAAGTCTCCACGCACACACCAACTTGTCGTCACCATAGCCTGCCTGTCTCATCACCTGAAGCTGTCCGTCATGTCTTCAGCCTCGAATCGGCCTGCGGCAGCGGGAACAAGCATTGGCTGACCGCCCCCGCTACAGGTTCTTGCAAGGCATTACTGTGCAAAAGCGCGAGGTCATTGGAACTGCATTCCGGCCTGCGCGATGATGAGTGGGTGAGAGCGGGCGTATCTTGGGAAAAGAAAGATCTCATAGGTCCATTGTGGTAATATTGGCTACACTGTCTCATATTTTCAGACACATTGCCTAAGACCAACACCCCCCGTCAGCCTGCCTTGAAGATAACCACCCATTTTTCACAGAGCCGGCTTCATCAAGGAGCAGAGGAATGACACTATGTACATGTTAGTAGATGATCGATGCTCATCTTACCTTTAACCGGATAACTCACGATCCCAACCCCCCTCGCCCCCAGCCGTCCCGTCCCGTCCCCTGGTCGCCGAGCCACTTTGGGGTTACACAGGACAGAAACCAACAAACGTGGCCAGCCTCGCCGGGACTGGACATTTTCCCACCCCCCCCTGTCCGCCCGGCGGTGACGAGAACAATACCAAGGTCCTGCATCTCTCTCACAGGGCTACAGCTCAAGACATGTAAGAACAGCGACATCCCTTATCAGGCCGCCGATGCACTCGCGTCACACGCCAGGGTTTGCATATATCCCACCCGTATCCCCCCTCTCCCTCGCACGGCAGAAACGGGCTCTTCCTCCCTCTCCCAGCCAATTACCACCACCACAACACGCCACAACCATGCCGCTGTTCCATGTCCTCCGCGGCCTCTGCCTCGCCGTGCTCTCCCTCGCCCACCCCACCGCCCGCGCGCGGCTCACCATCAGCCTCGTGCCCGCCGACGCCACGCTGCTCCCGCGCACCGTCCACGCGGTGTCGGACCCGACGCACCCGCAGTACGGCGCGTACCTCGAACGCGAGGCCGCGCTGGCCCTGCTCGCGCCGAGCCCCGCGGCGCTCGCCGCCGTCACCGCCTGGCTG